TTAAAAAATAATAAATTTCCAAATATTATCAACGGCAGTGTTAAGAAAATTGGCAGGAATAAAATTTCAATTAGTTTTACTAATTTTAAAGATGCAAACTCTTTTCTTAATGATAAAGCTCTTCAAGTAAATAATTACCGAGCATATATACCAACTTTTAATGTCACCCGAATGGGGTTAGTAAGAGGTGTTCCAGCTGAATGGTCACCTGAAGAGGTCATGGCTAATATTTCAGTACCTGTAGGATGTGGGGCTATAATGAAAGTCAGACGCATGAACTTCAAAACTTTTATTGATGGGAGCCCAACATGGAAACCTTCACAAACTGTAATTATTACTTTTGATGGACAGATACTTCCTAAGAGAGTGTACTTGTGTTATAATGCTTTAAATGTTGACCTATATATATACCCTACGATACAGTGTTATCATTGCTGTCGGTTTGGTCACACAAAGGTACAATGTAGATCTAAGCCCCGTTGTTACAAATGTGGCAAGGAACACACTGGGGAATCTTGTGGTACAGTTGAAGAGGATGCCTGTTGCTGTTTGTGTTCTGGCTTTCATTATGCCACTAGTAAAGTATGTCCAGAATTTATGAGACAAAAACAAATTAAAACTTTCATGGCTCAAAACTGTGTGTCTTATGCCGAGGCTTCCAAAGCTCACCCTCCAGCAGCTAAATCATATGCAGACATAGTAGCTTCTAAGCCTATTCCTCAATCGCCTTTGTATAATAATATTCACACATCTCAAAATAGTAGATCTTCCACTACATCATATAAGAAAACAGTGTTCTTAAACCCTCGTAATATAAATAATTCTCATACCAATATGGGTTACAATAAAGAAGCACATAATGCTATCATAAATGACTTTAGAATCCCTACACCTGCTAATGGATGTGCTATACAAAAGCCTTCTCAAGATCAAGACAATCAATCTCATATTGAGTTAATAACAGCTTTATTTAATGTATTAGCTAAGTATAATTTTATTTCACCGTCCAACGTTGCCTCTTTGTTTGAAAATTTAATGTTAACAATTAATAATGGATCTACGCAATATAATACAGTGGAACACTCAGAGTATTATAAATAAAAGAAGTGAACTTATATATTTGACCAACACATACAAGCCATTTGTTTTTGCTTTGTCAGAGACTTGGCTTAAACCACAAAAAAACTTTTATTTTGCTGGTTACAACATAGTTCGAGATGATAGACTAGGTACAGATGGTGGTGGAACAGCTATACTTATCAGAAATACAATTCCCTTTTTAAGTGTAACCCTTCCACCTCACTCTGATGATATATCAATTGTAGCTATAAGTTTTAATAATTTTTGTTTGGTATCATTGTACATAGCTCACCCTTCACCTTACATTTTAAGTGAACTTGATTTTTTGTTTTCTAATCTGCCCAAGCCATTTATAGTTCTTGGTGATTTTAATTGTCACCATACAGTCTGGGGAAGCTTTCAGTGTAATGCTCTGGGTCGAGAATTGGTAGATATTATTGACTCGCATAATTTATGTTTACTTAACACAGGCAGTCCCACACGTCAAACTGGACCAAATCAAAATCCCAGCGCTGTTGATTTATCTATTTGTTCTCCAAGCCTGGCCTCTGCTCTATCTTGGGAAACTCTTCCTTATACTTATGGTAGTGACCATTATCCAATAATTATTGAATTTCCTTGTAAGCAACAAATAATTCCACAAAAGATATCCCTTAGAAAATATAAATACACTAAAAATAATAAGGTTTGGGATTCCTTTAAAGAAAAGATTGAGGCTAAGCTATGTCTTCTACCCTCTGTTAACAGTGACAATAATCTAATATGTGCTCAATCTTTGGCCCACTTAATAACAGAGATTGCTAATGAAACATTTCCTGTGAAAAATACTTTAGAAAAAATTCCATCTCCTCCATGGTGGGACAGTGAATGCACTCTTGCTGTAAGGAAAAGGAAACAAGCGGAAAAAGAATATAATAAAAACATGTCAGATACTAACTTTGAACATTTTTGTAAACTTAAATTAGAAACTAAAAAATTATTCAAGAAAAAGAAATTTGAAGGTTGGAAAAATTTCTGTTCATCTATTTCACCTAACGTCAATCCAACAATAGTATGGAACAATATAAAGCGTTTTAGATGTGCTTTCAACAAAACTTCTTTTTCAGTTCTTCCCCAATCCTTAGCATATAGCTTCCTTGATAGATTAGCCCCCCCGTGGGTCCCAGAGAATAATAAGACTTTATCGACACAAAGTACGCATTACTTAGAAAGACCATTTACTCTATATGAATTAAAAGGTATAATCAATAATGTCAAAGACTCCTGCCCAGGAGAAGATGGAATTCCTTATTGCTTTTTTTCAAAACTTACTGATAACACACTTTCTTATTATTTAGATGTCATTAACAGTTTTTTGATAACAGGAAACGTTCCAATATCTTGGAAATCCCAGGTGATATTGCCAGTGCTAAAACCTCATAAATCACGAAATGTTGCTAGCAATTATCGCCCCATCGCCCTATCTAATGTTTTGGTTAAATTGGCTGAACATTTAATTAAAAACCGCCTGGAGTGGTTTGTTGAAAACATACAAGTTCTTTCTAAATCGCAATATGGTTTTCGGAAAAGTAAAGGCACCATCGATAATATTAGTATTTTTAATACAGATGTAAGATTAGCATTTACATTTAATGAATCTGTAGTCGCGGCTTTCCTTGATATACAATCTGCATACGATAATGTTTTACTATCGATCTTAAAAACGAAATTGGATACCATTAATGTTCCCTCTCTTCTTTCTAACTTCATTATTAATTTACTAAACGAACGTACAGTGAAACTTATATACAATTATAATAATGATATGACTAGAACAGTTTGGAAAGGCTTGCCACAAGGTTCTGTGTTAAGCCCTTTGCTATACAATATATACACGCATGATTTAGAGTCAATATTTGAAAACCGTATTAAAATTCTTCAGTATGCTGATGATCTTCTAATTTATTCTACCAATCGCGATATAGAAAGAGCAACATCAATTTTAACATTAGCTTTAAATGATCTCAAACAATGGTTAGATCAGAATGGTTTAAGCCTTTCTGCCTCTAAAAGCGCTGTGGTAATATTTTCACGGAAACGTATCATTCCCTCTGTTCAGATAATGTACGATAATGATTCAATTCCAATCTTAAAAAGCTATAAGTATTTAGGAGTTATTTTAGATTCGAAGTTATCAGGCGCTCAACATTGTGAGCATATAGCTAACAAATGTGAACGCCTTTTGAATATCCTTAGATGTTTATCAGGTGTGTGGTGGGGTGCTCATCCGTTTAGCCTTAAGATACTATATAATTCCCTGATTCGTAGTATACTAGATTACGGTACCTTTTTGTTAGAACCCGGTAATAGTATTGCCTTAAGAAAACTTGACAGAATCCAATCCAAAGCACTCAGATTAATAGCAGGAGCTATGAAGTCGAGTCCCATCAATGCATTACAAGTAGAATGCTGTGAGGCGCCTTTACATTTACGTCGTCAGTATTTATCTGACAGATTTGTTTTTCGCTCTATTCAATTATCTAATCATTCGCTCTTCCCCTTGCTTCAATCACTCGAAGAAGAAATTAACTCTTCCAGATATTGGTCTCACAAAAATCTTCCTTGTTTAATAAAAAGTTATAAAAAATATAAAAACCTGCACAATCCCACTCATCGTTCTAACTTGCTGCCACTTTTTGATGTTAACTATCAATCTTTAATATTATGTCCGAATATTATCTTAAAGTCTATTAATAAAGATCCTACAGCCAATTTTAATTTTAAATATACCATAGACTGTGAATTTAAAGACCATCATCATATTTTTACTGATGCTTCAAAAAACAATAAGTCTGGCAATGTAGGCATAGGTGTTTATCATTCACAATACAATGTTGTTCAAAAAATTAAACTTCCACCCGAATCCTCAGTTTTCACAGGTGAATGTTATGGACTTTTAAAGGCCCTGGAATATGTTATTATTATGAAGCTTAAGAAAACAATTGTATTCTGTGACTCAATGAGCGCTCTTCAGGCTGTTGGTAAATTTCCCTTTCGAATGAAAACATATTATCCTGTTATTTCTGAAATAAGAAAATTACTTTATAAGTGTTACGTTAACAACTACTACGTACAATTTATGTGGATCCCAAGTCATTGCGGTATAGGTGGCAATGAGATAGCTGATATATTAGCAAATGAGGCCGTGAACTGTGGTGACATGCATCCATATAAAAATTTTAGCCATGACCTCTTGTCTATAGCCAAGACTGATCTTAATAGTGCCTGGTGTAATATTTGGGAAAATAGCTCAAGTAAAAAAGGTAAATTTTATGCTTCTATTCAACCACACATCTCTGTTAAACCATGGTACCGTACTGCTGATTACGGAAGAAAGGCTATTTCAATAATAATTCGCATGCGACTTGGACATGTTTGCACTCCTGATCATCTCTTTAGACTTGGTATTATTAACAATAACATTTGTGACTGCGGTAAGGGTATTATTGGCGAACTAAATCACATCATTTTTGCTTGTTTAAAGTATGATCGCTCCTTCTTTTTAAATGACCTAATATCAATTAAAATTCCTTTCCCAACTTCCGTATCCTCCTTGCTCGCTACGAATAACCCATCTGTATATAAATCCCTAGCAAAATTTATTATTTTCAACAATATTAAACTGTAATATAATTTATTTCTATCATTCCTTTACCTACCTTATGTTATAATAATATCCTTCATCTTATCCTTATACCCTTCTAATCCTTATTATTCCAAATTCCCGTTAACCTTAAACTTTATCCCTTTCCTGACGTTTCCCTAACTTTACTCAAAAAATAATGTCATTGGCTAAATGCACAAGCCGTGCGAAGCCAGAAAGAAAAAAAAAAAAAAAAAAAAAAAAAAGCATTTATACTCTTTGATTGATATGCGTTAGCGAATAGGCTTTGGTGATGCATACCTACATTTTTTTTAAAAGCAGTCTTATTATTACAGAACGATATACTCTGTTATTATTCAGAACTGAATTCCTAAAGAATTCAATAACTACGTTACGTTGCTGAAAGAAACCGCTACTTAACTAAAATGTTTTACCGCGTACTTCAGAGAACTTTAATTCCAACCTTTAGATCGATAAACGATGCAACAGCAGTTACAACAACAAAATATGTCAATTCATCAAGTAAGTTTATCTAATTAACTTTACAGTTCATATCGTATCTCAAGCGCTATTAAATAATTATATATTATTCAATAATTTCTCTAGGAAATGTGCCATATAACATAAGCTGTCATATTCAATACCGGCTGTTTTCTATGAAACCTAATCCTGAAGAGATGATAGTGAGTTTTGAAGAAGTTAAAAATGCTACTTCAAACAATAACGTATTAATAGTAGATGTAAGAGAGCCAGATGAAATTAAAGAACATGGAAAAATTCCAAATAGTATCAACATACCATGTAAGTGATTAATAACAATCTTATGCATTAATATTGAAATTATATCTATCAATCTCACTTAATTTATTACAGTGGGTGATGTTACTAAAGTACTGAGTACTATGTCAGAAGAGGATTTTAGAAAAATATACAATAGATCAAAACCATCAGAAGATAGCCCCATTATTTTCTATTGTATGATTGGTAAAAGGTCTGGCATGGCTCAGCAAAATAGTTTGAACCTGGGATATAAGAAGTAAGCATCATCAAATTCCTATTTCAAAGAATTTTTATGCAGCACATAAACAAATGTGAAGGTTGATATTTCAATTATATTAATTTTACATGATTACAAGAAGTGACAAGGCATTATTTTTTCAGTGTCAAAAATTACCTTGGTAGCTGGACAGAATGGGCTTCGAAGATGCAGTCATAAATAGCAAAAGGATTTTTTAAATCATCATCATCATCTAGTCAAATACAGGGGAAAGTGCATTCATCAAAGAAAATTCTTGTTAATTTCATAGTAATGTCACATACTACCTTTTGTAGGCATTTTTGTCTTATAGCAGAATAGCAAACCAAAGAAACAAATGAATTTTAAATTTTGAAACTAAAATGAATCTTAAATCAGTTCTTTCCATATTATCAAATTGCATTCAGTTCAGTCACAAATTTTCAGAGAAATTAAATAGATGTTTTGTTGTTAATATTTGAAATATTAACAAATATATAAAAGGTTTCTAAGTAAAACATTTCAAGAACCTATATTAATTTATTATGCATTAACAATGGACCATACATCACAGTTAATATTGTACAGATAATTCACTTTTGTTTACTTGACCAGTCATTCCAACTGCCAAGATAGGTTTTAGATCTGTAAAAGAAAAAATTATAGTATTCATAAAGTAAAACTAATTCAATAATTAACATATATTTTATTATTTCAAACTAAAACTGAGCTGCTTCAACTGTAATTTATAAGAAATTGATCTACAGATTTCTAAAATGTTTTCTCAAAACCTATTCCAGCAAATATATGTTAAATACAAATTAATTCTAAATAACCACTACTTACTTTGAATAACCAAGTTTTAAAGCTTTATCTAAAGCTTCTGATGAACGGCGACCAGATTGACAATAAAATATAAGTTCATCTGATGCAGATGGCTTTGTTCTCTGAAAGTGTTTCTTGAATTCATCATCAGACATAGATGTTAATGCATCTTGCATGGCATTCACTGGAATTATAGTAAAGCATTTACAGGCTACAATATATTGGAAACATGACCAGTTTTGAAATTAAAATTTAATATAACCAGCAAACTATAAAGATACCTTCAACGTAATAAAATATATGTTGCAATGGAGATATAATTTAGTTTTCAAATTAACCATTCAATCAGTTAACAACTCAAGAAGTTTGGAATAATTATTGGGTTAATAATCTTTCAGTGCAGCAGTTATTTAGTAGATTAAAACAAAAGAAAAAAGGATTAAAAAATGAATTACGTGGAATATTAATGCTCGAGGGTATCTTCCCGGTTGCGCTCACTTCATCAGGATTGCGGACATCAATGATAACTTTTTCAGGCTGATGAATAACTTTAAGCATATCTTCATAGCTAACTACTCTTTGTGGATCCACCATTTTATCACTATTATATTTATTTACTGATATGTTCCTTGTAAATGAAGAAAATAACTGGCCTAGAAAAATCATTAATGTCAAAGTCATAAAACTATTTAGTAAAACTGTGAAGAAAAAACATTATGATTGATTTGTGCAAAGAGCTTGCAATCATTAATGAAGTAAAGGTAAAGGCAAATACATAAAACTGTAATTTATCTATCTTGACTCGACCTTGGAATAATAATTACCTTTTTTAAACGTGCTGTTATTAAAAGCGATATTTTTATTTTTTGATGTATATGATAAATTTTTAATGAGGTTTTCCACAGCGTGTAATCTCACTGCACTCAATCTAACAGTATTTCGAGAAATTAGGAAGGTAAACATTTAAATTAAGTCTGAAAAACCCTTGCACAACAAAGAAAAGGCAGGCAAGCGCGCAGTACCGACCGGCAGCAGCAACCACAAATCTATATACAAACTGCCTCACTGTTAGTAGGAAACGTCAAATCACAAATTATTAATATGTAGCAAGCTACGCATAAACTACGTCAAGTGCGGGATAACACTACGAGTTCTTGTCAGTGTAATGAACGGCATGGCATGGATTTAGTACTTAACTTAAAACAGGATTTATAACTCCGAAAAATCGTAATGGAATAAATGTACTTTATAACTATCATTCAAAATATACTTTTCATTGCTCTGTACAGGGAACTAATGAACTAATTGTCTAACTTTAAAATCTATCGCTTCGGTTTGAAAGATGTTGTATAATCATTCTTTTTTTTGAAGACAGTTGATAAAAAGTATTTGTATTATGCAGCAATGGTTGTGCAACACCTTTCAAACTGAAAGCAATTGCAATAGATTTAAAATTATACAATCAGGGGGCAGAAGCTAATCCGAACCGAGAGAGATTGTCACAACGGAGATCGTGTGTCTCGTTCTTTCACCTTGCCGTGATTAAAATTAATTGTTGATTAAAATTTTTAAAAACAGCAAACATTTGTATTTTAATGGTTAATATTTAAAAAACGAAAGTTATTATATAGTCATATTCATTACTGTACACAATATCAATCATAAAAGAGAGTATTTATTTTTATCAGTCTATTTGTTTTATTTTCTACTGGTATCCCTTTGAAGTGTCATGGCGGGAAGACTTTTTGGCGGGCTTTTGAACGCACTAGGCGCGAATTTTAAAAGTTTCTTCAAAATAATTTTAATTTCTTGATTTTAATTCTAGTTTTAATTAAAAAGTACTGTAAAATAGTTATTAATATTGTACATTTAAATAATCATGCCGGACGGGGACGACCCGCCCGGCGGGACCGAAAAACGAAAAGCTCCTAATAGAGCAAGTGAAGCAGACAAGGCAGCCTCTGAAGATTTTTACAAACCATATATTAAACATGATTATAAAAGACTGTTTCCTGACAATGCGGTGAGTGCTGAATACTGTGTTTTCGTAGAAAGTTATAAAGAAAACGAAAAATTAGGCAACAACAATCCAATTCTGACGACCAATCTGTTCAAAAACGATATAAAGGGCATCATCAATATAAAAAGGATCAACCCCACTAAAATCTGTGTGACCTTTTCTCAAGCGAACCACGCCAATAACTTTCTAAAAAATGAAGATTTCTTATCAAAGCACAAATTCAAAGCATATATCCCGGCCTCAGCAGTAGAAAAGATTGGTGTACTACGCTTCGTACCCACCAGTATTAGTAACGAAGAGTTATTTAAGAAATTAAGCTCTCCTTTTGAAATTGTAGCTGTACGTAGGTTTACAAAAAAAGAGAATGGTACTGTCAAAACTTTTAAAACAGTCAGCATAACTTTCTTATCAAATGTACTACCAGAATACGTTTATCTTGATTTGTTCCGATTCAGAGTCCATGAATATAATGCACCTTTATTACAGTGTTATAAGTGCTTTAAATTCAACCATGGGGCGAAAGTATGCAAATCGGTACAAAAATGCTCCGTTTGTTCCGAGGAGCACCATTACACACAATGTCCAAATGATAAAGTCATTAAATGTTCAAACTGTCAAGGTTCACATCTCTCTATTTCACGTGACTGTCCTATTAAAAAACAAAAAATTGACGAAAAGAAAAACAAAGTAAGTTATGCAAACGCTTTATTATCCAAAAGAGAACGATACAATGGTAATATGACTATGAATAATTATCAAACTAACTTCCCGCAATTGTCTACCCCTAAAAAGCCCTTAACACCAAATAAAATACAAGGCTCCACCACTACCCCTTCTACCATCCTAAATCCTACACAAACCACAGAAGTGGTGAAACTTTCAAATGAAAAGTTAATTGATGAAATAATCAATAACGACTTTATCCGCAAGGCCATAGTTGGCGCACTGGTTGCAATAGGAAATGAAGATAGAGCCATAACTAGTAACATAATACAGGAGATACTTATTAAAACTCTAAAACCTAAATAATGGATAAAAGTTTTCTAAGAATATCCCAGTTTAACATAGAAGGTGTTATTAACAAAAAACCACTCCTCATCAATTATCTTCAAGAGAATCACATAGATATTTGCTTATTAAATGAAACCTGGTTAAAAGAAAATAATAATATACATATTTCTAGCTATGACATAATTAATCAAATAGGTATTGGTGGTCGAGGTGGAGTCTCGATCTTGATCAAAAATTATTTCAAATATTCTGTCCATTCAATTCCTTTCTATGAAGAATCACAAGCAGTAGGTATTACCATACTTACTGATATAGGTAATCTCTCTATATTGTGCATTTATTGTCCTCCTCCGAAGCAAGGGCGTTTAAACTTTCAGAGCAACAATTTAAAAAAGATTATTAATGATTTACCTAAACCTATATTAGTCTCAGGAGATTTTAATGCACACCACATAGCATTTGGCTGTCACTCAACTAACAACAGAGGTAACAATATTTACAACATGTTTGACGAATGCGATTTATGCATCCTAAATTCGGGCTCTACAACCACTGTAGGACGTGTTGGTCAAAGTCCTTCAGCAATAGACATATCATGTGTTAGTCCTTCTGTGGCTCCATTGTGTAACTGGAGTGTATATTCTGACTCAATGGGCAGTTATCATTATCCCACCATCATAGATATTCACGTCTCAATTGAAAAATATGAAATAGGCGAACCTTTTGAACGGTTTCTATACAACAGAGCCGATTGGAAAAACTTTTATATTGACAGTGAATCAGCATTTGATGATATTACAATTGAAAATAATAATTCTCTGAATACATATAATAATTTTTGTAAGATATTAAATATTCTCAAAGAAAAATATATACCTAAATTAAAAAAGAATACTACATTCGTTAAAAAGAAACCAGTTCCATGGTGGGACGATGAGTGTAAAGAAGTTGTCAAAAAAAGCAAACTAGCATTAAATTTCTATAGATCTCATCCAACTATTGATAATTACATAGAATACAAAAAAAGTGACGCTCACAAAAAGCGACTACTCTGTGAAAAGAAAAAAAACAGTTGGTTAAAATTATGTGAGTCCTTTAATAGATACACTCCAGTAAGCATAATATGGAATTACATGAGGCGATTCAAAAGAATTTCATCTTCCAAACGACCTAAAAATGATGACTGGGTCCCATCCTTTTTTGATAAATATGCACCTTCAATTCCATCTGAAAAAGATATAGATTTGGATAAGTTAAAATATTTTTTTGATAGCAATGGAAGTTTAAATGCTCAATTTCTTATAAAACCATTCACATGGGAAGAATTCCAAACATCCTTACAGTCTAGAAAAGACACTACCCCTGGTCTTGATGATATCACATATAATCTTATAAAAAAATTGCATATAAATGCACAAAAAAAGTTACTCGTTATATTTAATTTACTCTGGGAATGCCAGACAATACCACAATCATGGAAGACACAGTGTGTTATTCCAATCCTTAAACCAGATAAGCCAATACAAGAAAGCAATTCATATAGACCTATTTCTTTGTCCTCTTGTATAGGTAAGATATTTGAAAACATTATCAAAATAAGATTAGATTATTACATTGAAAGTAATAGAATATTACCTATAGAACAATTTGGGTTTCGCAAAGGTCGCAGTGCTGCAGAGAGCTTTATTTCATTGATATCTGATATAAAAACATCATTTCTTCAACATTCCGTGACAGTTTGTGCATTTCTTGATGTTAAAGGTGCATTCGATAATGTGAATCCTTCCATCATGTCCCAAGTCCTTCATGATATTGGTGTTCCAGGTAAACTCTGTAAATGGGTGTTTGATTTTTTATTTAACAGACATATGTATATAAAGTATAACAATATATTACATGGTCCAAGAAATGTCTACAAAGGTACTATGCAAGGAGCAACAATCTCTCCTATATTGTATAATATTTATACATGTCAAATTAAACAACATTTAAAGGAAAATAATGTATATTTTCTACAATTTGCTGATGACCTAGTTATATATACTGTAAATAATAATGTAAATATTGCTATCAATAAAATAAATAGAGCATTAACAGAAATACACCACTATTACAAAAATATATTAAAATTAGAAATAAGTGCCTCAAAAAGTTCTGCTATGATTTTTAGTAAGATACCTTATAGTACACTTAATAATGATGTTATGTACAATAATAGTTGTTTACCATGGGTTCAAGACCACAAATTCTTGGGTGTATGTTTAGATCCTAAGTTGAGCTTTCAGAAACATTTTGATAAGATAATCAAAAGTGCCACACAAGGTTTAAATGTACTTAGATCTCTGGCTGGTATACATTGGGGTTCAGATCCGAAAATTTTGTCAATGCTTTATAAAAGCGTGGTAAGAAGTCACTTTGACTACAGTTGTCTAGCATACATGAATGCTAATTCAAGTTTATTACGTAAATTAGATGTTCTTCAAAATAGAGCTTTGAGAATAATAACTGGGGCAATGTGTTCTACTCCTATTCATGTGATGCAATCAGAAAGCTGTATTCCACCACTCATATTCAGGCGTTTACAGTTGGCAGAAAGATTTTGCTTAAGAACTATTTCTTATAAAAGCTCATTTATTACAGGCAGACTATTACCTTTAGAAACTTTACAGAATATGCAAAGAGGTTCTTATATCAATAATGCTTCACTTAATACTGGATACACTCCAGAAATGGTAGCAATTGTGCTATATGTACATAAATTTTATTCAAATCTGTATATAGATAATACTTGGCCTCTGTACAATATTTCATATAATGCATTGATAAATTGTAATTTCATATTACATTCTGAACCAATACAAAATAACAAAGATTTAATGCAATTTCTAGAAAACCAATCTTATTATAGAGTATACACAGATGGTTCTAAGACTGATAATAGAGTGACATCTGCTTATTATGATGTCCAGCTAAATTTAAGCAAATGTATATTAATCCCAAGTAATTGTAGTATATATACAGCTGAATGTTATGCTATCTATCAGGCTTTAATATATATCTCAGCACTACAAAATGTTAACAAGTTTTTAATTCTTTCTGATTCACAAAGTGTATTAAATTCATTTAGAAATAGTTGTAAATATGATGTTAATTATTTAGTGTTTTATATCAAACAAGTCTTAAGTAACCTAAATGATTCAGATAAAACTATACATTTTATGTGGGTACCTTCGCATAGTGGCATTACAGGAAACGTAAAGGCTGATGAAATAGCACGATCCACACCCAATGAAGACCATTCACAATCAATGAAGATTCCTTTTACTGACTTTAAGGCTGTTGTTAATCAAAACTTGGCGATGCTCTGGAAAAACCAATGGGAGTTAATTAGCAAAGAGAAAGGTCAATGGTACAAAAAGGTCCAAGGAAGCCCGCCCGCCCAACCTTGGTGGTACAATAAATCAATACAGAGTAGAAAGTTCATAACTACTATAAACAGATTGAGATTTGGTCATGGTCAGTTTCGCACTCACCTGCATAGATTGAAGATGGCAGATGATCCAAAATGCCCTGATTGTAAAGAAAATGAAGATCTGCAACATATCATATTCAAATGTAAACGGTTTGGACTACATCGCTTGGTACTTGTTAGCGAACTTGAAGCAATCACCAAGAACATACCATCAACGCTGGAAGAATTATTAAAAGACTACAAATACTTTAAACCGTTATTCAAGTTTGTTGTCAACACTGTCAAAAATATCTGAGTGAGAAGAAAGAACAATGAACGAATTTTGTCTTGTATTCTGTCAAAAAACTATGTAAGGCTTAAAAGGACTAGTATCCAGAGCCGTAAACACTAATAAATAAAAAAAAAAAATCATGGCGGGAAAAATTTGATATTATTTTTACGTACTAATAATTCGCATTTTTAATACAGTTGCTTTATAAGTATTTAAAATGCTCAAAAAGTGTTGCGTTTATGCGTGTCCAAGCGAATCTTATAGTGGTTGCAATATATCTTTTCACAGGTAAGATAAAAATAACAAAATTGTAAATCTAATACTATGCTTACCATGAAATCATGTAAAATGTGGATGTTGACTTGTGTATTAAATGTGTGGTCAAAGTAAAGTATTGTTATTCACAGTCGTTTTCGTTTAATCAAATAAATAGGAAGTGCATATAACCGAGTTCTTGGTAGTATTCTGTTTCACTTGTGTATAACTGAGACATTTTAATTTATTTGATTAAACGAAACATATTTTTAACCGACTTCTAAATCAAAAAGGAGGGGGTTCTATGTTTGACGGATATGTATGTTTTTTATTTATGTTATCCGATTTTTCTGCAATTTGTTGACCGATTTTCGAAATACTTTTTTTTTATTAGATTGCTATGGGTTCGAGGTGGTCCTATATGTAATAATTATTTTATCTGATTGGAATTTAGTTTTTATTATTAATTACACAAAATAAGCCAAATATTTAACAATTATTTTGCGTATCTCTGCTTCTTCTTTTTTTAATGAATGGCTTATCTGCGCCTTTCGCACAATTCTACAATGTCAAGTAAATAAATTAATTTTTACATGTAAAAAGCTTTATATATTATAGATAAAATTAATGAAAGATGGCGATCAATTCTTGTGTATCTCTAATAACACTATTTTGATATGCCGGCTTCCTGTTTACGTATGACGTGACAGGAAACAGCCGCCGCAGGTAATAGAACCTGTTATTGGTTGCAACGACAACCAATGAGGAAGTATTTTAAGAAAAAAAGAACTAAAAAGCACCTCACTAGATGGCGACTTTATCAAAAGTTGATGTTTGCAGGAATCGAATGCACTAAAGATAGACATTTCTGTTCCTTTTACTAACATATTATAAAACTGAAATTTTCAATACAAATACGAAAAGTTCAAATAGAATATGAGTCAAGTTTCGTAAATTAATTTACCCTACATGATACATTAAAGAAAACCGGAAGGGTTGTCATGGAGAAATCAAGAAAGCACCGTAGCGACATCTAATTTGATTTCGAGAACTGTTTTTTTAAATAGTTCCTCATTACAGTGCGTTTTCATAGTTCATTTCAATTTCTGAAAATGTTGCATTTTCTTTACGTTATTTTACTAAATTTAAACATGTTTCGTCTGCAGATTCTAAGAAATCAACTTGATTAGAATATTATCTAACGGATGACCACAACATGAATCTTATTTCAAGTGTCAAATACGCTATTATCTAGATGTAACTGATCATTTCGGTCCAATATGACTTTCAGTTAGAATGAGAACCCGGTGTTTATTAGTAGACCTTTGTGACATTGGGCATAAAATAAAAGAATCTAATTTTATGAAAATAAAAACCTTTATTTTCTATCATTACTCCATTTGTAAGCTCAGTCTTAATTTCATATTTCTATACAATGTGATGATTAAACTTATTTAACATCAAACAAAAATGTTACGAAAACTTGTTGAAATTGTAGTAAATATAAAATGTGATTGTGGTCCTAAGAAAATTTATAAAATTAAGTTTTGAGTAAAGAGTCTTATGTAATATTTCATAAATTCATTAATTAAATTTTGCTATAAATAAAAAAAAATTAATGATTACTAGCCATTTTCTCAAAATATTTCTTCTTTTCATCTGGATTAGGAATGATCTGAAACAATATCATTGCACTGTGATCATTAACAATAATAAACAGAGTAGATAATAGGACATAAAAGATTGAGGATGTTAATTATAAAATAAAAATAAATATATTAACCGTATCCTGTCCTGGCTTCCAGCCAGCTGGACAGACTTCCCCATGTTGGTCTGTGTATTGGAATGCTTGAACTAATCGAAGAGTTTCATCAACTGAACGTCCTACAGGTAAATCATTCATTGTTATCTGCCTTAAAATTCCTTTGTCATCAATAATAAATAGCCCTCTCAATGTATGTCCGACATCTTCTAGGTATACTCCATAATCTTTAGCAATAGAATGTGTCAAGTCACTGAGGAGTGGAATTCTAATTTTTCCTAATCCACCTTCTTTTCGCGGGGTGTTAATCCATGCAAGGTGAGTGAAATGAGAATCAACAGAGCAGGCAACAACTTCAGTATTAATTTTTTTGAATTCTTCAATTCTCTCGGAAAATGCCAAAATCTCAGTTGGGCAAACAAAAGTGCTGTGAAGAAAATATGTAATTGCATAATTAGTTAGTCATTAAAATTTAAATAATGCTGACAGTAATCAGTATTTAATACTAAAACAGACAGAAAATTGGTAGAAAATGCAACTTTAAAGTCAAAATAATAAATGCTTCATACATGAATGAGTGCTTCATAAATGAGTGTTGTAATAATAAAGGGAATATATTAGATATTTGGGTTTAAGGCAATATAATTAACATTAAAATAGTTTCAAGCAATGGTAAAATATCAATAGAGCCATAACAACATTTGGTTAGATATACATTTTTTTATTATTGTTTTTTTTTGTTACGGCCTTGTTCCATTATGCACAGAAAAAAATGTTAGTAGATACATACAAATCCAGGGGATAAAAGAAGAAAACCAAATATTTTCCCATAAAACTCGATAGCGATAACTGCTTAATTTCTCCATTAATAACTGCAGTTGCCTCCCACTCAGGAGCCGGTTTTGAAACTAAATAAAACAAAATAAGAACAATGATAATTAAAATTATAATGTTTTGCTGCTTGGTTATAAGGTCTAATAAAACTTACTCATTGCTTTTGTAAATTGCAATTTGTGGTCAATTTTTCTAGCTCCTCCAGGGAACACATTTCCGCTACCAAATGAATAACAAGAATCACTTTCGAATAAAGCTGATTTACCGTATCCTCCCAACGATATGATTAATAAAGCTGTTATTAAAATATACTTCATGGTTTGAGAACTTATGATAAAAGCACTAATTATATATACTATCAATATTATCTTGCAATGCAACGTATAAACTTTTCACGCTTCTTTACCAAGTTATTGATAAAATTTGATAATAAAGCGAGATTATGACAAATTACACGTAAACGATTTTTTTATAACACCGTTCCGTTTCACATTTGTTTTTAAGACATGATACAAAATTAGTTCCCTATTTTATATTTTTATGATTGTAATTAGATACTGATTTTTCTATGTCATATTTATTATACTATTTAAAAAAATTTAAGAAATGTTTAGTTTTTTCATACCGATTGCATCACGTTCAATTGAATACTTACACTTACTATTAATTCCCTCAGGTTCCTAAATTTAGGGACATCACTATTTGTGATGTCGCTTCGTTCGCAAGTAGCGAATGTTGCGTTATTTTCTTATGTTTTTCTGTTTTAGAGTTTAATTATTCAAGAGAATGGGTTATTTTTGTGTTATTTGGTTCTTTTTGTGAAGTTAAATTGTATCGTGTCCATCGCAAACGTTTGCGGTAAGTTTCAAAGTTTGGTATAATCCACTTGTTCACTATGGCGGTCTTCATTAACATTACTTTGATGCTGTTGTAATTATTTTCATCATTCATGAACTATCATCTATCACAGTTTCTTTTTTGTTTTACAACGTTTTATAATAATGTCTTGTAGATGGACGGGCCGGACGAGGGTGTTCTGGATGTGGAATTATTAGGTGACGATGGTTCTGAGGAAGAAGGTGAAGTGCCGCCGTCTTCAGGTACGCAGGTTTTTATAATGATTGACCAGTTACTCTAGTGTGTTGTCTTAAGTCGTTTGTACTTGTAAATCTTGGGTTTTTAAATATAAAAGTTAAATAAATTAGTATTTTTCTTCTTTAACTGGATTGTGATAATTAGAAAAATAATGATCAATTAGGCCAATAACTATAATGTAATTGTTTGGATCTAACATCAACTTTTCTAATAAATTCTTCAAAAACCATCCCAATAGAATGAATACCAACACTTGAGATGATTGTAGTTTTTATTTATTTTTCACATTTTTATCTAAATGTAACCAATTTAGTACCCATATACACCTAACCTCTATACCACTTCTTCTTGTGTTTATTTTTTTCAGTTTTAATTTTTCGGTGACATTGACTTTGATTAGAGATGCGCCGAATAGTGGTTTCACAATATAACTGAATAATAAATTTTATTGAGTTTCACCTCTATCAAACTGGATATTAGTTCAAATTATTTGGTTTATTATTTTATTATTTTGCCACATACAACAGGCTCAAAAATTAATGTTTAATTATTTTTTTTTTTTTTTTTTATTAGTTTTATTAAAAACATTCTTCATTAGATTTATTTTACTTAAAATTATAAAAACTAACATGTATATTAAATAAGAAGTTTTGTCTTTTTAACCATATTAAAATCCAAAAGGAGGTTATATTTTCAATGGCAATTTTTTTTTATGTATGTCCATCAGTATTTCTGCTGATTATTGACTGATTTTCAAAATTCTTTGTTCAACAGCTTAATTGACCGAGGGGTCCCATTAAAATTTTATTGAAATCAAATCAGTATTTTTCCTTTCATAACTAAACAAAATATGTATTTTCACCACATATCACCAAAATATTTAGATGATATGTTTTTAAGCTAAAAAGCAAAAGATTGCATATATTCAATTTATAAAATATCTGAAAGGAGGATTTTTATATGTATATTTTTTTACGAAAGTAGGTTTGTTTATCAAGTACTACTTGAATTATGAAACAATTTATATTGGAACTGTTTAAACTTCGCCTGCCTATGTCCAACGCGTATTTGTAGCTTCCCATAGATAAAAGACTTATAAATTGCTCCAATAGTTTCTCCAATAAAGAGCCTATCCAATGCAAACAAACAAACTATCAAATCTTTTAACTTTATGAGTATAAAATTATTGGAGAAAAAAACAAAACCTCCATTTCTAACTTACTATGTTGAATATTTTGAAATATATAGAAATTTAATATTTTTAGTGTTACATATAATATAAAAAATATAAATATTCTCTTAAAAGCATGAAATAAAACTTTTAAAAAAATATGAGGACTTCAAACTTTATAAATGTAATTTTAATACTTATCTCAAAAGCAACTTATTCAAGGATATGCTTTTGAAATTGGACACATATAATTTATTTAATAACCTACAGAAAACCTCCATCCGACTTTAATAAGATTGTCTTGATTATATTATTTTTGAGGTAAATATTATTTATCACTTTTTTAAAGTTTAATTTTTTTTGCAGTGTTTATTCCATAAGTCTATACCATGCTGTGTAGGCTAGAATACAGAAATATTCGAACCGAATATATTTGGCACCAAAACCGAATAATTCGGACGAATACAAATAGTGAAAAAGGTGCCGAATACGCTGAAATGTTCGGCGCATCTCTAATTTTGATACATAATCTAAAGAAAGATGTCTTTTTTTTTTTCAATGTTTATGAAGTAGGTACATGAAGAATGTTATGAATCCCATCTAATGAATAATGATTCCCATCTCAGGGTGCCATCCACCATGTGGACATTTCCACTCATTATTATTATTCTTTTACAACATTTGCATGCTATTGTTAATTGCTGAATGGCATGAGAAGTTGATATTTTATTTTTAAGAGATTAAGGAGTCAATTAATAATCTTCAGGTTTTCGCACTTATTTTTGTTTTAACTATAGATATAGTTACTTCTGGTTTTCTATATTAAGACAAAATAGTACACAACTTTTTTGTTAATAATCAATCAAAAATACTTTGATGTTTTGCAACTGTAATTTGAGACACTGTAAATTGGACTTGTTAAGTGAATTCACTTCTTAGCTTGAATCCTCTTTCTTTATCTGTTATGGGGTTGAATCTTCTTTTATCTAAAAGTTTGTTACTGAAGGTATTTTGACAGTTTTTTATTGAACTTAAAAATGATCATATTATCTAATGATAACATTATTTTTTTTGTATCTATCTTTAATTCTTGATAATAACCAAGTTAGATAGATTTCTATACAGGGCCAGGCTCAACACCAACATCATGTGCATCATCACCCCGTGGCGAAGAGCCTGCTTCTCCATTGGCTGTGGTCTCCCAGCCTTCATTTTTCCATCACCAACCTTATGCACGACCTTTCTTTACGTCGGCCAGACGTGGCCCAGGTCGACCGCGTAAAGAAGGCCCGAAACTTGTTAAAGAAGGAAAAATTGTGAGAAGGTAAATTTTTTTTTTTAATTATATAATCTAATAAATTGTCTTACAATTATTTTATTTCAATTTTTTCATGTAATATAGGTATAGGAATCCCGGTACAGTACGAGGAGCAAAGAGGCACCGTGGCAGCCGTGATGATGCATTAGATGATGCTATGGATGAAGACGATTTCACTATGCCAGCTCCGGAAGAACCTCCTTACATGCCTGAAAAATGGTAATCTAATGATAGTTTAGATAAATTTTGCTCATTCATTTTGTTTAAAAAATATATTAATTTTTACATTTATAATGATTGCTATAAATATTTCCGTTAACAAGAAGTTTGAAAATTTTTTTAGGCCTGGAAAAGTTTGTGCTTTATGTAATTTGAGCGAACGTAGTCAACTTGGACAAGGAGAAATGAGACAATTTTTATGCAATGTTGGTGAGGGTGATGGTAGTGTGACCCCTGGTGTATCCAACTCTGGTGGAGCAACTCCCACTGGAATTCCCACACCAACCAGCACCCCTACAACCCCAGTGCCTCCAGGACTAGCTTCACCACCACCCGAGTTCATGGACACTAATCCACCACAAGCAGCTTTGCCTTTGAGTAGACGACAAAAAGCATTCAACAAGTGCAAGTGAGTTATTAGCCTATTTTAATTGGATGTTTTTTTTTAGTATTACAATAAACTCTCAAGTTTATTCGAAATCCACTTTACCACATAATTTATTTCCCATTTTGTGCCATGCGCAGACTGCGCATAGGCGCTGTTTCACGCATCCTTTAGTTTTCATACTTTGCCGCCTTCTTAACACGTCAACACAGTCAATAAAAACATGCAAGTATATTCACAGCAATATCAATAATATTCTAAAATAAGTTCCAACTACCTATCAACTCGAACAATGACCGAACGTACGATTAAAATTTACAGTTAGCCTTGTTTCACTAAAGATAAGGTGTAAAATACCAAGCATCAGTGGTCTGTTTTACTCACACTCAACTGGGGATCGTCCGATTGCGTGATACTAGGATCAATTTGATTAGCCGGCATTTGCTCGTTTCAAAATTTTGCCCCCCGCTCAGGTACCCCAGTAAGACACATTAGTTTTATCTAACTGTAAGTACGTACCTTTTACCATTATATTTCGCGGTATTGACGCAATTCGGAGAGTTGACAGTAACCTGGGACTTCCCGATATTTTTGTTATCCGAACCAGTCGCAATCCCAATATTTCAAATAAAAAAAACTAAAACTAAATTAAACGGGAGTTCACTGTGCTTTTTCTCTTTTCCTATAGAAAGAAATTAATTTTTATTTTAGGACTCCTATCTACAACTTGGAACATACTGACGAATTATCAATAATTGGCCACGTCGAAGTTATGGAGCTAAGTGGAGTAGTATCGTCTGGAGCATTTTACGTTCATCGTTGTTGTCTTGAGTTTAGCCCTCCATTTCAAGACCAAGTCGCGGCAGCCTCTAATTCCGACGAAGATAAGGAACAATTGGAGGAAGCTAGGATTAGAGGAATAGTGACTGTTGCTCTCTCAAGGAAGTGTGCCTTCTGTATGAGACATGGTGCTAGTATTCCTTGTAAAGTGAGTTGTTTGACATTTTTTGTGAAGTTTCATCTTCTTAATACATATAAACAGCTATATTTTTTTGTTAATAGATGAGTTGCAGTAAGTACTTCCACCTTCCATGTGTTCTTGCATCTGGAGGCTACATGGAGTTTCATACTAAATCATCTTTTTGTAAAGATCACTTATACCAAATACCACTTGTTTGTAAGTATTTATCAAATGTTTCGTCCTTTTACAATATTGATCGCATGATATGTGAATAAATGAATGGAATTGTGAAGAAATAATATCTTTTTGTTTGTATAGGTTCAGCGGATATAGAATGCCGGACTTGCAGAACTATCGGAGATATTGCAAACTTAATGACTTGTGTTACCTGTGGTGCTCATTATCATGGCACTTGTGTTGGTCTTGCGCAGTTACCAGGTATTGTAAAAAAATAGTACTTTGAAATGTATCTTTTGATTTAATTCCATCTATAGGGAAGGCCTGTTAATGTTCAGTTCCAGAAGTATTTTTTATATTCAAATACTAACTACACAGAAAATATCATATTTAAGGTGTTCTCTTGATGAATATAACAAAGAATTGTATTGTATTGACATTTTTTCTACTTTGTTAGCTGTTGTGTGTGAGCTGTTGGTCGCTAATGGTGGCTAATAGGCTGATGGCGGTGTTAGAAAAAAAAAACTAAGTGTTTATATACATATATGATACCTACCCTATTGAAAATGTTCCTTTTTTATAATATTTAGGAAACAAGTTTCTTTTTATTAGAGTATTAATTTAAACACAGTGGTATTAAAATTCTACAAAAATAACTGTAACTCTCGACATATAAATATTGACATAAAAAAGGAATTTTTTTCTTTCGTGAAAGGAATCCTTTTGTGGTGAATTATGAATTTAGAGTACCGTTTTGCTATTGCGTCAGGTGTGCGGTCCGGTTGGTCGTGTCGTGTATGTCGCGTGTGTCAAGTATGTCGCGGCGAGGCGACGTCGGCAGACTCGCGCGCAGTCTCCTGTGAACACTGCGACAAATTGTACCATGCCAACTGCTTGCGACCTATCATGGCGACCGTGCCCAAGTACGGATGGAAGTGTAAGGTAAGCGATAAATATTGTACATGTCGGTAAATATTAATATTTACTATATTTTTTAGATATGTATTTTTAATTTCCATCATGATATATTGCTATCGTTTTCTATACTGAAGTATAGTTCTAAGTTTGGTAAAGAATAAAGGGATTCGAAATTCAGAATACCAACTACTTACAAACCCCACAAGCAGTTGATAATATTAACTTTTAATTTAACTGGTGAACAAAGTGTTACTTCATAATTACATATTGTTAAGTGTAATGGGTATGTATACTTATTATATACAGCGCGCGACTGTAGCATCATCTTTTGACTTACAAATAAAACATAGCCATATAAATGTCACAACAGTATAATAAAAAGTATTGAGTTATGTTAAAACTCTTGGATCAAATGTTGTTTATGATATTAGTTAGTTATCTATTCCTGCGAGGTCGCTTTTTTACAATGACCTTGTATATCAGCCAGTGCCGGATTAGCCACGTAGCAAAAGTAGCAAATGCTACGGGCCACCTGCGTTTGGGGATTCATGCGTCGGAAGCTTGCTAAGGCCAATAAATTATTTTTTCCGTCAGTGTTAAAAATGGTAGAAATAAAATGAGCCACTCATTTTTAAGCAAAAACATAAACTGACAAACAAAACTCAAGTCACAGATTACTTGTGATGTATTTGGCAAGCAAAGAACGACTTTTCTGTTTGGTTTGCAATGTTGCTAATTCCGATTATTCGTCATCGTCATCACGAAAGATATATTAGGTGATTAAAAGAATGCCCACAATTTTTTGAAAAATCATTAACAATTACGTACTATTACTTGTTGTTAAACCTCAAAAACAGGAAAGAGCGTGTCGATACTCACATTGTAAGTCAAATTGAGTCTGAACAGTTACAAATCAAGAAAAGTGTGTTTTTTTTAATTTTATTCATTTTATTGTAATTATGCACATAATGTCAAGCAAACCAAAAAATTAGCTACAGGCCCAGCTGTGGCTTAATCCAGCACTGATATCAGCACACAGCCTTAAATCATCGAAATTGAAGATAATGCCAAAAAATATTAGAAACAGTTTCATTAGCGGTATCTCGATACATATATATAGATTATCACTACTACTATACCAGTAATTAATTAAAGGATATTTTAATAAAATAATAATTTAAAAAAGTCCCTATTGTTTGGTACGACCAACCTAAAGTAAAACTTGTTTGAAGACTACAAAACAAATGACTCTCGTTATTATATAGATTCCCTACAAGTCAGACGGAAAATTTTGCATGCATTGTTCATGTATAAATTATTAATAATAGGATTGATTGTATACCTTTGTTAGATAAAATTGGATTTAAAGTTTTCCTTGTCTCCTCACATTCCAGAAGTACCTTTTTTTGTATTTGAATACTAACTACACAAAAAATATCATATTTAAGGCGTTCTCTTGATGAATATAACAAAAAATTGTATTGTATTGACATATTTTATACTCTTTTACAAATTTATAAACATATGGTGTGAGAGCTGTTATTTGAATAACATAGTAATTGGTACATTTATACAGAGATATTATTGGATGGTATATACATCATAGTCTTAATTATTATATAGGTGATATTTCTAAGCACTTTAATATGGGTCTATTTGTATAATAATTAATTGCATAAATAAATAAATAAAAGACAGAGTTATAATGCGTGTGGTGTGCGCAGTGTTGTCGCGTGTGTTCCGACTGCGGGGCGCGGTCGCCGGGCGCGGGCCCGTCGTCGCGTTGGCACGCGCACTTCACCGTGTGCGACTCGTGCTACCAGCAGCGGAACAAGGGCTCCTGCTGCCCGCTCTGCCGCCGGGCGTATCGCGCCGCCGCCTACCGCGACATGATCCGCTGCACCCTATGCAGGAGGTGAGTATGTGCTCGGATAGACATCCGTCGTCGGTCTAATTGTACTAATATATTAATAGCTGTACCCGCGACCTCGTCCGCGTGGAAAGTAGCCTTATTACACAAGCTATATGCCAGTGAAAATAGGTCCAGCAGTTTCAGAGATTAGCCGGAACAAAAAGACAGACAAATAAATTATTTTGGTATATGTACCGTGTATACATATTTAACAAACACTCAATTTATTTATATAGATTATAATTACAAAGAGGAAAATTTCTTTTTTTTTTACTAAAAATACTGGATACATTTTTAAAATTCCTTCATTTACGCGGATAAAATTACTATTCCCATATTTGCTAATTATTATGTAAGAGTGAATAGGCTTACCATCAGGTGAGATCGTAGTCAAGCGTTAGCTTATAAAGTATATATATATATATATATATATAAATACTGAAAAACTGTGGCAATTAAATTAAAAAAACATGATGCAGTCATTCTTTTTTCATTATAACAATCAAACCTGCGGCTTTAATTTCACAATCAAGGCGTCTTAAAACCCAAGACTCTGCTTAAAACTATCCAAATGCCATTGGCAACTCTAGTCTAACAGAGTACGGCAACAAACTAATTCCACCACATCAATTTTAAAAGAATATATCATTCCACAGATATGTTCATGGAATGTGCGATCCAGAGGCAGAACCGCAACAATATAAGCAGAAGAAAGAATTGAATCCAGCTTATGAATACAACTGTCCTATCTGTAAAAGTCAGGCACCTGCGGGATCTAAGTCTGGCTGTAAGTTAATTGAAAAATTCAAAACGTAAAATAGTTAAATTAATTGATTTATATTTAATTATTTATTGTTTTTAGCCTTTGATGATGATAACGCGGCGTCGACCTCTCAAGATTCGTCGTTTGGTGATGACAGTTTACAACAAGAACAGGATCCTCTAGCTTTAGAAACGTCAAAGGTAAGGAGGACATTTTAAAAGCTTTATATGTATAACAATTACAAAACCGGATTTTTATTTATTTAATTTTACAGCCGGACGTAGGTTTAGGTAAGGGTAAACCGTTTTCCGTGTCGTCAAAAATAGCCAAGAAAAAGATGCAAGGTTACAAGTTGAAAGGTGGCTTTCCGCCGGCGTGCAAATTGGGCTTCCAGAAAAGACAGAGGTCGGTTCTCGAATTCGGGCGAAAGAGAGGTTCGAAACCAAAAATGAGAGGTGTATTTGGAGTACCAGGTCTCGGGTTGCAAAGGCCGCAAGCACCCGATAATAAGACCTCTGAAGATGATCCAGGTTAGTTTTGACATAAACGTAAATTGGTCTGAAGTACCATACTAAGAATATTATTTTCACCATTTCATTTATTTTAGGAATGGAGAATAAACTAATATTGTGTTCGAGTAAGGATAAGTTCGTTTTAACTCAAGATCTTTGCGTCATGTGTGGAGCAGTCGGAACTGATTCCGAAGGGTGCCTTATAGCCTGCGCTCAGTGCGGGCAAACTTATCATCCTTACTGTGTCAATATAAAGGTAAGAAAAACAGTTAAAAATAAGTAGGTCGCAGTAAAATAAAGGTGATTTTTTTTTTTGCAATCATTTTCAAAAGGTATTTTATCAAATTTGAATATTAATTATTAAAATCGAGCATTTCATGAACATAGAAACACAAAAATTATTTGTCTTTTTTAGGTATTTTAATTCTGTAATAGTTTTTTTTCTATCAAGTTGGAAAAATTGTATTAATGTGAATTAATATAATGTTTATCTGTTGTACTGGTAGGTGTCTCAGGTGATAGTGACACTCGGGTGGCGATGCTTAGACTGCACCGTGTGCGAGGGGTGCGGCAGCCGCGGCGACGAGACCCTGCTGCTGCTGTGCGACGACTGCGACACCACGTGGCACACGTACTGCGCGCGGCCGCCGCTGGGCGAGGTGCCGCGCGGCTCGTGGCGGTGCGAGCGGTGCCGCCGCTGTCTGGTGTGCGGCACGCGTGACACGCTCGCCTGGTGCGACAACTACACCGGTCAGTACGCCACGCGCCGGCACAGTGACTTTTAGGCTTGATGAAAATGTATTCAGTGTATCGATATTTTTAACCGATATATATTTTTCCGATGGTATCGAAATATCGATACACAATATCCAGTATTGAAAACCATATTTTTTTAATTCTTATGGCACTGAAGTCGCTGAAACCCGAAACTGTACAAGAAAGGATCGAATGAAAAAAAAGACTATTTTGTCTATGACACATTCTTGATAGTTTTGTAACTTTGTCTTATAAAAAGGAATACCGGTGTTTGTTGAAAATTAATCGTATATCGATATTTTTCCTTTGATATATCGTTGCTAATATTGATTTTTTTTTTCATTTACGACGACATCCCTAGTGACTATATACATTGTCTAGTGGGCGTCGACGTGATTCACTTCATTGAATAAATATAACGTTATCACCATCCCTATAACAATGGTAATATCTAATAACTGTATGAACTTAATCAATCCTTAGACATTAATGGAAGACCCTCAGTCATTGATGGAATCTATCTACTGTTAAGCATATAAACCGTAAGAAGTTACGAATAAAATTTATTTGATGTGATTTTTTAACATTACCATTATTGCACTACTTATTTATGAAAAAAACAGATCTTAAAATATTTACTGTATGTAACCAACGCGCGTTTTTTCCCCCAGAGTGCGCGCCGTGCGCGTCACTAGTGATGTGTTGCGTGTGTTCGGAGCCGTATTCTGACGGAGAACTGATCATACAGTGTGAAGCGTGCTCGCGATGGTTACATGCCACTTGCGACTCTATACGTAACGAGAGCGATGCTGAAACTTGTTGCCGTGCGGGGTGAGTTTATTGTCTTTGTTTATTGCACATCTTTTTGTGTGCGTTTTTCGAATGGTTTCTGAATTGAGAAAATTACAAAATCTCTATTGGTTTTTCTCAACAACTTAAATTTTTTAGTTTCACATGGCAAAAGATCCTAGTTTTATCAAACTGCTATCAACTGATCATTAAGTAGATTAAAATCAGAAACTATCTGTTAAGATGGTTTAAGTACGCTTTGAGACGTGCTTAAATTTAAATTCTTATTTCAGAAACCAGTTGTAAGAATCCCAAGTTGATTTTGCAAAAATAAAATATACTCACAATTTATTTTAAAGCGAAAAATACTGTATAGTTTCCAACATATTGCATAATTTATTGTTATAAATCTCAATTAGCTAACCATAGTTATATGTAATATCAAATATTCCACATTCTACGATTTCTATTGAATGCATACCAGAATAGCCAATATTTTTGTAATTCTTTGTTAAGACTTAATGATAGCATCCTCAATAAACAACAGAATGAAACCAAAGAGTTTGATTAGGTACAAATGCGTGATATGCCGCGGGCGTGAAGTGCCGGCGCCACACTTGCGTGTCCGCGAGCCCGCGCCAGTTGTCCGGCCGCCGCCGCGACCCACCGCTCTCTCTCTAGGGCTCGCGGGCGAGTACTACGTGGACGACGTGTGCCTCTCTCAGCGCGGCGCACATTACATGAAGCAGTTGGAGGCAGAGCTGGGTATCACGCACACGAGGCGCAAGAGACGATTCAAGAATGAAAACGCCGATAAAGACGCCGGTGAGTTGATTTGTTGACGTTTCCATATGGATGTGATGGGTAAAAATATAGACTATTAAAAACTAGACTGTTTTTGAAATTGATAGCATATTATTTTATACTAAAGTTCAGAGACATAAAACAATCTGAAACTTTTAACCAAATCTGTCATTATAAATAGAATTGATACTAAATTCAAATTATTATCTGTTTGTATGACGTTCTAACATGATTTTTTGTGTTGGTCGCTGGCATGTTGGGTTAGAAATAATGGCATCTATTGAAACAGTGGTTCAGAGCAACGACGCTGAACTGGGAGAAGATGCGAAACCAGATAGCACGGCAGAAGTTAAAGATGAACCAGGTATGTATATTAAATATATTTTACAATTTATTTTCACTATAGACTAAACTGTAAATTGAATCTTATTCAGTGGGAATGAATGTTTATAGAAAGTTGCAATATAAATCATTAAATAGATAACTAATTGATAAAGCTTTTAATCGCTATATTTTTCGTTAAGGTATTCTGTCAAATGCAAGCTTAAAAGAAGGAATAATGTGGAATGTTGCTACTGACGGGCCCCCTCCGGAAGGTTTTACTATATGTACCAACGATGCAGGCATCACTATACTGCGCAGAAAGAGACAGAGAAATTTAAATAAACTCGGTATTGGTGGGTTCGTTGTACGACAGAGACAAGCTACGTTAAAGGCTCAAGCTGAGGATGAGAAAGATGGAGATGGCACTCAAGCTGGAGGTAAGACACACTTTAAATTAGTCGTCATGACGATTCTTTCGGTCAGTTGCACAAACGTCCATTAGGATTTAATGACACCCTTAAGCTCTAATGAATGTCAAATTTGTATGGGTAATGTCGCTTTAAAAAAATGATCATTTTAATGAATGTTTGTGCAACTGGCTGTTTAACTATTCAAAATATCGTACGTCTATTCGTACGTCGTTACGACTTATTCCATTGCTAAGGACACATACTTTCTGAAATTTAATAAAATATACACTTTAGAGTATCCTGAGTTATAAACAAAACTTTTTAGAATCGCCAGGTAATAAGAGAAAGCCGCGTCGGAAACCACGGTCTAAGCTTATGGAACAATTTCCATCGTACATGCAGGAAGCTTTCTTTGGAAAAGACCTTTTGGAACCCAGTAAACAAACGGTCACTTCAACAGGTAATTAATTATACTTACGTCGCTTTCCGCCTTTACCTTTAAAGTTAATAACCATTTTAAGTCTTTGCTTGATGATGTTTTGCATGCGATAAGCGCAACGTTTTTTAATATTTGTACCGTAATAAAGGTAATCTATCAGAGAGTCCAGGTGGTCTACCGCGCGGTGGTACACCAGAAGGGTACCGCGAGCTGAGAGACTTTAAAATAGATCTCGATAATTCTGATTCGGACGGCGAAGAGTTCCTGTCTGCACTCAACGCCACCAGTGATGTTGATAATACTGTTCTCATCACATTGAACACGGTCAGTACTTGAAATATGTTAAAAACGCTTATTAACTCGTAAAAAAGAGATTTTGAAAACACTACTTTCTAGACTACTTTGTTGTTGATACTTTATACCAATATTATGTTACCACGAAATATCAAATTTATATCATCGTATATTATATTTTGAACTTAGTTGTGGGCTTTTTAAGGTTAAAATTGATTTAAAAAAATTAGTTTTGACCTGCAGTTGACTGTACATTGTAAAAGCTAATAACAACACATAACGCAAATAGAACATCGAAAATATAAAATATGTAGATCATTGAAAATATAATCTAGAATTGTTAAAGCATATTAAAGCAGTTCTCGATATAAATAACATTACAGGAGGAATTAGAAATACTGAGCACTTTGAAACCAAAAGATGAGAAAGAGGACTCTAGTAATCTTGACGGGAGCGTTAAAATAAAGACTGAAATGGATGACGGCAATTTGAAGCACACGGAAGATTCGACTGCTTTGAAGAATGCGATTCTGGGACCGCAACCAGCTGAGGCGGAACAACCGCCCACAGTAGCCACCGAGAGCATACCCACTGTCCATAGCACCAAGACAGAGAATGTCAGCAGTGGTGAGATATTTTAAATTTGAATCAGCTATAAATGTAGACTTCAATAGTTTTTCCTGATAATTTATGTAAGGAGCCGTCCATTAATTATGTGAGGCTCGAAAGGGGGGAGGGGTACGTCAATAATCATGAAATATCACAGGCTTCCCCCCCTTGTAGTAATATATTACGTGTATTTATTTTTTCCTCTAACGCGTAAATTTTTTTCCTAAAATAATTTTAATTAGTTAAATAATTTTTTGCATAATACTAGAGCAAATAATAATGGCCCAGCCAGTGCTCTTCTTAGTTTTCTGCTTCCTTTTTACATGTTAGAAAAGTAAGTGAAATATGCAATTACCAATCTAGCTAATATAATATTCGTATTTGTCAATTTATATGATATCTGTTCATAGAAACTGGTGGATCTTCACAAGCGTCCACTATATCACCGAAAGACGATCTTTCGCTTTTAGGCGTTAGCCTTGACGCTATGGTGCGTGATTCCCTCCCGGATATGGACAGTAATGACGTCGACGAGATATTCAAGGGTGTGCTCACCGATGACTCGCAGGTATTTTTATATTAGAATCATATACAGTATGTAAGGTCACCTAAATAATAGCAGCAGTGTAACCTAACCTATGTTCCACACGTCCGTTCGGTTTACGTTCCTTTTTTTATAATTTTAATTCCACCATTTAGGAGGATAATTGATAATAAATACATGTCAATATTATTTAGTTTCGTACTGGTGATCTTTGGTTGGTCTATATTGGTGAAATTTCAGCATCAGTCCTGATATTTTTTTTGTTTGTTTAGGAATCACAAGAGTCTTCTGTGTCTTACGTGAATTCTATGGCAGGCACTCCTTACTCGCAGCAACGGCAACAACTGCAGAGTCCTATGGAATATGCATCTCCTTATCACAATGATTTTGGAAGCAGGTAAATACCTAAAAGAGATACTATCCGCGTTGTGACAGTTTTTTGCGTGATTTGTAAATTAGTCATGATTTAAACACTGTTTCTATATGTTCTTCTTCTTTAAGCACCTCCACATTATTTAAACCACCACTCGCTAACATGTATCTAATCGTTAAACTACGTTATACGTTGTATGTATTTGTATGAGTGACTGCAAATTAATGACTCGCGCAATCAATCTTTCGTAGGTTACACGTATCCATACGCTTGTATTTATCAGACTGTGTGCATATGACAAACATTTTGACAGTCAGACAAATATTCCGCAACACGTGGTTGTCCGAGTGCCTTTAGTCTATACTAGCAAATCTCGTTTGCCTCTCGTTATAAAAATGATAGATACAGTAGTATGCAAACTGTTTATATGATAAATCCTGTCTATTCAGAATGTCAAATTTCTAAAATATCCAACTACCGAAATGTCCAGTTCCTATCATGTCCAATAGGCTTGTGTCATAAAATGTAATTAGGGGTTCATTTTTTCCTTACTTACATAATACACCGATATAACGAATTTTTTCTTCAAAAATCTATCGGTAATATTGATAATTATTGATTTTAAAATATCCATTTGAATTTGACATTTGAACGCCCTGAACTGTCATGGCGTCTTGGATGACGTCATAGAGTGCACATCAAAACATACTGGGCTTGGCATTTTATACTTTTCATCGATTTATTTATTAAAGAAATGAATACCGCATTTTATAAGTATTGCGTAGTGCCTGAGTGTAAAAGCACAAGTGTAATCACACCAAATAAGTTATTTGTGAGAGTTCCAAACAATGAACAAATACGAAGAAAGTGGTTAAAACTTGCACGGAGGGATGATGCCCATAGTTTGTCTTCAAATTCAAGAATGTATTTTTGTGAAGATCATTTTGATGTAAGTATTTAAAATAATGATCAATTTCCAGTACCTTTTGAGTATTATATAATGATGAAGAACATAAACAAATAATGCATACTTTGTTTACTGAATTATTTGAGTTTAATTGGGTTCTAACTTATTTAGTTTTATGTTGTATTTTGTGATTGAATACATATTTATTTAATTTTTTAGATGCCAAACGATATGATGAACTATATAGAATATCAAATCATGGGGAAAGTATCGAAAATTCGCATGAAATCAGGTTGCATTCCGAAGAAATTTGAGTGCCAAGAAGACAGAAGAAAACGTACAAGCTGCAGCACAGACCGGCCAGACATTTTGAAGAAACAACGATTGATGACCATTGAAGAGTGTCTGAAAGAATATGACGAAAGTTGTATACCAAGTTCATCTAAAGATACTTCTGATGTCACTTCAAGTATGTATCTAACATATTTAACATGAGTAATACAAAGAACAAGTTGTATCACTTTAATAATTTTTAATTTACTTTGATTTATTTTCAGATTTCCAGTTGACCAACGAAAATGTGCAAGAAAACATAACTAAAACAGCAGATAAGTCAGTACAAGCATTAGTAGTAACACACAAAATCAGAAGCAAGGCTGTGCAAGCTCAAGTCAAATTCAAAGATCAGGCATTGTCACCATTGAAACCATCATTAGTATCAAGTTTCACTTCTCCATTTAAAGTTAATACTATTAAGAAGTCAAGAACTTCCAAGGCGGGTAAAGTAACAAAAAATATATTTACTGAGGGTAACCACTCGGACAGTGATATTTCTCTGTACACACCAGCCACCAGAAGTCATTCCCCTTCAGTGCACTCATTACAAATTATATCATCATCAGACTGTAGTGAATTACTTGAAGAAGACAAAAAATTGTTAGCTATGGAGACTCTATCAAACACAATAAGAAAAATTGAGAAGAAGCCTCGGTTGTACATTGGTGTTTCAAATACTTGTTATTACTTGATAGACATAATTAAAGACAGTATAAATATACCAAAACATCATCTATTGTTATGTTTGCATAAAATAAGGTTGGATAGTACATTTAATCAACTAGCAGATGATTATGGAATGACTCCATCATATTTGAGTAAGATATTTATTAAAAATATACCTTTGATAGCCAGTGTTATGCAACCTTTTATCATTAATCTAGACAGTGAAATGACTAAAAGAACCTTACCTATTGCATTTAGACACAATTATCACAATGTGAGTTGTATTATTGACTGCCTTGAAATTGAGGTGCAGAAACCATCCAAGGCAGTAAATCAAGCCCTCACCTGGTCAGATTATAAAAAGGCCAATACAATTAAATATTTAGTATCCTGCACACCAAATGGATTAATAAATTACATTTCCCCTGGATTTGGGGGCCGAATAACAGACACCTTTTTGGTGCAGTCAAGTGATTTTCTAAAGACAATAAAGCCTGGTATGTCTGTATTGGCAGATAGAGGTTTCAAACATGTGGAGCAATATCTCTGTAAGTCAGGAGTAACATTGGTAAGACCTCCAAGTGTTGAAAGTGGATTGAAAATGAGTAAAAATGAAGCAAGGTTAACTAAACAGATAGCTAGCTTAAGAATCCATATAGAGCGTGTAATTCGTCGACTACGAGAATTTTGTATGCTAAAGCCTCATGCTTGTATAAATTTTAACTTTATTAAAATGCTTGATGATATAATAATTATAGCATGTGCTTTAGTTAATTTGCAAAACTCTTTAATAAAATAAAACAAATAAATGCTTAAAGTTTTTTATTAAACAGATTACAGACCTCCCAATATCTAATCTTATATTATATTTTATATATTTAATATTATATTACACTCTTATATAATAATGGATATATATTACGTTTCCAAAAGGGCACTAATTTCTCGCTGATAAATTTTTCCATATATTCGTGATTGATTTGCACACTTATAATTTCCACTTTTTTATTTATAGCAAAGTCAGGATCAGCTACACAAAAGAAAGCATGTTTCTTCCCAGTCAAATACATTTGTAATTGTATTTGGACATTACATTTTTCTGTAGGCTGGCCATTCTTAACATAATTGACATAAGTTTTTAAACTAATAGGACATTTAATTTCTATTATGCTATCCTCACATATCCCATCTGGAGAACCAGCAATCATTGGATATTTAGAACTCAATACCAGGCCACACTTCTTAATTTTCTTGTACAGCATTTTTTCCACAATCATTCTCACCTGGTCTTCTAGTACACAACCACGTTTCATATGTTTTGTTTCTGGAACTTTACCACCTAATATTAATGAAACAAGTGTGCCATCAGAGACTTTGCTACGGCTGATTTCAAAAGCTCTTGATGCAGTTAGCCGACCATATCTCAATTCAAACCAAAGATTACTCTTTGATTGGCCACTTGTCACTTCCATAACTTTCTCTATTAAAACTGGTGTTATAATTACTTTACTTAAAAATGTGTCCACACACTTCTCTTTAAATTTTAAGACCAGCTGGTGCATTGAGAGTTGCTCTGTATCACTTGGAGAATAAAAGGGTTGATATTTTAAAAGCTCGCAATCCTGCACTTTCCTCTTCCTTCCTTCTTCTAAAAACTTAGACAAAACTGAGTTATTTGCAGGTAACAAGGGACTGCCCTTTGACAATTCTTTGGCTGTAATTGACTTCAAAGAACTGCCAACTCTTGAGAGCTTGGATTTTTTCCAGTAGCACTCCGTTGATGTGCACGATGGTTCCTCGCTGCGACGGTGAACCCAAAATAAAAAAGCGATTGCATGTTTGCAACCTCCTTTTGACGCAACACAGTCATCACATTTTAACGAGACAATCACGTCATTGTCTTCATCAATAATTAATGTGCATCCATAGAGCTTTGAGTGAATTTTGTGTTCTGGGCATATTTTACACTTCACAGTACATAATTTGGCGTCACGTTTAAGCTGCACGTAGCTTATAGCATCGTCTCCGTATGAAGCACGAGAAGACCTGAAAATAAATGCAACTGTTTAGTTATTGAATACTTCACATAACATATAACCTAAAAACCAGTGAAAAAGTTGTTCACAAATATAATCTATTTATAAAAGAAATTGAATTTATTTCTTATAATATTTATTTCAAAATAGTTTACATTTGTTTTTACTTACTTAGACGTTTTAACATTGCGAAATTCCGACGAGCAAAAATCACTGTTTGTTGCGAAAAATGATCCGAGCATAACAGCATCGATTTTCGGTAGATTTGTAGAGTTTGCTTTACTAAATCCGGACTCCATCGCTAATTATTATAAGCTTTAAGAAACTGATCAATTAGATGCTTCCAATGCAAAAAATAGGAAAGTTACTAGAGCACTTGTGTTTACTATGAAAACGTCAACAACAACAATGGCGAGTGCACTCTATGACGTCACGCACTCTGATTGGTGTTCATTGTCACGTGAGAAGATGTTTATTTTTTTTGTTTTAATTCCTTAAAAATATCATTAATCTATAATAAATATAATAAATAATTAACTTTGTTGACTTCTAAAAATAAAAATAAAAGTATAGACACTACAATACAATTGATTTATTCTTAGTGGACACAAGCCTATTCCTGAAATGTTCAATTCGCTATATGTGAAATTCCCTCAATGTCCAATGAACTTTTAAAATGAGTTTGTTGAATACACAGATGGATAATATATGGCATATTTATGCTATTATAAACGTCTGGGCGATCCTTCAAATATGTTAGTGGTTCTTTAACGCTGGCCAGCAGTTTAATATGGCTAGCGACTTCGTAGGGTACCTCGTGTACCTACGAAAAATGAAATATTCATCTGTTTATTCAATTCCTATCATGATAGTAGACTGGACATTTTGAGAATTGAATTTTACGGGAAGTGGGCATTTGGGGAATTGGATATTCTGAAGTGAATTGACATGAATGTTTGTAATATCAGCAGTAACAGTGCTTTGAGCCCGCTATTCTCTGAGGGGGGTAGTTCCGGGCAGGGCACGTGGACGGAGCAGGCGCCGGCGCCGCCGCCTTCATACAATCAACGTACCGCCGACAAGATGAGAGCCGATGAAAGTGAGTATACATAACCCCTTTTGTTATTAAATTAGTTCCTGACTAATGACGGACTTGTAAAAATGCTTTAAAATTTAGTCCAATTTTCCACTTCAGTTGTTTGAGTTCCATGTGTGGACTGACGCAGTGCTTAGTTAACCTTAATTGTATGTTTTGTATGTATGGGGCAAATGTCTTGTTAAATTTATGCAGTCTGCCACTCATGTGCTATCAAAGTATAATGTTTGCTGTTTGAATACCCTTTCTATTTTCTCTTTAACTCTTTACACGTTGTACTATGTCCAACCAGGCCTAGGTTCTGCAGCAACCATATCGGCAGTACTGTACGCAAACACCAATCATCCTGAATGGAAGACAGAGTTCCCCAATTGGGTAGATAGATGTAAACAGATTCTTAAAAAATGGCGGGCACTACCCTCCGAACAAAAAGCTCCATATTTGCAACGAGCGAGAGACAATAGAAGCGCTATTCGTATGAAGAAGGCTCAGCAGGTGAGTGTTTTTGTGTGCCAGATGTGGTGTGTGCTAACCCAACTCACTTACCACTGTGTTTATACTTTGTGTTTTTCACACTCCTCGCTATTATTATTTTTTTGGAGTGGATTCCGTATGATTTTTTTCTTTCTAACTAATAATGACAATCTTTGATTTTAAAGTCGCAAAGGAGTTCACTCTAAAACTAAATTATTTCAAAGAATTATTGGATAATTGCAAGTCACAATCATCAAAATATCATGCTCATTGTCATAGTCACACTCATTCACACGAGACGCGGTCGATGACGGTTTCGTGCACGCAGACGCACACGATCTCTTACGCTATAATCAATGAAAATGTCTTTACAACACCATGAGTTTTATATGGTCACATTATGTTGATGTTTTGTGTCATCAGCTTGAGTCAACGTGTATGGAGATCAAAATCGGCAAAAATATGTCTCAATTAATGTTAATAGTTCATAAATTAAACCGTTGTATAAAATGAATCACAACGTTGCACTTCAACTATATCTGTGACGCGTTGTCGGCGTTGTCGATTCCTCACGAAAGTAAATAGCCTATGGTCGCTCTGGGACCGCGTTTCTTGCACCCGTGTGTACGTTTCGTGGTCGGCGTCGGAGCGAGACGGTACTAAGAGATCGGTTCGGGCGCGACAGAGCACGGGCGGGGGCGTGACGGCGGCGCCGGGCGAGTCGGAGGGCAGCGCAGTCAGTAGCGCGCCGGCCGTCAGCGCGAGTGGACCTGCGCCTGGGGTGCGCGCGCCCAACGTCACGGTGACGGCGGCCGGGCTCCTGGAGGCGGACGCGCACATCCGCGTGCTCACCCCCTCCGAGATCATGCGCACGCTGCCGCGCCTCGCACGTCCCACGGTACCGCGGCACTCGCGTCCTCCGCGCTCGCCTACACACCGTTACCTTACTCTTTTGACACCTCGAGCCCGAATACAACCGATTTCGTAGCTGTTTGTAATACTTATACCGCGCGAATGACACTGGCATTTACTAGTAAAAAGACGTCATCACAAATAAAAATTGACCTTAATATACTCACGCTTTTGTCAACCTTATGCGCCAGTATATGAAGCCGCTAGGATTTCTTTAAAAAAATAATAATGTTATAAATGCATTACATATATTGTCTATTTGAGACATCTCTATGATGTTACGAAATCGGACTCATACTTGGATTTAAATAAAAAAAAAATTATAACAGAAAATCAATAATTTAAGGTTTATTATGTAGGACGTTAATAATCCTTAAATTATTGATTTTGCTTTATTGCGAAATTTAACTCCATAGTTTCAGTACAGATATTTGAAGTATTTTTCCGTCTCGTCGTATACCCGTAGGCGCGGTGTGTAAGCGGGGTTCGTTCGACATGATTGTTGGGTGATCGCGCGACCCGCCCCGTAACTTAGCTCTAAATTTTGTTATCACCCAACAAAGTTTTGGCTGTTCGATGGCGTTGTAAGCTGTGTGATTATTTTCGTTTTCTTTTTAGCTTCTTTTACTCGAAAAGTACTGATGCGCCTCCCGGACTCGTGTCCTCGTTTCCGTAATGTTGTTTATTTTATTTTTTATTTTAATTTGGAAGCTTTGCCTTGGTAGAGTTGGCTTTTAACATTCGATGCGGTGGTGGCTGGTTGTGATGTGCTAACAGTTCTAACAAGTCGTCGTAGTTGGTTCATTTGCAACGTTATGCTCATGTTGTACACAGCTTTTGGTGTTAGTTTTTAGTTTTCAGGTAATGTGTAAGTAACATATGCATATAAAAATTGTAATTTCGCATTTCTTGTCGATTTACAGAGATTCTTAATACTTATCATTAAATGAAATGTCTCCGAAATTGGCCAGGATTATCTTGTAATCACAATAATAAATAATAATAATAAGTTTATTCGTAAAATATTAACACTCAATAATTTTAACAAATAAATTTTATCTACATTTATTATACATTTATAATTTTCACATAAATGCATGGATACAGGGCAGTAACAATATACATTTGAAATATGCATTCTCTCTTAATTTTATAACTAAAACATTCAAATTAACATTCTTTATTAGGTATAAATACTACTATTACTCACATTCGCACTATTAGTGTTTTGTATGAAATGTTCTTTCTATTTATGTTTTAGTTAAATTAATTGTAAATTATTTGTTACACTCAATCCTCCTCACTTATCACCCCGAAAGAATAACCCTAAGACTTGTAAATCTATAATAAGTAAAGTAATAAATATAATATAGTATAAGAACACTATAAAATGAGAAGTTGACTACTGTAAACTTTCATTAATTAGCATTTTATACAAGGACATAGAAGCTGTTAGGTAGTACTACTTCCCTCACAAGTTTCTTACGAAAAAAACTAGATGAGATGTTAAATGGTATAAAACAAAATGAAAAATATATAATTTTTAAGTTATGAAAAGTTAGAAGATCACAAATAAATTGCACCCATTATACTCGTCGATCCAAAAATGTATTACTGACAATGAATTATAATAGTAAAAAAACACTAAAATGGCAAGCAATAACAATTATTTTTAGTACTATCTTAGATATTTATAGTAAAGTTTGTATATTGTATATTAGATGTTGCATGTGAAGTTAAAGCATGCATTGAAAAAACATGTAGATGAAAATACTTTGACATAGTTGACAGTATAAAAATAAGTTTGAAGCAGGATAATCTTATCATTCATGATAGTTTTTAAAACGCAACGTAAGGCTCAGTTAAGATCATAGACTTGAGGCATATATATGGTAATTTTCTCCTAATTTTTAGTTCATATTTTGTATGAGAAAAATGATAGCGTGATATATTTCAGTTATGTTAAATACGGAAAAGTTTTGAAGTGAATAAGTGTCATAACTCTTATAAAATTCCATTAATGGTTTTTCAGTCCCTATTTTATTTACAATAAGCTGAGCCAAAGTATCTCAATATTCATAATAAGACTAAGACGCGTGTGGTAACTAGAAGGATATGAACAGGAGCAGGAACGATCATGTGGCCAGCAGCGTAGCGCCCGCGAGGCGGAGCAAGAGCGTCAATGGAAACATCTGCAGCAGCAGCGGCAGCAACAGACTCAGCAGCAGCAGCAAATCATACACGACCAACGTATGCAAGGTATGTGCTCTCGATTTCGTTTATAATATGATTTTGAAGTAGCTAAAAAATGATGAAAGTCATTGAAAATTTACAATATAGCTTACAATGATATTTTCAGAAATACTTCACGTTACCGAATGAATTTTGTTAGATTATTCATGGTATATAATACGTAAATCTATATTTACATATACTCTTGTCCTGTTCTGCTTTTATTCAGCATATTACATATTCAAAGAAATTTCTTATCCCGTAGTGAAAACGCCATATAAATTCGTTGCGAAGTAATATGGAAATTTTAATTCGTCGTCATACGTTTCTACTTTTATTTCTCGTACACATTTTTAATTATCTTTGTAATGTGTAGATTTAGACTATTTATCGAGTCAAAGAAATGTATGTGATTATTGAGTACCTGAAATAATGTCGTTGAAGGCGCGTGTGTTTCCCAAGCAGCGATCTCGCGACTGCGTGTGCCAGAGGGCGGGTCTCCGACGGCGGCGTCCCCCGCGGCGGGCCCCGCCTCCTCCCCCGCCCCCACGCCCGCTCCCGCCCCTGCCCCCGAGGCGCCCCGCAGCGCGTTCCCCGCGCAACGGTTCCCGCTGCACTATGGAACCAGCGATGATATCAACCGGCAGCTAAGGGACCTGTTGCAGCGACACCCAGAGAAAATATGGCCGCCGCGTGAGTCACACTATTGCGTCTAATGATTATGCACTTTCTTGAGTCTGTACGTGTTTTCAACATTTTACGCTCGCTCTATTATGTCGAACCCTCATCTTGTAAGTTTTTTAAATGCCCTTCTTCAGGTAAAGCAAAGATCCACCCTTTAATTACACTAATACCGATCACGCAAATCACACCTATGGTCACTTTATAATATATAATCATGTTATTCTGCTGAGACTTCCGAACTAGTTTATAAAAGTGGGACATTGCAGTCCGTGTTATTTCCACAGAGTCCTGCCTATTTTTGTACGGCTTGGTTCAGCGACCTATAGCATCCCGTCTAACAAAGCGCAATACTTACCTTTAGCATTATACCACCATATATATCACACTTTTCATGCTCACTTTATACTTTACTTCATTGTCATATTTATTGTATACTTTACTTCATTGTCATATTTATTGTATACTTTACTTCATTGTCATATTTATTGCCCCAGAAACAGAGCTGATCTGTTTAAATCAATAGCAATAAGGTACAAAGACTGGACAAATATAAGGCAATGAGGCTCGATAAATCATAGAATAGCAGTAAGGAAGAAATTGCATTGAATCACTCTCGAATAGGTGTGCATAGCACATACAGTATAATAAATATAAGAGCTAGAAAACTGCTGCAGAACATGGATAATAATTATGATCAGTTCCATTTATTGTGTGTAATGGTTATTACAAATTGGTCAGGACAGGGGAGGTTTCACATACTTCACAGTATCTATTAAAATTGTTTGTAAAATTGTCATAGAAGCTGCGGGCGAAGATAGCGCAATACAAGGTTTAAGTATAGACGGACAACAGTTTCGACATCCGCTGCCCGTAGGTTTGCGTCCGCGAACACCTCTACAACCTGGACAAAGACCAGATCATCAAAGTAAGCTCTAATATTTAAATAGCTTTATTAACAGTAGGTAGTAGGAAGAAAATCTGTATGAAAACTCTTTTATTTCAGTACTGATGCAACAGCGAATAGTTGCAGAAAATGCACAAATGCAACAAAATGTTTCAAACCAAGTCACTCAACAGCAGTTAATGGAACAAAAACAAAGCATTATCAGTCAACAAGGAAGTAAGTTAGCTAACTTCTAAGTACACTATTTGAGTAGAGTAGATAGGCTTATATGTTGAGGTAACAAATTTATTGATCGCAAATACCATTATAATCATTATCTGTATACCACATATTAAAATCTGTACCTCCACAAATCGTTCTGCAAGCTGATTCAAGATATCATCAGGTTGTTTTTATCGTGGAGTATATTATTGAAAGCTGATATGTTTTAGCTTTTGTCCAACATAATCTGATGTTTCTGTGATATAAGCTGCTAATATACACTTTCAACATTTTTATTTTTATATATAACTTAACTACATTGAATCAATAACTATTTAAAATATACTCTTTATCGCAGATCCTGGAGGAGAAAATAAACAGGAAACTGGACAAGATCATGGGACAGATGAAATGGATATGGGTGATATGGATAAGCTGGAACAGGATACTGGAAATATTGGAGAGGTAAGACTTCAAGAGTGTATATAACCTGCTAAATTGATTATGCATAGATCTATCTGTTAAAAAATATATTACAAAAAGTTTTATAATGTTCTGTAATGTAGATTTCAATAGTAGGTAGGCTCAACTTGGTATAATAATTTATATGTCCCTATTTAAATACAGGTGGATATCTTAACTGGATTGGGCGGCGAAGATGACGAGGAGCTTTTGGAATCACTTACAGCCGAAATAGGCGAACAGTTCAACATATTGGAATATGCAGACCCAGAACTCGCCGCCCTCAATGATGCCGAACACATACTCGACGGTCTAGAGCTAGCAGACGATGGTATGCCTGAGAGACATGCCAAACGCGACCCTGAGTAAGTACACTTAGGGTGATTATAGCATTTCATAAGCTATAATACAGTTATGATAAAGTGACCAGTTATAACAAAATTCATTATTTGGTTATCTTTTTTTGTTTCCTTAGAGAGGAATCTGAACAAAGGCAAGACAACAAAATGGATACAGAACTCCAGAAAGCTGTGAAAAACATAGAGGCTACTAAATCTGACGGGAAATCAGAATTGGGTGATGTGAAATCTGAACACCCAGAACAGAAGCAGGAAACGCCTGTCGTAACACAGATGTTCTCTGACGGCGTCCAAAGGATCGTCACGCCTAGTCAACAGATAGCGATACAGGTTGGTATAATATTTCGTACTGCAAATTCTTCTTAGTTGTTTCACTGCTGACAGGTTGTGGACGTCAATCAGGGACAGTTCGAGCGACAAGTTCTATAATACGGCGCCATTCTTAATCAACTTAAGCTTTCATGCAAGTAACAAATGAGCACACACAAAGGATAACGAATATTAAACTAAGTCGATTATCATGCAATTCGTCTTACGACTTTGTGTTCACAACTACAAAATTGATTCAGTTCGAATCGATTGCGTAGATTTCACATTTACACTTCTAAACTAACATTAAAAAAGAGAAAATATGTTATTGTTTGTTTGCAACAAATGGGCTCCGAAACTACCCAATTTTAAAATTTATTTAATCTACGGGAAGCTTACATCACATGCGGCGTATATAGGCTATATTTTATCCCGAAAAACAGGATGAAAATGGAAGTGGAAGTTTGTGTAAGGAATTAAAATGTTGATATACCCATATTTTTATATTATATTTATATATAATGATATCCGTGTTATGATATGTATCGATATTCAAATAAACATTTCGCTAGGAAACAACTTCTGATAGTTGTGTATTATAAATAGTGATGATTTTTATATGTAGTCGGCAATGCAAGCAATTAAGGCGGAGGTGAAGTTAGAGGGAGACGACAAGAGTGAGGGTTGGCGCGGCGCTCCGTCACCGCAGCGGCCACATCTGTTCACACACCAGCGGCTACAGGTGCCCGTACAGGTACATAGATTATAATATGGCACACGAAAGTGGATACTAAAAAACACAACATTAAAATAACAGGGTATTACTACGGTCAGTACGAATAAATAATGTTGATAATGTAAATTACTTGTTAAATAATATAATCTAATGATTACTATCTATTAGTACTGCAAAAACCCTATCTTACTTAAGATTGGATTGGATTAAGATCATAAGCATTTGAATCAGTATAAAAATTCGAATCAATTAATGTTTCATTTGGTTCATTGCTTCTCAGATAGATTCAAGAGCAGAGAGTGAGTACTTAATCATGTTACAAATATATTTAAAAAAAAGTTTTGAAAATATACTTTGTTCAGGCTTGGGACTCACAATTTGCACTACAAAAACAACTTATTTATACTACTTTCGTAATATTCTAAACACATAAAAACACCATGTTAGATTTAAAATCCTATTTAACATTTTATTTAAGCAGACAATCAAAATGCATTCTAAACCTTGATCATAATCTATGATTCTAAAACATAAGTCAAGTAAAAGTAGTAAATAAACAAATGTAACCGCTGGCACGCCGATAAGCGCGCTTATTTGTTACCGACACGTGATTCGATGGCTTTCAAATCTTTCCGAACAGTGGCTCGGTTCATTCGTGTGAGCGAAATTTTAGATTCGGATCATTGCACCATTTTACTTAACCGTCGTCGATTCAGTAAAGATTTACACACATCTACCGTCTATGTAAATTTTGTTCCACAATTTTTTCTTTGGCATCAGATTTTGATTACGATTCCTAAAATAAACTTATTTGACTTTGTGTATTTTTATTTTTTGATTCTTATGACAACTAAGATTCTTATTACACTTGTCATAAATAATATAATAGTTTCAAATAAAAAGATTTATTTATTTTTGTAGCAGGGAATAACGCAACGTGGCCAATTCGGACAGCAGCAAGTATTAGGGCAGCAGTTGCAACGCCCGCAAGTACAATTCACGCAACAACAGCACATGCATTTCACACAGGTTGAAATTTTGTTTTGCTGTCGTTTATGTTTGAAATTTAGTGATTATATTTTCATACTTTCAATTTCATTTATTTGTGGATTAGACTGTCGGTAAGAGAATAAAAGTGTATAATTATTGGACCAGTAATATGATATTTATATACTTTAGCAGTTTTATAGATCTCCTGCTTCATGTTCAATTGTGAACGCTTATGAACCGTTTATTTGACGTTGATATTTTGAAAATCATACATTCACTTCTGATTCGGAATATAGTAATTGTTTATTTCGGCGTTTAACCCGTATAACGATTTCGTAATACATTTGATGAACACGCAGGGAGCGACTAACGCGCACACACAGAGCATAGTGAACGCTATGACGGCGCAAGTGAACGCTGCGTTGGCGGCGGGGCGTAGTTACGCGCCGGGCACTCGTCTGGTGGGACTGGACGGCGCCGTGGGAGTGGTGCGGCACGATCGCACCGTCGCACTCGCCACGTTGCCGCACTCGTCCGCTGTCACACATGCACCAGGTCACTCGTAAATAATACTTACTCGTATATATACTTCTAGTGAGGACGTAGTCATATTCATTGTCTTTTTAACGTCGGTTAATAGCTCCACGAGACTATGATAATTCCAATAGCGTGTCGCATTGATTTGCCTACTTGAATGTTTTGGTATGACTATTTTGATAATGTCATGTGATCATATTAAAATGAACAAACGCAATTATATAAATTATTCTACAAAAACATGAGATACGTGACATGTCGAGTCATGGCCTCACATTTTATTAAACATGAGTACTGTAGCCTAATTCACGGTACTATCCAACCATACCATACCATAAGTATGAACAATCCAAATAACGCTGAATTTTATAAACCTTAGTTTATTGAAATGTGACGTAAAACGAGCATGGCCGCCCGCGTCTCAGTTTTTTTAATCTACAGATTGTAAAACGCAAGTTGATATGATTGATTATTTTAATTAAAAAGTAACCAATCGCAATAGATAACGGAAGCGCAACGAGTCTTTCGACGTTTTATTCATTTCTGTCACTCGTCATATCGCCACGATGTGGATCTTGATTGGACAGTAACTCTTAAATCTCGTGGAGGCGTCACCTTAGGTTTATACTGACCGACTATTTCCGTGTCCGTACAGGTGGTGGTCGTGCTCCGCCCCCTCCGCCTTACCCGGGCACGCTGCGCGCCGCCGCCCCGCCGCTGCCCGCAGCCGCACACGCCCCGCCCGCGCAACCCCCGCCCCCCTACCCGCAGGTAACCCGCCCGCTCGCACGTACATCTACAGACACGCACTCATACACGTACACTCAAATGCAAACACACGCTACGACACTGCGGTACGGTCGAGACTTACACTGGCTTTATTGTTCTTGCGTAATGTAGACGTTGATTTGTTACTTGAAGTGGGCCATTTCAATATAAACTATACTATATTGTTTTGTTGAATAAAATGGTATCGTCACATTTATATTTATAAAAACCTGTAATGAGTACTCCCTGCCGTAATATTTTATTATCTGATGATTGAAGGAGACGTTATCCTTAAGGTCTTAAATTAAATATCCACCATAATAAATTTCTACATTAAAGTACATATTATATATGTTATAAGAAATGAAATTATAAAAACCATGCTACCTTTTAACTATAAAAATAATTACAATAAAATGATCGCAATCGCAATGTCGTAGTACATTTTTGTATCACACATCATATTTCTGGAAGAAATACCATGTACGAAAATTTTTAATGGAAACAAATCATATTAATTTTTCTGTAAACAGATGCTGAATGAAATTTAACTTATAATCATACTAATTTTGAAATAGTAGACTTCAGATTTAAAAATATTAATTTTCTTTTATTAATTTGTCTTGGAGAATTTTTGGATACATTGTCGTGCATGCAGTATATTGTTTATATTCGTGTTTTATTTGTTGTTGTAAAGAGAAATCGCATTGACTGTAAGACTTGTTTAAAGCGCTTTAAATGTATGCCGTAAGCTTTGGGGTTTACATTTTGGAGGCAAATGTTACATTGTTGTCCATAAATGTGAACCAGTACTTCGTTAAAATGCTTACATTTTTATCGTATCGCAGATAATGTGAAGTATATCTATAACCATAGCAATATTAATTTTTCAAAGTCCATTAGGTGGAGGTTGATGTCATGTTAAGTAACATTCAATTTGTAAATCGTTATTTCCTATAAACAATATCAAAGGACTAATATTGCATGGGTATACAGACTATAACCTGTATTCGTACGAGTTTGTTGTTAAAATAAAATGTGGGAAATTATTAAATTGGATTAATAATTTCATAAAATGCCAAAATACTTCTATTTCTCATTGTCCATATTAGAGTAAAGTTACAATATTTCTCTGTAAAGTGTCTCTGTTAGATAATTTATGAGAAATTACACTTGATTATGCCTACAAATTCAGGATAGTATGCGATTATGAATATCTGTCTTAAAAACGGAAAATTAGATCACTTTGAACTAACCTACCACCGTGTAGAAATGTATAGTTAAAATCCTGGCTACCATTTTGGTGACGTATTTGCGTTCAACCATCAGTACCATTAATAAATAAACTCTGGTTGACAATCTTATTTATTGAGTTTTTGTTGTCCATTATAGTTAAGTTTCATTGTTATTTGTTGTGGTTGACTAAAATTCTGCTATTCTGAGTTTTACAAGTAAATGTTATTTTCATCATATTTTTTTACTTTCCATATACATACCTCAATTTTAACATATAAATTGACGTTTTTCAAAAATTAATAATACACAAACTTTAAGTTATTAAATTATTTTAGCAATATTTTGGAGATTATTCATAATTATTTCAATAATTAATAAATAATTTATCTCTTTCGTTTTGTGCTATTTTTACTTTTTATTTTTAAATGACATTGCGCGTGCCTTATCTAGACAAGGTTCCAAGCGCATTAGCAATTTACAGGACTTTATAGCTCTCTGAGTTGCACTAGATGCCTCTTTTATGGAGATATTCATCACTGATGCAGGGTTATAATTTTTTTGAATCTTTGCCATATTTACTCATTGCTAGTAGGGTCAGAAACATAATCTAGTAAGAAGTATAAAATATTATTGTAACAAAATAAAACTAATCGTAGGCTAGATAATATGTGTCACTCATGATAGGTGTGTCCCAAGGGAGTGTTTAGCAGCTTGAACTCGCTTGAACACGCCCCTCTCAGCCACTTACCCTGAACGATTGCTCTGTCTAGACGTGCCTACGGTCTGACTTAGAACAATTCCGATCTTCGTATTCGTTAGCTATTTTTCAATTGGGATAAACTGTTAAATATATGCAAAATATATGCACTGATATAATTCTATATTAGTAATTCGAATAAAGTTATTCGAGTATCGTATACAGGCTAACGACCAAGTGTAATCGCGTCATAAATAACGGATGTAAATGTCTAAGGAGATTCAACGCAATATATAAAAGCTCGTACGGATATAGATAAGTGTCGCGGTAGTGTTGACGGCGGAGTACAGGCGTGTTGTTTGCATGTCGGTGATTGATGGTTGTTGGCGAGCAGGCCTTTGATGCAACGGACGCGTGGGGCGACTGGCTGCATCGCCGCCCGCTGTTACTGCAGGTCAGACATGATCCCACACCCCTGTCCGATATATCACATATCTACGTAAACAACAACTTATGGCTAGTTCTATGTCACCGAAAACATATACACCGTATAATTGAAAACTGTTTAGAGATCGTTTTCAGTTGTTTCGCGTTAAGCTCAAATGTGAGGTTATCGGTGTATTTAAATTATTTCTACGGAATCTCCTTTTATGTTAATTTAAATTTCGACTTATTTTTACCATTAATAATATACAATGTTTAAGTCGGATATGTGCTGAATCTTTTCCTGAACCTTCCTTAGCGGCATACTGTATGAAAATCTTAAAAAAAAAATTTCTATGTGTATATTATGTAATTTCTTCGGTTTCAGTTAGTTTCGTCGGTATAAACTGACGAATATGATTCTTTGCATTTTCTAACATAATAAAATTAATAAGAAAAAAAGATATGTCAAAACAGAATACCTATTTTCCTCATCATTACTACTTTAGTACTCTGCACCTCGACACCTCAGGCTTCCTATTCACTAACAATATCTAGTTATTATAAAAAAAGTCTTGTTTTGTCTTCCCTGTCTAGTTTTCCAACACTGGAAAAAAATAATAGGAAAATCAATTTTCTTTTTAGAATAAATAATTTTTCCATTTCTATCTGGAACGGGTTTAAAAATATGAGCTCATTGCTAATTATATAGTGAAATCTAGTTTAGAATTGTAGCTCCTGCCCTTAGTTCTCCTATATAAATTTTCCTACTTCCTTCGTCTAGGACCATTCAATACAATTAAGGCCTTGTCACTGCTAACCATATTAAGTGTCGTAACTGCTTTTTACTTAGCTCGCTTCGCACGCATGCCTACTGACTAACCATTACCTTTTCAGCATCCTTCCTTACATAACTACACTAATAATATAGCTGTTAACATTGTACTAGCACTAAAAGGTGTTTCGTCAAAAACATACTTTAATGTAAATTTTAGAAATATTGCCTGTCTCATCTTTATATCATGGTGGCGGAAATTCATAAATGTATAGTGGTTATGGATTAGCTAAATTATTTGACTTACTCAAGCTCATAGACCTTTTCATAGTACACAACACATTTTTTATTATACAAAAACATATACTATTTTCGTACGCAATGAGTAGAAGTAAAGTAAATCTCAGCAATAACACTGGTTTTAAAATTCAGACACTTACTATTGTAACTATATATTTCTTTTATAGTCAATGTAATATGTAGTTGCAGCATTTTATGTTATGCTTTAAATCAGTAAAACAATGTCGATCACTGATTGGAGTTAGAATGGATTCTTCTTTAGCTACTTATATAATTATAAAAAAGATATTTTGCAACTTGTATGCATAGAATTTCAATCAAGCACCACTGTAGCCATTGATGTCATTTACATATTCTTAGAAATAGTCGTTCTTTGCACATATCTATTAGATTTTAGTGGAAAGTTACTCTCCTCATATTTTGACATAGGTATCCGATATCGCACTGTTATCATTGTAATATGTTTTTCTTCCGCCTAAATTCATGTCTCTGTTAAACATTAAAATGTTCTCCAAGGTAAAATAATTTGAATAAATATATAAAATAAAGGATTGTTAAGATGAGACAGGCACATCGATTGCGGTACTAAAAGTCGTCGCTCCGATCGAGCTCCGGCGAGTTCGACCGGGCGTCGTCGGGCCATAGGTGGGTGGCGTCGCGCCGAACGCGACGTCCAATCGCTAAATTTAACCGTCAGAACGTAAACCAGGAGCAACCGTTGCTTCTGGAGGAGCTATTGGAGCAGGAGAAGCGCGAGCAGGAGCGTGAGGGGGGCGAGTGGGGAAGTAACCCTCCACCGGCGCCCGCGCCGGCGCCCCCCGCAGTCCCGCTGTACACCGCCGCGCCGCCCCCGCAGCCGCCCCCGCCCACTGACGATCACCACTCGCGCCTGCTCTACGAACAGTGGTTGAAGCAATTCGCAGCCTTCGCCGCCGACCAACAGAACTATTACGAGTCCGAAGTTCAGAAGCTTCGCAAGATCCGCAAGGTGAGCCCCCGGTAGCGCTTTTGTGTTTGTGTGCTTGTAGTGGTAGTCGCGATCTTTTCAGCTCGACCCTCGGACCCGAACTCTTAAAAGATTCGTAACCGCGTCGCGTTTTCAGTGATATGTTATCGATTTTGCAGTCGCTGAACAGTAAACAGAGACAACTGCGGAAGTCGGGCAACGAGCTGCAGCCGAACGACGCGGCCGAGTTGCATCGCGTCGCCACCGAACAGCAAGCGCTACAGAAACATCTAGAGGCAGCGCGCAAACAAGCTAGACAGCATACAATGCTTATTCAGGTATGTGTTGTATAGAAGTAACGTTTCATTTTTGTTTTAAAATGTCACGATTGATCGAGAGCCATCTTTTAACGCAGATTTTATCGGATTCAATCCTGATATATAGATAACGGTTTTTTTTTTCAAAACGAAACCACATTCCTATTTTCTAAATCCTTATTTTTCACGACTCGTTTGCAGTCATGTGAATCACTGTTTAATAATAATTCTACATAGAGTCGTTTGTTCACAGGAATACGAGACGAAACAACGTCAACAGAATCCCCAGTTGGTACAACAGAACGTTATTAATCAGCAGCAAATCACGACCAATCAAACGGTGTTCACTCAAAATCAAAATATAGGACAAGCTCAACAGATGCAACAACAGACCATCAACCGTCCGATGCAGTTGGGCCTTCAAGGTGCCACACTTCAACAACAACAAACTCTCATACGTACTCAACAAACAGTGTTAGGTTCAGATGGTCAACCAATGACGCAACAAAGAATAGGGCTCGTGACGTCACCATTAAATGCTTCAGGAAGAATTTTACAAAGTGCACGCACTCTAGTCATAGAACAAACCGGTGCTCCGCAACAGCAGTTGGTCAGACAACTGTCTGGTGTCCAAGAAAGGCCGCAGTCCGTCGGTGGAATAGTCCAATTCGGGCAGCAGCAAATAACTGGCGTCAGAAACACAATGCAAACTGGGAATCAAAATCCTCGTCCACCGGGTACAAGACCGGCAATGTCACCTCTACATGTGCAGTCACCACATTCACAATCTCCGCATCATCCTTTAGCCCCTCAATCGCCTTTACATCATCTGACATCTCCTATGCAGTCGCCACTGCATTCACAACAGTCGCCTTTACATCACACTTCCCAATCCCCGTTGCATCAGTCGACGCAGTCTCCATTACACACCCAACAATCTCCGCTTCATTCGCAACAATCCCCAATGCATCCGCAGCAGTCACCGATGCATCCGCAGCAATCCCCGATGCATCCTCAACAATCGCCTATGCACCAACAGTCACCGATGCATCAACAGTCTCCTATGCATCAACAGTCTCCGATGCATCAGCAACAGAATCAAATGACTACGCAACACTCACCCATGCACCCGCAACAATCGCCGATGCATTCCCAGCAGTCGCCGATGCATTTGCAACAGTCACCGATGCATACGCAACAGTCGCCGATGCAGTCATCGATGTCGCCGCAACATTTCCTACAGCAATTTCAAGCACAGAGGACGAGTCCGCAACTGCCGACGCCCAGTCGCAGTCCACAGGTTAATTTTTATTTTTTCTGTTAATAGCTATTAATAGAATTTAAAATGTGATGTACAAAGTGTTTTATTTTTTTCAGATTTACCAACAATCTCAAATTCAGAGTCCAGCATCGTCTCATTCACCGCAGTTACAAAACGTGAGTATGAATGAAATCATACAGCATTCATAATTCCATTGTTTGTCTAGACATCTGTTTAAGTACATATTGATTTTAATTACATTATAGTTTATTACGAAGTTAATTTTTCTTTCCAGGCCGATTATGCAACCGGTAGGTTTCCTCGGCCAGCACCTGGATGCTCGCCGCTTCCATCCAGATTCGCTAGACCTCCTCATCATCAACAAGGTTAGTTATTTATGGTATTACGTTATTGAAGCATTTTTCTTTCAACGACTGATATTAATCAGGGTGTATAAATATGAAAGCATTGTTGACTAGAAATCAGTCATATTAAGATTCTTCTTATATACAATGTATTTATTTTCTTTAGGTATGAGAGTGGGTGTACCGTTCGGAAGTCGACAGCAGACGTCCCCCCTAGGTAGCCCTCAACCGCTACCCTCACCGGGCAATCCCGCGTCGGAGATAGCGGTTAGTATATTTCTGCCCGTCGGCTAAAAACGGCAACTAGTGTTAGCCCGTAACAGACGGTGATGATGCTATGATATTATATATTAAGGTAAAATATCGCTCGCCATACATTCCACTGGTCCTAAACCTTAGCCGTAAGATTTAATATTTTCATTGTAAGTATATATTGCCAAGCGTTATGATAGTATCTTAAGATACGGAAATTATATTTATAAAGGGTTTCAAAATATTATCATATCATAGTGATAGCTTAAAATGATTTGTTATTTTTATTGTGGCACAACAAAGCGTCTGCAATACACCTAATGGGAAGTGATATTATAGTCCAATAAAAGTCGTAGCTGTTATTAGTTGAAAACTTCTCCCAGCAGCCGCCACTATCTTGCCGGCCTGCTAAAACGACTCTTCACGGCTCTTTTGAAGAATCAAATGTGGAATGTTGTCTTAAAATATCTCAAAACGAAATATAGCATCTTCACTGTCTATTATGAGCTTTATGCTGCAGTCTCTTATTTACATATTGATCTCTTATGATATTTTCAGCGTCAACAGATGTTACAGCGGCAACAGTACAGTCCGATGGGTGGGGCTCCCGCATCGCCATCTATATCTAGGTCCCCACACGTGGCGCGGACGCCCACTCCTCACGCTTCCCCTGCGGCGTCCCCCGCTCCCTCTCAACAAGACCACGGCGGCGGCCATCACCATCAGATCGCGCCGATCCCGCCCGGCTACCGTTACTGTCGCCCTGGCCTCTATGGTGGCGCCCCTGTTTGGCCGACCAAAGACTCGCGCCCCCACCACTTGGCCAAAGTGTCCATTCTCAAGCGACGCACGCCTCCGGTTCCACGCCACCCGCCCCCGCAGCAACAGCCCGACGACGCCCACAGTTACGTCCTCTACGCCCCCGATCCCTCCTTCGACGATGATCGCACGCAAGATGACGACGAGCTAGTCGAGCATCTGGACGATGACGACATCGTGCTCGTCGAGCAGACCGCGGTTTCTCCCGAAGAACGCATAGCCACCGAAGAGGATTTCGAAGAGCTCATAGATGGCGGAAAGCCGGAAGACGAGGTTGACGAAGAGCCGCCTCAACCGGCAACGCGAACGGAAACCGCTACGAAAACCGTCGCCGTCATCAGTTTGTCCACCGGCAAGCAACCTTCGGCGAGTGTACAGCAGTACAAGATCGTCAATCCTGCCCAAGGATCGGCACTTTCTCGGTTGCCGGTGCTCAGTGCGACGATGCTTTCGCCGCATTCGAATGCTAAGATTTTAAACGAGGTATCGCAAGCTACGGTTGCCTCGGTTTCGATTGCGAATCAAACTATTTCGGTCCCCGTTTTGAAAAACTTGTCGGTGCCGATCGCCACTGTCGCCGGTCATCCGGGAGGTGCGAAACCACAAATTAAAAAAGTGCCGCTCAATATCACGAATCCACCGTTGACGATCAATATGTCGACGCCCCCACTGTCTAAACCTATCAGCCCGGTTATCAGCGTCATATCTTCGAACGTGCCCAAAGTAGCCAACGTTAACCCAGTTATTACTTTGGCTACGTCGAACACCGGTGCGGGTCCTTCACGAGTGCCTGTTTCGATACTTACGCAACCTCAAGTAAAACAAAAGATAGTGAAAACAATAGAGAAGCCGATGGCTCTATCTTTATCGAATACCAAACTTTCGAGTTTATCTGTGACGCACGACGCTACGTTACCCGCGAAGATATTTCAAGATGAAGCCGCTTCACCCGATAGTACTGTCCCTCCAGATAGTAATCCTGATAAAGATATGCAAAGCTCGTTGTCATCTTCTTCTGCGGCTCATCAGTTGTTGGGTATGTCTGCACAAGCATCGCCACACGATCAGCGACCGGCTCCTATTATTAAGGAAACAAATAAAGATATTGATATTGAAACTGAAATTAGTCAACAAACAGAACTTCCGCATACTCTATGTATAACTGATCGGACACCTTTGCTTTTAGGAAAGGCAGATATAAAAAGCCCTGATCCTGTGCCCGAAAAGATACCTGATAATATCATGGAAGGTGACGATGAAGACAAACCGGAAGATAACATTCCAAGTAACTTGTTGCTATCGTATAATAAAACTATGTCTGAACCGCCATCCCTGAATCCACCCACGGAAAATAAATCTGATGAAAATGTAGTCAAAACTATCAAAGCTATTGCTAATCAGGTGATTGACTCGAATATGCAAATAACTCCAGATATGGCACAAGAATCTGTCCAAATATCGATTCCTTCGCCGACACCTTCCCAAGAGAGATATTTAAATGATATAACTATGCAAGAACATTCTGAAGCCGTCGAAGGTAATCCAAAACATGTGGAGTCATTCGAGGATATGCTTTGTATGCTAGAAAATATAACGGATGAAACAAAAACTTACGGTATGAAACAACCATCTCATAAACCTCCCAATCCTAACGTTAGTCTTGCCTTAAAAAATGAAAGTAAAGAACCTCAAGAACCTATGGCTTTTCCAAAAAGAGAACCTGATAGGCTAAGCTTACAGTCTGCGACAGTACCCCAATTGTCACCACTGTCCCAACCAGCAGAATTGACTTCAAATATGGCAAACGTGTCGCAACAACTTCGTACTATTATGTCATCTCTTAATACAAACGCGTCTAAGGTGGAGTCGCAGGCCGTTGCGTCTGTCATGAGAAAAAATAGTGATGCTACGACACCCACACAAGTTAATTTCGAAAATTTACTGCCGTCGTCTAAAGTAGAAGTTTCTGCATCTAGACCATCGCCAATTCCAAGAGTTGAAAAACCTATGGCTTCAGTACCATCATCTGATTCAATGGCAATAAGCGCTGCACAAGTTTTAGGCTCGAGGGTGAATACTCTGTCATCTATGAATATAAATCAGCTCCGAAAGTCTCCAACAGTATCACCGATAAACTCTCCTGTCAGTATGCAAAATTCAATGATGAAATCTCCAGCGCCATCGCCGCTAATAACGAACCAGACTTTCAACTCTCCTGACGATTCAATCACTACTTCAGTAGCATCACAAATTATTCAAATGCCTGCGCTTTCAAAAATACACAGCAGTACTCCATCGTCTATGATACATTCCAGTAACAATGCGACAGTAACAACCAATGTCAGTTGTTTTCAGAAAAATCAGCCATTACCTACTAGTATACTGGGTCATACTTTGCTCCAGCCTAGCAGACAAATTAATACCTCCAATTTAAATTTCAATCCCCAAAGCATAAGTTCTAGCCAACCACCTGCATTAGTTATGACTTCTAGACCACTTTTAGGAAATAAAGAACCAGCTCCCAATGTTACAGTCAGGACTCATAGCATAGTTAGTCCAGGAATAGCTCAAATGCAAGCTAAGACAAGTACCGGATCGATAAATTTCATAACTTCGTCCAAATTATTACACACCCAGTTAACATCGCCACTAAAAAGATCCAAATCGACAGATGAACCAAAAAGTGAAGTCATAGTTGGTCATATACAGCCAACTAAAAGACATAGCGTAGAGTCTGTAGTAGTTAAATCGGAACCGATGGAAACGGATGATCAGAGTACCTTAGCAAACGTAGATCCATCGAAAAATCAAACGATATTGTCTCAATGCCCTGCAAATCAAAGAAATGATGAGTCTCAAAATGTGTTATTGAAACAACTTTTACAGACTTCAACTACTGCATCAAATGTTGTTCCGCAACGCACAATGACTATACAAAGGACAGCCCCAGCTTTAGGCACAATCCCATCTCTCGAAGCTCAGTTAGCGAGACCTCCCATACCACCACCTGCTTTATCACTCACGCAAGAAGTTGAAATACCTAAAAATTCTCCTCGTCATATCACTACTGTTAATACTACTTTCCCATCTAGACCTATACAGACTATTCCGACATCTTCTATGTCACCGTTAATTCACACTTCAACGCAATCTCTAATGGATGTAAGAAAACAACCATCTATGAAAATTATGACCAAAGAAGAGCCCACTACACCATTGCCAGAAAGTTCACCAACTATGAAGGGTATGCCTATGTATCCAATGAATATAGAAAATCAACAGCTTCAACAGGCTATCAAGAAAGAGATTGCTCCACCACAACAGAGTCCTGTCCACAGCAGACCATTTACACCTTTGGACGTTAAGAAAGAATTGTTGGATGAGAGTTCTCAACAATCTGCTACGTCAGGGGTTTCCACTGCCTCAGATCAAGGTAAATTAGATCAACCTATGAAGGAAGAGTTTTCTGAAAGTGTAAATATGGATCCTACAACCGAAGTCAATGCTCCAGAAACACCATCTGAAGCTAAGAGACGGAAGCGTCGAGAGTATCAACAAAAGAAACGAAAACAAATGCAAATGAATATGAAAGCGGCTGCAGAAAGTAATTTGAATGCAGCTAACGCCAAGAGGCGATCTCGCAAAGGTTCTCGTTTCGAGGAAGACTACGATACTTTTATTGACAATTTAATGACTCAATTACGCTTACTTCCACAAATGCAAATTCAAGAACCTGCATTGACGACAAATTATGCCGTATGTCCTCTTTTTGGCTCAGGAGATTTGACAAAACTTAAGAACAAAGATTATGATATTCTTAAGGGAGATTTAGTGGGAGAATTCGGTAATGCCAAAATACCGAATGTGGCAGATTATTATAATACTAAACCATTTGGAGACGAAGAACCGCTTCCCGAAAAACCAGCTGCGTCCACCCAAAGAGGCTTTTATGACCAAGAATTTCAGCCTATTATGTTTGATGACGATCCTGAGGATAAGAAATTAGATTTTATTTGTAAAGAGCGAGATACGGATACCCCTGACAGTATTGTTAGTTGCTCTAGTCCTGAGTGTCTCGATATTGAACCTGCCAATAGATTCCCAGGACTCAAACTTATTGAAGACGAAGAAGAAGACGAGGATAGCGATTCGGCTTCTGGTCGAGTCTCACCTGTGATACCAATTATAGCTCCTGTTCCTATTAGAATTAAACCTGTATCTCTTTACCAGCTTAAAGAGGAAGATGAAATCCAGAAACCACTGAAATGCCTCGAAACTAATACGCCACTTAAAGGCAAAATGATTGATTCTCCTGGTAGTACAGAGAGCAACGAAAATGTTACCGTGACATTAACGTTAACTTCGGGTGCCGCAGAAGATATACTCGGTGTATTGAAAGAGCTTGCCGGTATTCTACATATACCACCACCGACATCATATCAAATAATAGAAAGAACTGCTACTCCACCATCACATAAGTTAGGTTTATATAGATCGAAAGGTAAAGATGGGAAAGAGGGAACACCTATAGACATTCAAAGCATTCTCAATGGTGCAGCCAAATTTTGTCGCCACTGCGATGTCGTTATTTTAGATTCCATTGTGCGAGCGAAGGCATCAGAGTTCCCCCTACTTTCCGCTAACAAGGGCAACGCTGAAGAAATATTATGCGATAGTGACTCGGAACTGTATTTTTGCAGTACGCAATGTTACCAGAGGTTTGCGTGGAGACCGACAAATATCATCCTTGACGGAAAATCGAAGTCGACAGTCAAAGAAGACACCAAGTCTGATGTAGAAACGAATCTATCTAAAGATCGCGATGATTTCGATACAGCATCCACGGAAAGCATGGAGACTGATGATTTGGATATCAAGCCTGATATTAAAGATGAAAAAATGGATTTATCGTTCATGGATTCGTTGGATAACGACGAACTCATGAAGGAAGTCGGAGACGATGTTAGCGCACTGGATGAAGACTTGAAGAGTGTCGAACATGACGAGAAGAGTAACCAAAGTACGGAGCCTGAAAAGTATAGGGGGATCAGATATAAGTCGTGGTCACCAGGTTGCATAGGACCTCCGGCTAAATACAAGCGACCCACGGACAGAGAGCTAACCGAACTTGTGTTCCGGACTGGGGTATCTATCATGCCTGTGACGAATGAAGACAGCAGAAAGTGTGAACTGTGTGGTATTCAAGGCGACGGCGTGGCTGATGGTGTTTCGAGACTGTTAAATTGTGATGTAGATAGATGGGTCCACTTAAACTGCGCATTGTGGTCGGAAGGAGTGTACGAGACAGTAAGCGGAGCATTGATGAACGTTGAAACGGCGTTAGCAAACGGCTCGAGTGCGACGTGCGCTGTTTGTCGAAGGCTCGGCGCGACAGTGCGTTGTTTTAAAGTACGCTGCGGCAGTGTATATCATCTTGGTTGCGCGGTTAAAGACAGCTGCGTCTTCTACAAGAACAAGACTGCATTTTGCGCTTCGCACGCTCCAAAGGTAAGACTACATCGATCACTAATATATTTAATGACCTATGTTACTAATTGACTTGCGCGCCAGTTTCACACAGTTTGTGTGTTGTGGTACCTTCGATTCTACGGATTTTCATAATACAAGTGCTACTTAGTTTGGAGTCTCATTAATGTATGTGATGGTGTCTAATATTTATTAATATATAAATGATTCGGTCGACGAAAGGGCAATACGCGTATATGTGATTCTCAGCTCTAGTCCTTGATTTTATTTTATTTAATTTTCACCTATATTTTGTCGATCGAGTATGTGCATATTAGTGTTACATTCTCAAGGATAAACATTATTTTTATTTAACTCTTCAGCACGCGATCGGCCGAATTCGGCCGGTCACGTGACTATTACGCCATTCCGTGAAACCCCGCTAGTTCTTCTTATTTTCAGGCAGTTAAAGTCTACTTTAGCGATGACGCATGTGCTTGCATTCGTTTTTTAAATGTGTGGTGTCAGGTTTGAAGGGTTAACATACTTATAGACCATCAGATTGATAAAAGAAGCTGACTTAATGCTAATAGCATTATCTACCAGTAACAGAAAAACTCGATGAAAATTCTATTCTATATATTTTTGTTACACCGCGTCAACTTGCGTTTTAATCGTAGAACGAGAAAGACAACGAGTTGACAACGCTCAGCGTGCAGCGTCGCGTGTACGTGTCGCGCGACGAGCAGCGCCAGGTGGCGTCGGTGATGCTGCACTCGGACACCAACCACCTGATCCGCGTCGGCGGACTCATATTCCTCAGCCCCGGACACTTGCTGCCCCACCAGCTAGCTGCCTTCCACACGCCCAACTACATCTACCCCATCGGATACAAGATCGTGAGATGATTTCTGACTGACATATCGCTTGTAAAATTTCGCTATGACGTCAATCGAACTCGTCGTTTGTTTTATCTAATAAGTAGGCTTTATCTAATAAGGTTAATTTAACTCACGTTTCCATGTTGTAGAATGGAAAAAAAAACTATTTTACTTTGCATAAAGATTATCTATATGTTTATTTACGTAGTTCTATTTTAATAATGTGTGAATCATCCCTGTCCTCTGTCAAGAGTTTTTTAAACAATATAATTGATCAGATTAATCCTACACGAGCTGCGTAGTAGAATGCTAAGATTCATCTTGATATATAAAAAATAAACAAATTCATTCCATCAAAATATACGATATGTATACAGAAGGACTTATATTATACAAGGACATATTAATGTCATTGGAGTTCTAATAAAGTTTTATATATTCTGAATCTCGAAAACAGGTCTAACGATTTTCATAAAATTGGTTTCGGGGAAGATAAATCGATCTAGTCGACATACATATACCATAAGAAAAATCATCCAGGTGCTTTTAATTTATATGTATGTATAATTGTGTCAGGTCCGGTTCTACTGGTCGATGTGTCGGGCCAACAGTCGTTGCCGGTACCTGTGTTGGATATCTGAGGAGGAGGGCCGGCCGCGGTTCCACGTGCGCGCCCAGGACGAGCCGCGCACCGAACTGGCCGCCGCCACGCCGCGCGCCGCCTGGGCATCGGTAACTGTCCGCTTACACTACAACTAATACACAACTAGTCTGCCTTGCCACACCGATATGTACTGTACCCGGCACGAAAGCAAACCCAATATGACCTCCACTGCGCGCATAGATTATCGGGGTCAAAAGATAAAATGTAAAACGTCTACCCCTTAATGAATATTATTAGTAAACCGAGTCACAATATCTTTTTTTCAAAACAAAGTACGAATTTAGAACTTCCTTTATTGATTAACAACATTTCCATAAATTTTATTATTAATTACTACAACATTGTAGCTCGGTATTGTAGTGGATAAGCGCCTTGGCCTGCGATTGTTGTTAAGCAACTCTCGCTAGGGTCGGCCACAGGAAGGGTGACCAATCCGCATTAGCGCCAGCGTGGAGGGTCATGGCCCATTCTTCTTCACCATCTATAAGGAAGGCCTGAGCCCCTGCAGTGGGGACGTTAAAAGGCTGATGATGACTACAACGTTACAAATATAAATAATAATTTTCGTGCCGGATTCTGTAGAAGTGTACATACGTAGAAAGTTAAAGCCATAACACCGTAAGAACTAGCACTAATTGAGCGCTTGATAAATACAAATCGGTGTTCGACGGTCGTAGGGCCAGTATACTACAGACTAGTTCAGAAATAAATGTACAAGCAATTTGTTTTACAAATATTATTTACATGAGTTATTTAATTTGTTTAACACTGCTTATTTCAAATGAAAATTTCTACTAGAGACAAGACCACTACAGGAGATAACTTACTAGTATATTCTAATGTGTGATACGTTTTTCATGTTATATTAAATTTTGTAGATATTAGACTCTGTAGCGGCGTTACGCGATAATCGAGGCGAAGAGGGAGTGCTCAAGTTATGGCCGAATTACGTGACCGGCGAAGATTTGTTCGGTCTCACCGAGCCAGCTGTTGTCAGGGTTTTAGAGAGTCTGCCAGGTTAGTGCACAGTTTATTAAATGGAAATTTAAAGGAAACATTACGTTTACTTAAATACCCTATAGCTGAAATGATATCAAAACAACGGCGACAATACTTCGTATATTATAACTTAAAATAGATAACTGAATAATATAAAATATATCATTTGTTATAGTATAAATTCTCAAGAAATGGATTATCATTTTGTTTAAGTAGTGTTTATTATAGATGTTAAAAATTAATAACGTATGGAGTTTTTGTTTTATAGTCACATCACAAGGAGGTATCAGTCGTACAACACAGTCTCCATAATCCACTGCTGGACTTAGGCATTTCCAGTCAGTCAATGTATGTGTCTCAAGTTTGCCAGAACACGCCGAGTTCTACTTTTATCTGTACTTTATGTAGGTTATTGATATAGGTTAATGGAACTTAAACTTGATAACATTTTTATAATCTGATCCGAATTACTAATTACGTTCGTATTGAAACTGCAGAGATGTTCACGGAAACTTTCTTAAATTTCACTAAACGAATATATTGAAAATTATGCATATTATTGGATTGCACTAATTACTTATTAAAGTCCAACATAACGCTCGCTCGCACACCAAACGATTTAACAGCAGGGGCGCGTTTCACAGGAGCCGACGGCGAGTGCGACCAGACGGCATATTGTCTAATTTTAAAATCTTATCACAATCAATTCAATTCGACATTTGAAAGATATTACTGAACTTTATATCATATGTGATAGGGATTGCGATCATGGCGTTGAATTGTCGAAGGCAAGCGTTAGACTCCAGGGCTTGGAAACCGGTTAATTTTTTGAACCGGTTGGACGTAAGCACATGCACAACTTTACATAAAAGGTTCAGCTCCTTCGAACACGTTTTTAAACTGGTTCACTAGAAATACGGTTTTCTTCATTAACCGGTTTAAATATAACTCCAAACAATGATCTCACAAACTTCAGCGCGGTTTTTAAGTGCCTTTACTCCTATCTATAACATCCGTACACAGGTATGATAAATGTCATCGCTTAAAAATGATATAATTCGCATTTAAAGCGTAAGAACATTGCTTTTTACGAACCGCGCGAATTAACCGGTTTTTATTCTATCCGAATTTCACTCCGCATTCAGTTACGATCCGGAACGGAACATTATAAGAGAACAGGTTTTACCTAAATAAAAACGGTTTATTCTGAACCGGTTTCAAGCCCTGTTAGACTCAAATATCTTTGAAAGCTTTTGGGAACTCACACTCGTGCTCCAACTTCGCACCTCCATTCGCGTGACACACGTCCATATAGCGCGTGACACACGCTCCTGTAGATCACGCTCTAGCGGGGATCGTTTGGTGAATCAGTTTACTACAAAACGTCATCGGCTATTTGACATTTTGTGGGGGTCGGTTAGGGCATAGGGACTGCGGCCAGATATCGTTGTTGTTAAGCAACTTTCGGCAGGGTTTGTCACGGAATGGGTGACCGAAAAATCTTCGTGCTTCGGAAGGTACGTTAGGCCGTCAGTGCTGGCAGCATTTGAAGGACGTAATACCCTTCAATTCACATTGCGCCAGCGTGGAGGGGCACAGCCTATCCTCCTTAACCATCCGCAAGAAAGGCTTGAGCCCTTGCGGGGCGGACGTATAAGGGCTAATGATAATGAGTTTGTCGTATGGTATCGTTTGATATCAAACGATATACGTGTGTTGTATTTCTTTTTTTGTAATGGAAAATTACTTCATGTTCTGATGAAGTCACTTTTTCATAATAATATGACATCTCTGTATGAAATGAAACAGGGAGAAAAAAGCAAGCAGGGCCTGCTGAGTTTCTAACCGGTTCTTCTCAGTAGAAGGTCTCCCGCCGTAGATTTACGAACCGATGGCGTAGCTTTCGACTTTCACAAGCGCTCGTAACAGCCTAGACCGAATAAATGGTGTTGAGTTCGAGTTTTTGTGATGTGTGCGACAGGGGTGGAGACGCTGACCGACTACAGGTTCAAGTTCGGTCGGTCCGCGCTGCTGGAGGGCGGGCTGGCGGTGAACCCGTCCGGGTGCGCGCGCGGGGAGCCCCGCCCCCGCGCGCCCCCGCACCGCCGCCCCGCGCGCTCCCTCCTGCCCGCCACCCCCGCGCCCGCCGCCGCCGACCACCCCGCCTGCCCCTACTCCAAGCAGTTCGTGCACACCAAGAGCAGCCAGTACAAGAAGATGAAGCTCGAGTGGCGGAACAACGTGTACCTCGCCAGGTACACACACTACCACCACTACAGATTCAATCAAATAATATTCAATTTTTTATTAAACCACTAATGTCGCAATGAAGTTTAAAAAAAAATACCAATTTAGCAGCTCGATTCTAATGCAGTGCTCGGTAGATCGGAAGGGTAGATGCGTTTGTTCACGATTTCGATAAAAAAAACATGATTAAATTTATTATATTTTTATTAATTTTGCATTCACAATGCCATACTTTTGTATTAAGAATTATTAAATTTGCCTACGAAAGTTTTATGATGAATTTAAAATGCGAAAACTTCATTTTGGTTTAGCTTAATGCTGCATTAATAAAATAAATGACTATACAGCACAAGTAAAATCGGCGAAGATAAATCGCCTTTAAAATAATTGCCGCTATCAAAATATTCCGTATTACCTGCGAATCCCCATGGGCTGTCATAATATAACACTGACGTAAATCAGCCCATGGGTAGACGCGGCGTGGTGAAGGGTAGACTCGGTGCATATGGCGGCAACACCATGCGTCCGACACGAGAGTCCAGGGCGATTCTATGACGGAGCGGAGACACCCCCTCGCGGGGTGATGCCCTCCTAGTAGATAGTCTCGAGGACGATCGTCATCTCTGCTTGAGGTCCTAAGGATCTCGTCGTCCCTTAGCCCGGTTACACTGTAAAGGCCATCTGAGGCGAACAGTAAGACACAGTCCAAAAAAAAGCTCATTTAAAAACACATTGTCATCAAATTTAAAAAAAAAACAATTTCAGATCTAAAATACAAGGCCTAGGATTATACGCCGCCCGCGACATAGAGAAACACACGATGGTCATCGAGTACATCGGAGAGATCATACGCTCTGAACTGTCTGAAATTAGAGAAAAGCAATATGAGGCGAAGGTGAGTTGAACTAGATAGCTTTATTTTATCGTCATTTCTATTTAATTTGAATGTGAGATATTTGTGACATTCGATCGATGTACACGTCTAATCGGAGCAATTCATTAGACGATCAATCTGTATTGTGATCAGATCAAAGTTGCAGATCGATGATAAAAATCAAATTATCTAGATAATATGTTATTCGTTTCAATCTGGCATCAATCAACACATTACACGTTCAGTTTGACATTAATCTGATTAAGATCAAGGCAGATTAATCGTCCAAAGGCCCTTTGAAAGAGATTTGTACGTATGTGCGTTCAGAACCGCGGCATCTACATGTTCCGTTTGGACGAGCGGCGCGTGGTGGACGCGACCCTGAGCGGCGGTCTCGCGCGTTACATCAATCACTCGTGCCAGCCCAACTGCGTCGCGGAGACCGTCGAGGTGGACCGCCATCTGCGCATCATCATTTTCGCCAAACGACGCATCGCACGCGGCGAGGAGGTAAATCTATAGAGACAAATTAAATTGTAAGGGTGGCGTAGAGGATAAGCGCCGCGGTCCGCGATCGTTGTTGTAAAGCAACTTTCGCAAGGGTCGGTCACGGAATGGGTGACCAAAAAGTTATTATCTCGAGCTACTTGGTGCTTCGGAAGGCACGTTAATCCGTTGGTCCCGGCTACATTTGCAGTCTTTAATACCCTCCATTCCGTATTGGGCCAGCGTGGAGGGTCATAGCCTATCCTCCTTAACCATCCATGAGGAAGGCCTGAGCCCATGCAGTGGGATCGTAAAAGGGCTGATGATGATGACGAAATAACATTGGAGTGTCTCTTTGTAATATTAAAATAACCGCTTTTCATTAAATACATATGTATAATTTACCCCTTATTACAAAAGCTTATTGGCACAACGCGTTGTGGCCGAATAACATGTCGGCTATGACCCGAATTTGCTATGTGGTTATTCTGCGATTGCCACAACGCGTCGAGAACTATTTTTTCACTCAATGAGCGATTTCAATCTTTGAGCGTAACATGACTGTCAGTAATAATCCTACTGACATTGCGACAAATTCGTCTTTAAATTAGATACTAAGACAACAGAGGATTCCTCTTGCTTGCTATTGAATAGTCAAAGTAATAATGGAACCAAGAGTTTTTCAGTCATCAACCTAGTGCACCAAAATGTTCAAGGAATGTTGAGTAAAGAGTTAGAAGTGGAATTATTCATGAACTGTAACAATGTTGATTTTTTCTGTATTACGGAACATTGGTTAACATGTTATAATTGCATTTTTAACTTCAATAATCACCTGGTTGGTAGCGCGTTCATTAGGAAAAACGCAATGCGTGGTGGCGCACTAATTTTATTAAATAAAAAGTTTAAATTTAAAGAACGTAGAGATATAGTGAGCCTATCGGTTGAGGAAATAACAGAGATTGCCTGTATAGAGCTGGACCAGCTGATTGTACTGAGCGTATATAGACCTCCTTCAAGTTTAGTTTCTCATTATGATCTCTTTGAAACTGTTATGGATGAAGCATTAAAAAAGGTATATAGCAAAGGCAAACGATTAGTGATTGGGGGTGATTTTAACGTTGATTTATTAGGAAACTCCAATTCATGTACAAGACTTGTAAATCTATTTATGTCCTATAATCTTGCGCACATGTTTAAGGAGCCTACTAGAGTAACTGCTACTTCGTCCACATGTATTGACAACATTTTTACAGATCTAGTACCACTTTCAAGACAGATAATTAAACAACTACCGTCAGATCATTTTGGACAACTAGTTAGCTTTCCGCATAAATGTACGTTTGTGGCTAGGAGAGACATTACAGTTGTGTCAAAAAGTATGAGTCGCTTGGAACGTTTTAAAAATCAATTAGATAGTAAATTGTATCATTTGAAACATAATAGTAATCCCAATGATTTGTACAAAGATTTCTTTGATGTTTATTGTACAGAATTCAATAAGATTTTTGTCCCAAAAAAAATAAGTATTAGTAATCCTATAACTTTTAGTGTGTGGGCTACACCAGGAATCTACAAAAGCAGAAAAAGGCTCTATGAACTATATGATGAACGTAATTATAACACAAGTGAGGACTTCAAAGAATATATACGAAATTACTCTAAATTATTTAAAAAAGTGTGTCGTTTAGCCAAATGTAATTATTTAAATGCAAAAATTGAAAATAGTAAAGACAAAGTTAAAATGACGTGGAATATCATAAATAGTGAAACTGGAAGAGAAAAATCCCGGAATATAAATTTTAATTTAAACATTGATAATAAAAAAGTAACATCAGATCTTGAAGTTGCTACAGTATTTGAAAATTTATTTACTGAAATTCCAGTCTTAATTACACAATCTTTGAATTCCTCTTCCACTGTTGCTGAATCTATTTTAAAGGCAAGTTTAAATAATTCTAATAGCCAATTTAAGTTTCAACACATTGATTTTAAAGATATAATAAAATCTTTTAATCAGCTAAAGAAAACGAAAACTGCTGATTTATGGGGTAATTCCATTGAAGTTTCTAAATCGGTAATTGAGACAATAGCTCCAATCTTAGCTTATATATTTAATGAATTTACTGATTGTGGTATTTTTCCTGAGCTCATGAAATATAGTAAAATTATTCCTTTACATAAATCGGGTAGCACATCTGACCCTACTAACTTTAGACCTATATCCGTGCTACCTACGTTTAGTAAGATTTTTGAAAAAATCATGCTGGATCAAATACAAACGTACTTTTACAAGAATAAGCTTATGAATCGACAACAATTTGGTTTTACAAGGGGTCGCTCGACAACCGAAGCCGGTGTCGAGTTAATACAAGAAATTTTTTAATGCCTGGGAGGATTCACATGATGCGTTAGGTGTTTTCTGTGACCTATCTAAGGCATTTGATTGTGTTTTTCATGAAACATTGATTAGGAAACTGCATTTTTATGGATTTAGAGATAACTCATTGGATTTTATTGTCTCATACTTGACTGACAGAGTACAGAGGGCTGATATCAATGGCAAAAGATCCCCTGGATCGAAAATTAAAATGGGCGTTCCGCAGGGCTCAATACTTGGTCCTTTCTTGTTTTTGATTTACATAAATGACTTGCCTTATTTCGTAAGGGATGATCACGAAATAGTTTTGTTTGCGGATGACACTTCACTCTTGTTTAAAATTAAAAGAGGGTTACCTCTAAATGACGATGTGAACAATTCTATCGCTAAAGTAGTACATTGGTTTAATGTAAATAATCTTCTCCTTAATGAAGGAAAAACAAAATGCTTAAAATTTGTACTACCTAATGTTAAAAAAGTAGATATAAATGTTAATGTAAAAGATAAGAACATGGGCCTTGTGGATACCACAGTATTTTTAGGAATAACATTAGATTCTAAACTACAGTGGGGCCCACATATTGATAGATTGTCGAGTAGACTTAGCTCTGCAGCATATGCCGTAATGAAGATACGTAGGTTAACTGACATAGATACTGCCAGATTAGTATACTTCAGTTACTTTCATAGTGTTATGTCATACGGTATCCTATTGTGGGGAAATGCTGCCGACATACAAACAATTTTTGTGCTTCAGAAAAGAGCAATTCGATCAATTTATAATCTTAGGATTAGGGACTCTTTAAGGGAGAAATTTAAGGAAATAGACATTATGACTGTTGCTTCTCAATACATATACGAGAACTTAATGTACGTTCGTAAAAATATTAGTTTGTTTTCTATTAAAAGTGATGTACACAATTTTAATACAAGAAATAAAAATAAATTAACGGTGCCTGTCACTAGACTGCAAAAAGTTAATAACTCTTTCAAGGGTCTTTGTGTGCGCTTCTACAATAAGGTCCCAAGCAAAATACAACAATTAGATATCATGCAGTTTAAATCTACTATTAAAAAAATACTTATTAAAAAAGCTTATTATAAGGTATCCGATTATGTAACAGATAAGAACGCTTGGACTTGAGATGATCCAGCAACTGGATAGGTGATTACTTCTAAACTCATTATCTTGTTTCCATTATTATTAAATGATTATGTTATTATTATAAGCCCATAGTTTTTTTTATCTCTGTTTATAATGTATTGATCTGGTAATGACATGGTTTTTGTAAATGTCATTACTCATATTAGAGCTGGTGAGTTTCTTGCTCGTTCTTCTTATCAGCCAAAAGACGTCCTGAACGAGTGGTAGGGAAAAAATGTTGGACGATTCAAAAGTACTTTTAAGAAGTCTATTTGAATAAAGATTATTTTGACTTTGACTTTGACTCTTTAATTAATCCGAAAAATTAATATCGCGACATTGACACTCCGTTTACACGTTTATTGTCTAGAATGTTTCTTGGATTTCTTTTGTAGTCCAAATATGAAATAACTTTAGTAAATTTAAAAAATCTAAGGAAATCATATGTGTGAACAGAACTACTCTGCACGCAATATATGTCCCGCTATATATCTGTTAAAACATAGAAAGGTAAAAAATGTAGCTAAAATGAAAAATCAGCAAATATGTTGACATTCGCTTAATTAATTAACATTCACTGATTAACACACCGACAATAGCTCAGGAATATGACCTCATTTATAGCGAAAAATACACTCTGCAAAAATCATTACGAATAAATATATTATCGACTACAGCAAAGCGACCGCCTAATTCCTCTAACTACAACTCTACCCAGAGGATACGACATCATAGCGATGTTATGGTGATATATTGTTACATTGTAATACTTTCAGATGTATTTCAATAACAATTAACGAATGATAAAGAATGGTGACTATGAATTTGACAGGAGTGTTGCCAACTTAGTCATTTATCCACCAAAAGACATGTCAAAGCAGTAAAATGAAACAAAATATCCCCATTACATCGCTAAGATGTTGTATCCTATTGCTAGAGTTATGGCTAGAGGAATTAAGCGGTCACAACTCTGGTGCGGCCGGGATGAACGGCTTAAGACCCTAACTTCTTCAACGTTTCATAAAGTGTAAAACCTTACTTTTTTTTATTTATAGCTCGCTTACGACTACAAATTCGATATAGAAGACGATGCTCACAAAATAATGTGCATGTGCGGCGCACCAAATTGTCGCAAATGGATGAACTAAAACACGGATCGTCGTGTAACCAGTCTGGAATGTCGCTTGCCACTACGGAGACCGGCTATCACAACTAGTTGACGTACCAAAGTGATTTACTTGTACATAATTTTAGTTATTATAGCTAAAGTGTGATTTTGTATGGATAAACTATAACGAGACTTTCGCTCGTCGGTTTCGATAAAAGTGTAATTTTTTATTTAGTGAACTTGACGAGAGTATTTGAACACATGTAAATAATATTAAAATATATAAATCATTGTTGTTACTGATTATGAATATTTTAGATGTGACTGTTTTCTAAGTAAACTATATTGTAATATAAGATTTTAATTTAATATTTTGATGTATTCTATACATGTTTCTTTCTTTGATATTACCCTTTTTCATTGACATTTTAATCATTGATGTAATATATTATTTCCCTTCTGTAATTTCAATTTTTCTTAAACTGTCGACTCTATATGTATATAAAAAGGTATACGTGTATTATACCTGATAAGTAGTAATGAAAATCTCAACAGTGATGAAATATTAGAATAAGTTACCAAATAGATGAGTTTGCATTTACTACGTGTAGCGGATAGTAATAACAACATAACATGATGCCACGTTGTGCCTGACCTGTTCGTGTATAAGTAACTGGTAGGTTAGATCTACGGAACACCACAGCGCGCCTTCGGTCGACGATGACGACATAACATTCTTAGTGATAGATTTAGAATCCGTGTACGATTTCACACACGCTAAAATGGTGTACATATAAGTTTACCTAAACAAAAGCTATAAATTCGTATTAAAGAAATTATTGAATCAATTTTCACCTTGCTGTGAAATCGTATGCGACATTAGCTAGTGTAATAACTTATTTGTAAAAGTAAATAGTCCCAAATGTGATATTACCTCACATGATGTCGTGTGTTACTTTTAGTGTGGCCATTGAATGCCTATCGTTGAGAAGAACGACGTTATATTTGCGTGTAATAAAAGTGGTGAGATCGGCTGTTCAGGAATTTAAATAGCTTTTAAAGAAAACACTATAGGAAGCCTGTATGATCTGGATATAGAAAAATGTATTAGGTGTTATTGAAGATGTGGGTATTTGGATAGCACAAGGAATTTTGTTATTTTTAATACAGGTTGCCATCTACCAATGTTACGAATTCATGCAATAATATATTTAATTTTAAGTGTTATGTGCAATATCATACCTTGCAGATTGTAAATATGTTATATCCCATTGACAGACAGAACATAACAAATATTAATCATTAGTTTTATATACATAGTTGTATCATAATTGCTTTCGTGTCAATTTATTTATTTAAAAGCATTCCTGTATTTTGGCGCTCTATCTGACTCAATATTGTTTCACAAAAATAAATTTTGACATGGTGTTGTTTGTAAAATTTATTACTTTAGAATTTTCTATACATTTTAGTATTTTTATTGCATTATTTTCCTATCATTAAAGTTTAATTAGTAAAAAAGTATAGAGTTTAATTTTCGTCTCGATATTTTGAATGTCGAGCATCTCCTAAGCAGCAACATATGTATAAGATCAATAATTAAAGAATAACAGTAACTCCGAATATAACAGCACAAGACCTATCTAGAGCGTCTGCCACAATTTATCTTAATTATTTCTATAAATATTTACTTTAACGAATTATTACAATGTCCTGGACGGAAATGATGATCTGGAAAACTTATTGTCTTGTGAAAGTAATTTTAGCACGAATTCGTTAAAAATGATATTGACGTTCTGCCGCATTGTGATTTGGTAAGAGTGTGTTTGCTATGATTTTACAATCAGGCAAGTTTGCTACCTGCTTATAGAATTCTTCAGGCGTTACACATTTCACTTTTATTCATATTTATTCAGACTAGGTTTGATCACGTTAAGACAGAATTTTGTCACAATAGTTGATACTAGAATATTCGATTGTAATATCTAGTCGGAGCGGTAAAATACGTTGTGGTTATTGAGATCATTATTCAGCGTCAAAAGTTTTAATGTTTTATAAATGCATGCTAGAATGACTTAACGTTGTAGAATAATAACCTTTGAAAGTGGTAGTTTGGAAGATATGGCGTGGTGCTGCTCTTAGAATAATAACTTTATTCTTAGGTGCTGCTAATCCGACGTCTGCCAGATGGCGCTATCGGCCTGATAAATACTTCTTAAACTATAGATAGTATCTCATTTAAGTCTCATATACACCTACTAATATAATGTATTAATTTCATTATGTACAATTTGAACAGTAATTTTGGAATTTCAAAAGGTATTTTATGAAAGTCAACGTCATTATAGCAAAGATACTATATGGCATAAGAAAATTTATTTTCTTCTATCCTAAGGAGTTTGAGTAAACTGTTCAAATCAGCTAGAGGTACTTAATAGCTGCACTATTATTTACGGGCAGTATTGGGGTTCTACAACTATGTGTGCTATGTGAGCAGAAATAAAACTCTTCTGGTTTCATATAAATTTTATTACAAATGTTGTTTTTATTGACTTAACTGCAAATAATATACCAAAATAACATTGCCTAAGTAAAGCTGGGGAGCCAGCAGACATTGATCGCAATAAATTACGGAAAGTCTTTACACAACAGAATATATTTCTTTTTAGATCCAAAGGTTAGAAGTTATTTTTTTATGTAATAACCAAGTTGCATTCTAATCATTGTGATGATTAAGCAGTAATCTGGAGTACTATATATACTACACTTAGTCTTTCTTTTGTGCTCCATAGAGAAAATATTTCTTCTTTCTGCATATTATTGACATGGATAATTTAAATGGGTATTGTAAATCCTGCTTTAGTTTACATAATAATATTAATAATTGGATCAAAATATTTTGCAAAGTAAAATAGTTAAGGTCTTTTGTTTTTTATTTTATTTTATTTCATGATCTTTTAAAAGTATGATTTATATAAAATTAAATACGACACGAATACGAACATCACATTTCTTATAATTATCATAAATTTTGTTGTCTCCAATGAAGACTAGCCGACCCAACTTTAGTTTAACTAAACAATCCCAAAATATTTTTTTTAAATAATTTGTAAAAGTATAACACTCGTCGTTTTCATTAATGTACAACTAATAATGAGAAGTATTTGTTATATAACAAGCGGAGGATTATCACGCTTGTCTTGAGGTGGAGTGAGAATAAGATAAGAACTTTATCATTTTGGATACCAGATTAGTATTAACTTATTGCGATTGTGCAGGCTGGTCTATTCAAGAAAATTGCTTAAATTGACCAAACTAACTTAACGGGAAAGGTTCCGTACTAGAATGGCCATGAAATCCATTTAATACCGAAATTATACAATTATATGCTTCGCACCATTACCTTATTCATATAGACACAAATTTAAACGGTTTTACAAACCCATAGAACAAACTCGAGAATGTAGAGCCTTAGGTAAAATAAAATGGTTTAATGATATTAACAGCCAAACAAAAGTCACTGGATATCATAGTTAAAAGCTACTTGTAGCCAAAATGTTTTGCATGAGCTCTGAATATCTCGCAAACTAGTAATATTTGACTCGAAATCAGATGTTTGGAGAACATTTATACAAGTTCTTTGTACTTTATTAGTGACTTATTATTATAAGACACTATTAGCGCAGTAGTTGATTTAAAAATACGCAACTACAATAAACAGTAACAATACCTTATTGCAGCTGTATTAGTTTATTTTTATCCCACACATAATTCATGATCATTTTTTCTCTTTAGGTACATCAAACATTTTGCATCTTTTCATTTATTTATTACATTCCGAGTTACATTAATGGATACTAGATTCTAGGAAGATCTCATCTGAGCATATAATAATAGTACATTACTAGTAAGCGAGTTTATGTTGCTTAGAATGAAATTTCATATATCTATTAACGTAGCTGCATAACAACATATGATTGTACAAAACTTAAAGAGTTGAAACCCTACTCCATGCAACGTCACTTGTGTTTTAACATAATAGTTTACTATTCAATTTTATAAGAAATAAGAAAACCGAATACTTAGTTAAACTGATAAATACGTTTAGGTATGATGCAGCTACGTTAGTACACAACATGAAAGCAAATGTGTAGGTGGCTGGGCTTGTAGAGCTCAGTCTATGTACTGCGCGAGCCAACGGAATCCCTCGCCGTAACCCTGTCGCTTCAGTACTGAGCACATGAACAACTCCAGCGGCCGTCCTGGAAGCTCTGATCGGGATACTTTTCCCTGAAAAAGGTAATGTTCAATAAACTATAATGCTTCATGGATAAGGCTATTGCATAGTACATATACACCGACAAGTGTCAGTCTATTTGTTAGGTCATCACATTTTCAAAAGCTACAAGTGATACTTATAAAAAACAACCTTTGAATTTTAATCAGTACTATATTGTGTGTAATTGTTTGAAACAAACCTTTCCTGTAGTCTGTTGGTACAAGTTGAAGAACTGACGTAGCTCGTCTTCACTTGCTGCACCTGGTTTGTCAATCTTATTGCCGAGGATAAGTACAGGACAGTTGCTGAGCGTCTCGTCGGTGAGCAGCGAGTCGAGTTCAGCTTTGGACTCGGGCAAGCGCGCGCGGTCACACGCGTCCACCAGGAACACGATGGCGTCCACCGCCGGGAAGTAGTCGCGCCACACGCGCCGCGCCTGCTGATGTCCGCCCAGGTCGAATGTCGTAAAACGCATGCTGCCTATTGACAGTTCCTCCGACGCTGTACATAAAGCATTTCATTAATTATTTAGGAAAACAAACAGTCATTTACAGTTTATGTACAATCAAACCTTATTTAAATAATAGACCTGATAGTTCAATGACTATATACTAATAAAATTTATTTATTTGCTAATTGACAGTGGTGATGACATTGAAAAAACTTAACTTACACACGAAACAAATAGTATCCCTACAATAATTTCCAAATTCTCATTATTCAGTTTACAATATCTCCCACTTTTAGTTTAAATTGGTTTAATGATAGCAAAAAAATAACAATGTTATTCAAATTATCATTGTAAAATCTACAGGAGCATCTTATAAAAGTATTACTGGCATAATTTGTGGCAGTAGGTGAACAATGAAAAATGTTTTTACAATGTGAGGAGACTAGAATCCTTTAATTCTTAAATTTATAAATTGAAATAACAAAGGTGAGTCTACATAGCCATTTATTATTTTGTAAAGGAAAACTTCAGCCAGATAAACATGTCTATTTTGTAAAAAATCAATATTATTTTAAATGCAGATTTATAGTCAACAAAGAAATGTCCTGTCCTAAATCTAAAGATTTCAAAAAAATATTTTGCACTTTTTCAATTCGGTCAATATTCTTGTTACTTCAGCCTATTTATAGCGTGGATATGTTTTCTATTTAGAAATTTGTCTTATTTAGAAGTTTCCTTTATCCAAGAATTTTAACAAAAAGATAAAATATTATTAATAGCCCAAATACGGAAAAGCTGAGCTACTCACAGAAAGGAGCTTGATAGTTAGTGTTTGCAGAGATAAGGCAATTAAGTATCCCAATAATTAAATACATTTGTAACCTACTATTTAAAGTACAACTTACTCGGATGCAGTGTTGGTACATGCTGTGCTAATCTGTCATCCTTTAACATGTGAAGGAGTGTTGTCTTTCCAGCATTGTCCAGGCCCAAAAATAGTAGTTTTCCAGATTTCTTCCATAAACCTTTAAAGAAGTTGTACTAAATTACATACATTATAAAAAAACATTATTTAAAGGAGATATTAATAGCACTGATGTTTTTTTTTTATTATAATAAATAAAGATTTGTTACTGATCATATCATATCATGCAGTATATGAGTGAATGATATTTTTTAATAATAATAGTTTATACATTACACAGCAAGCTAAGTCTTACAGAATGTTCATATGCTATATTTTTTAAGTTAAATAATGATTTACTAATTAAGTCATAATCAACTAATGGAAATGTAACAGACAAGTAAATTAACCACATGAAACACAACAAACAGGTTTGAATCACTTTGTTAGCCTTTTTGGTCAAATTCCAAAATGTTAATAATAAAGCATAATTGATTAAATTTTAACATTTTCATTTAATTATTTAAATTTAATTCTTATTGAATTAAATTAATTCACCAATTGAGATATTGATGGGAGAATATTGTTAATTGTAGGCAAAGTCAGAAACATTTATTAATAGTTATAAAGTGAGAATAAAACATATTCAGACAAAAGTTAAGTATAGCAGAGTTTAAGAACAGACATTAATTAATTTAGTGACAGTATTTACTACTACTATATATTTATTATAAGTAGCAAGAATAAGATGTAATTTGTTTTGATATTCAAATATTTATAATATTAACCATTTATATGTGATTTTTACTTAAGTTTTGGTATCTAGTGGCTCATAATAAGTAGCTAACAAAGAACAAATGGTTAGTTTGAAATTCTACAATCATTACATGCTGAGTGAAATATTACGAATCTGTAATCACATTTTTTAAACAATTATAAACATTTTTAAATTACAAAGGTCCTGCTTGTTCTATATAAGGCAAGTATAACATTCAAATTTTATTGAAAACTTCTTACCCAAGAATCCAAGAACGCCAGTAAACCAGTCCAAGATAAACATATTGAATCTGCAACGCAGAAAATAGTGAAGATTTATTACTTTTATCTTAACTGTTACGTTTTTCACAAAGAAATACACATTTATAATGACTTGCACAACTCATTGATATCAGTTGCGTAGTACCATCTGGCAATGGCAAGTGAACAGATTACTTTGGAAAGTATCACACAGTAATCAAGATTTGTAAAAATCGCCTTAAAATGTAGCAAGAATGCGATATCAAATTGAGTAATATGACTGACAGAACGACATTGGGCCACTTGAAACTTTGAATGATAATTACATCAAAATTCGAATTAAATACTCACTTATTAAAATTGAACTAGATTAATTAATACTAGTAGAACTTTATCACAATATTTCGCACTTATATATAATTGTTACGTCGTTTCATTCGACGATTTTTCTTCAGCGATGTAAATGCGATGGAAATATGAATCTGTTGGCAATGACGTACACGACTTCCGGAAGTTGACACTTTCTTAAAGCTTCATTCAATTTAGAAAAATTGTCTTGGCCTACTTGTCTGGGAGCCTGACTAGAAAAAAACGATCTTAACGATTGCTATCCGTGGACCAGCTTGAGATGCTGACAAATAAATATAATATTTTCTAATAATAGTCTTCTAAGTATATTATTACTTTATTGAAATTTTTGTTTAATTGGTAAAAATCGAATAAAAATACATGTTTAAATTGTAATATACATATAGTTCTCAAATATTTACCTCTCATGATTATAGAGAGATAGAAAGGAGTGGTAGAATCCAAAACTAATTTGTGTTTATCAATTAGTCAAGAACTAAAAACTTGGCTTTTTTGTTTATTTTTCTATCGTTTTAAAAGAACAATGGCCATCTGCCTAACATGCTTGGACTAGTAAAATCGAATAAAACGTAACTTGATGAAACATATTTTGTTTGTCTACACAACTAGAACAAAGAAAGACATTAAATATATTTTTAAAAGCTGGGAGTATCGAGTAATTGTGTAATATGTTTAAGAGGTTATGTCGTATTATTTAAACTGTAGCATTTTAAGTTAGAGGTATTACAGTTGAAATATGTAAAGCACACGTCAGATAATGCCTAATCGTGGTCCTTGGAGTGCATACTTTCACATAATACTTCAAACTTGCTCCATATCTGATGTATTATTTTTATTGACTGTAAGAAATAAAATCATTTTTTGTGAACCAATGAACATCAAAAAAATAAAAGAATTTTTAAGATTGTTCTCAATAACTCTACTTTTCCATCTTACACTATAACTTATATAAAGTAGTAGTGAAAATACTAATGCCAAAAGGATATAGCAAAACAACATGTTGATTTTTCTTTTCTTTATTACAACTCTATTGAATACCTCATCACGGAATGCTGCAGGAGCAGCTACATTCTGTTCATGTCTGGCCCATCCAAGATCCCAAACTATGGTCATTATATGAACACAGCATCCCAGTGTACATCAACCAATAAAACAATTACAGCAGTGTTCTCTTATGCCATCTAACCCGGATGTTTAATTTAATTATTTATTAAAATGTACACATAATATTGTTTCCTCCCAATGTCTCGACTTAATTCTAGCCCTTATAATTAGGACTTTATTTATATTTATGTCTAATTCTAATAAATCCAAAGAATCCGGTATTTCTTTACAGACCCCAATTCTATACTGCCCATAGAACCTATACATACTATACTATACTCCATACTATACTACGCATACTATACTCCCTTATCTCCATTATAGGGATAATACAGAAGATAATACAAAATCGCCGCCAAAGTTACAAAACGGTCTGCGTAGAAACACGTTTACACATACTTGTCTAAAAATGGGAGGTCGCAATCGATTATTGAATACTGTAATATAGATTATTATGAATAATCATTAGTTTTTAATTTCATTATAAATAAACTATTTTCTTCTAGGTAACATCATCTATTTATATTAGTTTTCTAAGCTAAGTTTTATAATTTTCATGGATTAGTCGGAAATAAAATCGATCTTGTTATTTGAAAAGAGAGGGATTTCTCTAGGAATGACATTATTATTAAGATGCGTTCAAAAATAACATAATTTAAACTGCGTTGTAAAAAATAAAGACATAATTTAGAGAGGAAAATCTTTCTTTTCCCAGCTTTTAAAAATAAATTGTTGGTATATAATAATTACATTCAACTTATACTACATTTTGGTAATAGTTCCATCTTGGTACAATAATTTTTTTTTCGTAATCCATTTTGACCATTGTTCTTTAATAGTTTAGAGCAGTTGCCCGGATTGTAAAAGGTCATGGGTTCGAGTCCCATCTCAGAGCATTTTTCATTAAGAATATTTTTCAGTATAGCTTTGTAATGCAAAATTGACCAAATACAATAATTGAATAATTTATTTCAACCTGTGATTTTAATAAACGGATAATATAATACCATAGTCATCTACCGTAGCGACATCTAGTTTGATTACGGGATCTATTTTTTTTTAATATTTTCTCATTCGACCCATCAAGTCATGTATCAAGTTCGCATCCTATGGTTCGCATGGCAACACTGACATCCGGCATTGTTTTTTCTTCCTTTTCAGTTTTTGACAGCTTTCAATAGAAAAGGTATTTTGTGGTAATTTGTGATTTTAGCCAAAAATTGCGTTTCTACGTGAAAAAAATATGAAATATACGTGTAAAATAATCGTGTTCCATTGAATTAAGCTATCCGTGTAACATTAAATAAAAATTCTAAAGGATTGCTTAGATATCTTTAGGTTATAATAGTGCTACAGAAGTTGTTGTTTTCAGGCTGAACCATGGCTCCAAGAAAAAACAAAGTTGCAAAAGAAGAAGTTCAAGTGACGCTCGGTCCTCAGCATTTGGCTGGCGAAACAGTGTTTGGCGTTGCTCATATCTTCGCTTCATTCAATGACACATTCGTGCATGTTACCGATTTGTCTGGTCGGGAAACCATTGCCAGAGTTACTGGAGGAATGAAAGTAAAGGCCGATCGTGATGAAGCTTCGCCCTATGCTGCTATGTTGGCTGCCCAGGTACTCTCTATTTGATTAAACGATGGTTAAAAATGTTAGGTTATGTTTTGATAATGGTATTTGTTGGTATCCATAATTTGCTTAGAATTATGTTGTAGTTATAATAGTCAGTGAAATGAATTTGGAAATGTAAAATATTAGTTTTGATAATCCGCACATAGATGATTTTTTTAAATATTTAAAATCTACAATATTCACTTAATTTGAACTATAACTATACAAACTGAGTGCTCAAAGAGACTTCATTCTAAACTTTTGTAAGTTTATTTCATTATTTTTTACACACATAGCCTGTAGACTGAGATTCTATCAGTCTCTTTTGCAGTTGAAACATTTAAAAAATGGATTTATAGATACAATATAATAAGATCAATAAAGTGAAATATAATAAAGAGTACTTCAATATCACAAATATGTTATGGTTCTACAAGTTTTCTAAATGTCATTTTTTTCACTACCCTGCAATTAAGTTACTTCTGCCTGTGTCTAGGAATGTTTGCATTATAAGTGGCTCTTTTCATTTCATGGCCATGTACAGTCAACAGCATAAACAATCCAGTTATACAAATTTGTGAAATTTCACCACTTGATTTTAATCCTTACAGTTTTGAAGATAGAGTTAAAAAATCAACCAGGGAAATTTGACACATTGTGGTAATTTGCCTTGCTGCAGTGTGTACATTTGAACTTCTTTTAATTTAAATATATAATTTTCAGGATGTTGCTGAAAAATGCAAAACTCTTGGTATCACTGCCCTGCACATAAAGCTCCGTGCAACTGGTGGTAACAAAACCAAGACACCTGGTCCTGGGGCTCAATCAGCTCTTCGTGCGTTGGCTCGCTCTAGTATGAAAATTGGCCGCATTGAAGACGTCACTCCTGTGCCCTCAGACTCAACTCGCAGGAAGGGTGGTCGACGAGGACGAAGGCTGTAAATCTGTTAGGTTAAGTGCACTGTTGACTTGAATAAACAAGTTTACGGTATTATGTTTTTGATTTTATTTAACCATGATAATATTGAATTTGTTAGGAACTATGACTATGCAATAGTTTTTAGGTAATGCCACCATCTTAAAGCAAACATTTGGACTGAATTTTTGGTATATGAACTTATTTGAGGAGCTGGGCTCCTGCACAGAAGTAGTTATTTTTATGTATCTTAATGATCTGTAATGCACATATTACATTTCAGTCACGTTATAGTCACATATTACAAATTGGCCAATGCCAGGGTGACAACCACATGATATAGAAACCCACTAAGAATGGGGGTACCCTAATGTGTGCTAGAGCATCGACATTTGCAGCTCTATATTGACGATGTAAGAATCTCATGTTCATTATTATTTCTAAAAACTAAAAAAGACCCATGTAAGTGTCGTAAACAATCTTGAGATAAAGCTGAATTTGGTATATTAACTTTCAAATTGATCATTTTATGCGTGTCAACTGCACCATTTCATTTTAAACTTTAATCCGGTGCTAGAACACCTGGTGGCGGCGGCGCGAAGTCTGTTCGTCTGCCCCCTATCACATAAAAAAATAGGCAAAAATAAACTTCTGGTGATAAGTATATACTAGACTTTCAATTAATGGAACGAACATCCATTAATTGAAAGTCTAGTATTTACTTCATCATCATCATCATCAGCCGGAAGACGTCCACTGCTGAACATAGGCATCCCGCTTTGAACGCCACGACGGACGACATTGCGCCAGCTGCATCCAGCGGCCGCCCGCGACTCGGACGATGTCGTCCGTCCATCTAGTCGGGGGTCGACCCACGCTGCGTCTTCCGGTTCGTGATCTCCACTCGAGAACCTTTCGTCCCCATAGGTTATCGGTTCGTCGAGCGATGTGGCCTGCCCACTGCCACTTCAGCTTACAAACTTTGCGAGCTATGTCGGTCACTCTAGTTCTTTGGCGAATATCGACGTTTCGGATCCTATCGCGCAAAGAAACCCCTAACATAGCTCTCTCCATGCTTAGCTGAGCGACTCTGAGCTTCTCTAAGAGGCGCAGTATTTAGTTATGAACTAACAACTAATAATTGCGTAGTTTTATTTTATTTCCAATAATTTCGAAACTCTTCCAGAGCTTATTTACACAATAAAATTGAGACCTGCTAAGTCACCGCGTTTCTTGACTGTGCAAGCAATCGGCAGTTTCTTCTGTCTATATTTTCAAATCACTACATATAGGATAAAACAAAGTCGCTTTCTCTGTCCCTATATCCCAAAGTATGCATTAATCTTTAAAACTGTGCAACGGATTTTGATGCAGTTTTTTTTATGTATAATACAATACCACGCGGGCGAAGCCGCTGGCGGAAAGCTAGTCAAGAATAAGTTTATTTTAAAGAATTAAAAAGCACCATTAATACCACCATTGTTTCCATTTTTCGTACTTTACATTGCCCCGTCGCACCGCACCTGATCTTCGCCCTGGGTACCAAGTGATGTATAGTCCTTAGTACAGTCAATAGCACGTCACCTTATACAAAACTCAAATTTCTCCACTTGATTATAATGATGTAATAATTGTTGGTACAGTAAAAGTCAATTGCGAAAATAGGACATTTGTCAGGCAGCCTGAGGTGCTGCCGTATGTACTTTAAGATATCTCATATTTTGGTTAGAAATTTATTAATATGTTTTCATAACGTGTTGAAATTCATAATCAGAATGATAATACCCTCGTGAAAATGAATAAAGGATCAAATCAAATGTGTAACGTCTGGTGAATTCTGTGTTTTGCTATGGTTTTCATTAGTTGAAAACTACATTACTCATGGACGTTTGTACATCTGACCGTTGGTGAACGAGTGAAGCATTCATTTTAAAATCCAAATTGGCACTGCCAGACTGAAGTATATATCGAAAGTCAAAGTCAAAGTCAAAATAATCTTTATTCAAATAGACTTCTTAAAAGTACTTTTGAATCGTCCAACATTTTTTCCCTACCACTCGTTCAGGACGTCTTTTGGCTGATAAGAAGAACGAGCAAGAAACTCACCAGCTCTAATATGAGTAATGACATTTACAAAAACCATGTCATTACCAGATCAATACATTATAAACAGAGATAAGAAAAAAAAACTATGGTCTTATAATAATAACATAATCATTTAATAATAATGGAAACAAGATAATGAGTTTAGAAGTAATCACCTATCCAGTTGCTGGATCATCTCAAGTCCAAGCGTTCTTATCTGTTATATAATCGGATACCTTATAATAAGCTTTTTTAATAAGTATTTTTTTAATAGTAGATTTAAACTGCATGATATCTAATTGTTGTATTTTGCTTGGGACCTTATTGTAGAAGCGCAAACAAAGACCCTTGAAAGAGTTGAATTTAAATTGTGTGCATCACTTTTTATAGAAAACAAATTAATATTTTTACGAACGTACATTAAGTTCTCGTATATGTATTGATAAGCAACAGTCTTTATGTCTATTTCCTTAAATTTCTCTCTTAAAAAGTCCCTAATCCTAAGATAATAAATTCATATAATTGCTCTTTTCTGAAGCACAAAAATCGTTTGTATGTCGGCAGCATTTCCCCACAATAAGATTCCGTACGACATCACACTATGAAAGTAACTGAAGTATACTAATCTGGCAGGATCTATATGTCAGTTAACCTACGTATCTTCACTACGGCATATGCTGCAGACCTAAGTCTACTCGACAATTTTTCAATATGTGGGCCCCACTGTAGTTTAGAATCTAATGTTATTCCTAAAAATACTGTGGTAACCACAAGGCCCATATTCTTATCCTTTATATTAAAATGTATAGTACAAATTTTAGGCATTTCGTTTTTTCTTCATTAAGGAGAAGATTATTTACATTAAACCAATGTACTACTTTAGCGATAGAATTGTTCTCATCGTCATTTAGAGGTAGCCCTCTTTTAATTTTAAACAAAAGTGAAGTATCATCCGCAAGCAAAACCATCTCGTGATCATCCCTTACGAAATAAGGCAAGTCATTTAAAAACTCCCAGGCATTAAAAATTTCTTGTATTAACTCGACACCAGCTTCGGTTGTTGAGCGACCTCTTGTAAAACCAAATTGTTGTCGATTCATAAGGTTATTCTTGTAAAAGCATGTTTGTATTTGATGCAGCATGATTTTTTTCAAAAATCTTACTAAACGTAGGTAGCACGGGTATAGGTCTAAAGTTAGTAGGGTCAGATGTGCTACCCGATTTATGTAAAGGTTTATGTCAATTTATGTATGCGTTTAAAACTAAGTTACTTACTTTTTTATCTTTTAGTTTAGAGCAAGCAGATTCCTTTAATGGTTAATCGTGTATGTATGTATTTAATATATTGTATTTATATTTATGTCTGTATGTATGTTTCTTTGTACAATATTATATTGTATGTATCCAAAAGTATCTATTTTAATTAGGTGTTCTAGTTTAGTCTATTCTTATAATTATTTTTCTTATAATTGTGCACCTGACCACATATTCTCCACATTGACCTTAAGGTTGACTGGCAGAAAATGATGCAGGCATTAAGTCCGCCTATGTACATTAGTGCATAAATAATAAATAAGTACAATACAGAAGGTGAAAAGAAACAATATTTTCGTTTTTGTTTAATATTATATTAATATTTTCAGATAAATAAATATTTTTAGTTACATACTATTCTTTTCTACGATAACCACATTTTATATTACACACAACATCCAAAAATTTAAAAGTATATAAGTAGCTATTTTTTGTCATACATTTAATTTGATATAAAACCATGTTGTCCATAAAATTTATATTTATATTGCACTCTAATGGGTGTTTTAGTGAACCGTCCACAATTTGTTAGTCAACCCTTAAAACTATTATCTGTGAAGTTAACAGTTACAATATTATATCTAAAAGAACCTTTACATATTAATATTACAATCATAACAGCTATATTATATTAATTTATGATATCACACGGTTTGTGTTTCATTTGTCAAAATTTCTATCTCCACTATTTTGTTATTACGTATATAATTTACTTTATTATATAAAACAATGGACACAGAAATTTGTGATAGAAACTGTGCACTCGGGCAAAACCAGCTTTCCGCTAAATTTCATAAATGAGATCAATAGTTTTGAAAATACTGCTCCTGGAGCACTCAACGTTATAACAGCTCTTGGGATGATAGTAGACTTTTTTTTTAATATTCAACCCCCCTTTTTAACTATATTGATGTCTTTAAAATATATCTAATAACTTTTCTACAAACAGTTTGCAATAAAACAGGTTACTAAGTCTATTAATCTAACATAAAACACAACAAACACAAAAATTATGCATGCAGAACACAATAATTCCTTTAAAGATCTGTTCAAATAATCCCCGAATGCCAAAAAGAAACAGAAAATTTTCTCATTCGACACGTTCGAATCCTCATTGTACGTGATGTCGGCGTTCTATATTGTTACTAAATGTCAAACTATACTATATTTATTTCTTGTGGTTAAATTTTAACTAATTCCTCGCATCTTATTAATACCGACGACATAAATAATGATTATTAGTGTGGACATGATCTACGAGTTTTGGTTACAACTGGGGTAGGTATTAATATGTAAGTAGAATTGAACTCCGCAAACGATCTAACATCGCGGCGCGCGCCCGACCATTCGCATGCGGGGACATTTTATCGATCGTTCATAAAGTCGAGCTACATTTAGCGATAACCGAACGAACCGGCGCTTACTGGGGAGTAGGTAATGTATGATTAGCACCAAATGCAGCCGAGCGTTGTTGTTGCATCTATAGTTTGAAAATCAACAGTATCGAAATTATGGATTACAATCAGTGTATTTATTATTTTAACCGTAAACAGTTTTAAACGTAAATGTATTCATACAATAGCGTATTTGATTTTCAAAGCTACGATAACATATAATCTATCGATAATCGATATTTTACTAGGTACTGTAACGTACAACGCTAGCGAGTTGTTATTGCGGCTCGGCGGCGGGTCGGGCTCGCGGCTTGCGCTACAAGCCGGTCTTTAAGCGGATCTTCTTGAGGTGCGAGGGCGACGGGTTGGGGAAGGGTCTACGTTTGCCGGCCACAGAGATGGACTCGGGATGGGACATGCCGCTCTGGGACCCGAGCACGGTCCCGCCGTGCATCTCCTCCCACGTGCCGCCGAGCATGTCCTCAGAGGAAGAGGAGGCCATCGCTCGACACCTGTTGCCGCCGGAACGAGTGACTGCGCCTCGTATCGACCGCGAGAAGCTGCGCTTGCTCAGTTTAGCGGAGACGAGTGACGCGCGCGGACTCTCCGCGTCATCCGCGGAACGTCTACTCACCTTCGCCTTCACCACTCCCACTTGCGTTTTACTAGAGTTCGGCTTCCGTATAGCCAGGATGTTCCTCCTCTTGGTGGACAGCGTCTTAGGTTTCGGCTCGTTCTCGCTGAGGTATCGCGTGCGCGACGGTGTTTTGACCGGTTCGTTCTTCTTGGCGTACTTCATGTTCATGTTGATGATGTCGTGACCGGAACGCTGGGCGAGTACGGGTGGGCTCCGTTTCCTCTCCGAGTCGGTTTTGGCGCCGACGTACGTGTTCTCTTTGCGTTCATCGGTGACTTTGCCCTTCGAGCGGGCGTACAGCGGCACCCGGCTCGGTGACGACGTCTTCGGTCGCAACCGAGACATGGTCAGCTATAAATAATAATGTGCGTTTATCATTCAAGCTACTTCTGTGAATTATACGAACGATGACTGTCTGATCCCACTAATGTACCTTCACGCCCACTATGTTAACGTTTAGTAAAACTAATATGTATGGTGTTATTAGATTGAACTCGGATAACGCGATTCACTCGCTAATTCTTACCCCGATTATTAGCTACTAAAGGCTGGTGTTTGTAACACTGAAAATTAAAAACCAGTTGTTACATAATGTAAGAACATTTAAAGTTACTTAGTAGGTAATTCATACTCATAACTTGTCGGGAGGACTTACAAAGTCTGTATCTTTTCAATTATATTTCTAAATGAAAAATTATTAAGAGATATTTAGTCTTCTATTGTGATTAAAAAATAGCTGTATGTTATTTTGCAGTAGAACATGTAAATCTACCTAACCAAATCACACCAGTACCAGTATTAACCAGTAGAAATATCTTATTTTATGATGTCAATATCAAATAAAACGTAAGCGCCACGTGGGTGCGACAAGGACAAAAACTGTCCCCCATCAAGCCATCATTTTGAAAAATAAAGATTTTCTATTCTACCAAATTTTAATCAATTGTTAGTGCTTCAAAGTTTATAGTCTGCCGGAAATATATACTACTATTATTTATATATCTTTACAGTGTCCCCTTATTTGTCGCTACATATACCTCCCTGATTTTTATTACCTGTGTATTAGATTTACTATAAGTTCATTGCTTAAGAAAGATAATTTAGTATATTTGTATGTTACAATTTATCTCTTATGTTACCTGTGGTCTCATAGTGCGTGTGTGTGCACGTAGCCAGTCGCGTACGGCCGCCAGGTTGCGGTGTTCGGAGCACGGGATTCGAGAGTTGGGATGTTGACCGGTCAGATCCAAGATGGAGGCGCCCAGCGACCTACCCACCTGTCATCAACAAGTATGGGTATATTTTCAAATTCATACTCCATATGTGTACTCCATATGTAATGACGATCTCAATTTTCATCAAATCTTAGCCCGTACTCTTAAAACATAGACCCAATGCTCACTCAATGTCAATTAGTACATTTAATAACGTAATATTTAATCAATTGGCGTTTGTAAACCAGATCAGGAGTACGATAAGTCACAATTGCAATGTCGATCGATCGCATTGCGTTCAAGAGTACGCCTGCAGGTGCTAGAAGACCTGGTGGAGGCGGGGCTACGTAACGTACAAATTACTATATGAAAAACAGGTTCTTAATATAAAAAAGTAGGAAGATTAATCGCTTCGAACTATCACCATTGTGAAATCTGAGCAAAACTGCACTGTTATGAAACTCGGCAGATCTCAGAAGTGTGAAAATGAGCTTCGAAAAATCTTTCTTAATAGTTCATTTATTACTAAATTATTAAGAAATAATTCCGCAACAGCGAGAAGTTTGTTTTGCGGCGGCGCCACCAGGCTTTCAGCACCTGACCTCCGCAACGGATACTGTGCTGCACCCTTGGTACTTCAACATGATATCAAGCTTTACAAAACTCATGTACATTTTTGTCACGAGCTCTCCGTATATAAACGATGGCAAATTTTGTTCATTTCGAATATCTTTACTTAGTATAGCCAAAAATTGTCGATTTGATATTAGCTTTTCAAGGATCTATTAACTACTGTTATCTCATACTCTCCATCTGGATGGCAAAAGGAAATATCAATAAAGGTGAAATTTATTATATCTGACGTTGCATTCATGCATTCAAGATTCGACTTTATAATCAGCTGTATTGAAACACTTTTTTTGTGTTATTTGAATTGAGCTTATTGGTTATGTTTCATTACGGTGTGTTGTGTTATGCTTATAACTTAGATCTTGTCTAGAAGAGATAAATTCGCCGTGAATTTAGATGCAATTTCACGTTCAACATTGAAAACGTTTTATGTATTTGTTTTCCTGTTTCTCACTAATGAGCAATCTAAAAAATTTTTGATATTAAATGTCTTCACCTGAATTGAAAGTACCTCATGGGAAGTATATAGCTATGCTATGTGGGATGAATAAGGTTACTTCGTTTACTAAGATTAAAATATACCAAAGTAATCCTATGGATGCAAGGATCGCGTGCCGCTTATAGCTCACACAGATCACAGAAACTTCTATTAACAGGTCCATATACACCGTCCAATGAATTCAATGCCGAAGGAACAATAAGGATTCCAAAAGTATGGGAGATATGAAATAACAAAATGCTTACAGTATATTTTGTACCACTTATCTAGAGCTCTGCTAGCTAGCATATCTGAACAGCAGGTACTCAGTATTTACAATTTCAGTGTGTTCACACCTCCGCGTGTCGTTTCAAATTAAGCAAGTAATGAAATAGTGTTTTTGTGTAAACATAAAAAGTGATACTGGTCGCATAAGGTGTTTTTTTTAAATTTTATTATAAATCTAAAGCAATGGAAGTAGTTTTAGAAATTTTTACACATTAGCTTCCAGTACAGTAAATACCCAAGTGATTGCCACGCATGTCGTCTTCGCGTAAGTCGGGGTTCAACTTTGCATATAAATACATATAAATTTTGTGTAATCGGGACCTAAGTTTCAAGAAAATATAAATTATTTAAAACAAACGTCTTGTAAAATGATAGAAAATGAAAACAATTTACATTACTATGAATATAACACGTAAATGAAAGTTATTTTGATGTCGAAGGCTTCATTTGTTCTAACAATGTCGCTTGAATTCAGATTGGGAACTTTTCATAGCTTCAGTAATTTTTATTTACTTTATATAATCGTTCGCATTGTTGATTAGGGTAGTTCAAATTTCTTCGCCAATGCACAAAATTTAATTTTCTATTCGAAGTTATTTATAATATTCAGTTTACTCTCTGATTATAGTGACTAATTTTTGGTCTATTGGATGACATAATTAAATATAAATCAATAACGTACACTGCTTAAGTAAAATAATTACACGAGGCACACGTCCGAACTTGTTGTAAACCGAACTCGCCGACGTGCGAAGAGTTCAGGAAGAAAAACCGCGAATCTCCGCATAAGTCGGGGTATTACTATAATTATGTATCTGACATGTTATGGGACTCGGCAAATTTATTATGCGATCTTGTGATGGATCAAAAATTGCTATACATTTATAATTTTGGAAAACTTTAGGTTCGATATCTTGGAATTTTGATAGTCAAGTCTGGAAATAAACATATTGTTTGTTTACCATCGCGGCTGCAGAAGCTATATTGTGAAATTTTAGAAACAGGAAATGTACGCAAAAGCCCGAAGCAAGAGGAAAACAGAAGGGAAGATGAATAGATATGGAAGTGAGATGTTGGCTGACAAAGAAGAGTGAAACATAAGAACGCTATACTGATTCCGAGAATAGGAGAAACTATAAAAAGCCTCAAAATCTGCAAGGATGGCAGCTCTGGCTAGCACTTTAAAAAAAAAAAACTGACCAAATGCTACTGCCAGTGCAAACGTTACCCAAAATGTTTTAAAGACCAAGCATGACATACAAAAAACTCAGATAATTTCAGAAGACAATAAAAATGTACTTTATTATGATACAAAGTTGAACCGGCTCGCAATATGAATGGTTTGCGTTTGATCCTGTGTACAATTGAGTGCAAAAGTGTTCATATTATTATTTCAAAAGACTAACTACATTATACTTATTTACAAGGTAAGAAGTGAACGTATGCCGTGGACAAACCTGCGAGGGCTCTATCTCTTCGAAACCATCAGAGTTCTTTGCGCGACGGTATCTTATCTGAAACGTGTTTAGCGTTTCTAAAGTACGTTTTTGTATGTAAGATTGTTTTTGTAGTGCATTAATAATGTATTCTGTTGTGTTAAGTAAATGTTTGAGCGATACGGGATTGTTATTGCTAATTGTATTTACAATTTGTTGATATTTTTAGTTTTGATTTTGATATATAACATTAAGATATAACATTTTTATAGAAAAAATATCAGGAAATATTTCCATTTCGCTTAATATTACATTATAAAAAAAGACATTAATTTTCTGTAATACATTTAAAAGCTAAACATGGTGGAAGTTGAGTTCAAAATTGATTGTTTTGAATGATATTTTGTAATAATGTGTAACGATGCTATGTGTACAGTCGCATCTAGCAATTCTTCATGTCATAAAAATAACTTTGGCAAGTACACATATACATATTTTTATACGTAATGTGATCAGTTTCGAAAACACGTAAACACATTCAATATAATGGTGTTACTACTGGTTTTATATGAATTTTAAATACCTAGTGATTAATTAAAACAAACAATTAATCTAAAAATACACATTACAAACTACAGTGTGAACTAATCTAGGGGTTTATTTAAATCCAATATTTTCATATCGAACTCCTCTTTTCTACAGTTTATTTTTCTAAAACTACGAGCGACTCTTTACATTTTGATAACTTGAAGAAGATACAAATTAAGCCGATCGGTAGTGACGAAACATGGTTAAGATTCAACGACGGCAATTCACGAGTGTGCGAAAGAGATAGAAGAATTAAAGTTCATACTCGATTTGAAATAGTTCGAAAAGAAATCGTCCTACCGATCATGTTTGACGTCTTTATTGAGCTAAAGAAAATACAGTGGATGTTGCGTGTGGGTCGGTTGTCTAAAGCTGGCCCGTACACATACGATTTTTACACACACACGGCTCAACTTTATAGAATTACGCAGTTCATATTTATAGATAAAAGAACATACTTTATTGTAAGTTTTGGTTAATTTTAATTTTTTTTTTGTAAGGTAAGATATTGTTTTTTATTACGAAAACATCATTATTTTGCTTGTCATAATTGTATAATTGGCAACTTGATTCTCTTGGGAAAAGTATTTCAAAACTTTCATATGATATTAAACTACCACTAGATATATTTTTCTCCAAAAAGTATATTTATATAAATGAAAAACATGTTTTAATAATAAGTCAAATTTCCCTTTCAAAATAATCACTCGCGTGACATTTCGAGCTTTCGAATACAATAAACATTATTGGTTGTACTTGCTACAAAACGTCGCAGTTTAGTTAATTGAAATGTGACGTCACAGGCTGCTCCTTCATGACGGCCTGCGTTTTATATAATTCATATATTATAAATCACAAGTTAATTTTGCAAAAATAAAATTTACTTAGTTTCTTTTTAAGTTATTATTTAGATCTTTATTGTTACATCTGTTAAGTAGCCATCACATACCATCAGTCGCTTAATACTCCTCCGGTACATTAAAGAACTAGCTAAAAATCGGGCGACGTGTGTGCGACGACGCGTGGCACTCATTCATATAGTGTATCAGTGTAACGGGCCAGCTTGAGACCAGCGACGGTCGCCGGCGTGCGCACAGACCTGGAACGGGTTTACCTCTTCGAATATGTGGGGCGTGTACTTGGGCGGGGGCGGGGGCGCGGCGGCGGGGGCGGTGGAGGGGGCGTGGGCGGCGGCGGGCGCGTCGCGCGCGGGCGGCGGCAGCACGTTGACCAGGCGGCCCGTGTTGTAGTTGCACTCGAGCGTGTACGAGCGCACCAGCCCGGTGGCCTTCAGCACCGCCACGCGCCCGGAGCCCTCGCGGGACATGCCGTCGCGGCGGTCCCTGGGTGCGACACGTCCGAATTAAGAAAAAAGTTTGGTTGCTTGTTGTAAAGCAACCAAAGTCCAGGGTCCGCCTGATAAGTTTCAACGGATATGTATTTATCGATTGATATTTATAATATTTTTTGTTAGTTTAAGTATTGTGTCTCAGTTAGAAAATTAACCAACCCGAAGTGATGCTGGTAACATTGGTCTGGAGTAGCAATGGGAGTCCTCGCACGTATACTACATTTTAATTGTTTTAAAATAAATCAAACTCAATCTTTATCTTACTTTTGATTTAAAAGATCAAACATAAAATGAAACCACTAGCAGCACAAAAATCGTAGGATTTCATATGGATTCAAAATCATCGGTAAAAATCTTCTAAGAGACAAATGTCTATAAGTTGTCGAAAACCATTCTAAAAATTACTCTAATCATCACTTTTATATTATTCTGTAAGCGAACGACTTTAAATATCTATATTTTAATCAAATATCAATCGTATTATAATATGGGTAAATTCTCGACTATGACGCGCTTATACGATTTCGGCAGTGATATAAAATTCTTTTTTTGTGAGATAAGAGTCGCAACTTCGGCAGGTTGAGACCCCTGCTTAAGGGAAACATAATAAATTACAGTTTAATACACTTGAAAAAGTAAACTCACTTCAGATACATATTCCGTTCAGTAAAATTGCACGAGGAGAAGTGGAAGTGAAGATTGTTGAGGGACATGATGCGGGGCAACAGCATACACTCCACAGAACTCTCCAAATCGTCGAAATGATTGCCGTACATGAAGATACCTGTTACAGGCAAACAGTGCCTTGTATATCACAGATCATAAAGAAGGCAATACTTTTCACATTACTTTTTTATCGAAGACGAAGCATAACAATATGACGAGGACGTATACAGTGTAGTTGTTAGAACATTCAGTCTATGATTGCAAATATAAAGACACATTTGCAAAAATCATCTCATAGTGTACGTACATGTATATTTATTCATTGATACCATTTAGTCATTAGCCACCCATCTAACGGCATTGTACCGGTCTGATGATTTGTGGTCGGTTTTAACTTTGGAATTCCATACACAGGGAAGGCTTGTGCCTCAACAAGGACACAATTGGCTGATTCTGATGAACTGTGGCGAAGTATTTTTGTAAATAAAATTGTAAAATTTCATCAGGGACCAACAACAAATTTTTGTTTAGTATACCAAAAATCAGACTGCGCAAGTTGCTGTACTTCCATAATTCCATAAGAAACGCAGTAATAGGGTCTTATACTGTACTACTTTAGTACCATAAGGATGTGATATTTTTTTCTAAAGGTTTGATATATTTTTTAAATTATAATTTTTGATATCAAAATCACTTAATCCGGAACGTTACTCATGATATGTGACGTCATAATTCAATGTCATTTTCAAGGTTAGCAGAACAACCTGGCCAAAATGTAATATAAAAATGTGTATGTAAAAATTCAGTGTTGGCATTGAAGAAACCAGAACCATGCATTCATTGCAATTTGAGCTTATCAAGCTCATGCAGTTATTTTAGGTTTAAAATTAGGCATCACAAAACTCAATAAACATATTTCTAATATTTACTGTGTTTTGTAATGATGACCTTTAATATATTTTTGAGTAGCTCGGTGGCGTAGTGGATAAGCGCCGCGGCCCGTGATCGTAGCCGTTAAGCAACTTTCGCAAGGGTCTGTTACGGGATGGGTGACCAAAAATTATTATCTCGAGCTACTCCGTGCTTCGGAAGGCACGTTAAGCCGTTGGTCCCGGCTGCATTTGCAGTCGTCCTTAACCATCCATAAGGAAGGCCTGAGCCCCTGCAGTGGGGACGTAAAAGGGCTGGTGATGATGTGATGATGAATATATTTTTACGACAGACTTTATTCGGTAATTTGGTCAGTCTGATCTGGCTACCCATCATGAAAAGTGACGTCACGTCAAATACATACAAATATATGAGACAGCTTTAGTGCCAAATTCAAACATGCAAATTTTTTTAGTATATTTTTTATGGTAATTGATTTATTACTGGGAAAAAATATACATTAGTTTTTTATGAAAAAAAAATGTTCAAGACCCTATTGCTGCGCCATCGAGTTCTTCAGAGTTGGTATTAACTTTTTATCTATGGAGTCTATTACTGAAAGGTATTCTCTATGGTTTTTTTACCTTTCTTAGAGGCATGTCCATGTAGGTCTATGTAAAGGTAGAGGCCAGATTCGGGTTCCTTAGATGGGGAGCGCGCAGGGGCGGTGGGCGCGGGGGGCGGCTTTTTCTTCAGTTTCGGCAAAGGAGACTTTTCTTCTTTAGGTGGTGGAGTTACCTAGTTACATCGATATATAGATTATTTATATATTTTCTTTAAAAGCCGTATTACAAAAAAACTCGTGAATTACTAAACTCGGACAGTCGGTGCTTTGCTTGTTGTAGTAAATTTGATAAATATTTATAGTTTTTATTGAATTAGGATTATAAACAATTATTTTGTATAATAATACTATAGTAGATAGGATTTTTTTAGTTATAATAAGATTTTTTATTGTTGATTCATGATATTTCTAATTTTGAAGCCGCTAAGACCGATATGACTTTATAATAGATTCTATTTTTATACATTCATACATTGTATATATTTATTTAATTTGTTTAGACACGCGTCATAGCGCGTACGTACGTGCGCGTTTCATGAAAATCTTTTTCTGCACTTTAATTAAAAAGCAGAATTTATAAAGAGAATTTAAAAATCGAAATTATTAATATACTTCCTTTTTTTTTTAAGATCAAGAATGGCAAAATCACATTTGAGACATTATATGGCTCTTAAGCCACAAAGTCCTTATGCAGAGACAACACTAGTATTGCGACCCCAAGTGGTAGGTTACGGATGTTCACAATTTTTTTTTTCGGATATTTACCGGCGGTGGAGAGGAAGGTGTGGAAGGTTGAATGGTTGGCTGATGAGGTTCACCGCTATCTCCACACGATACGGCCACACTAGTGGTCGACACCGCTGAGCATACCTGTACAGAAACAATAAAGGACGTATCAACATCATATAAAGCACGAATACAAACTATACGGTCTACTATGCCTGTATAATGTACCCTATGAGACGATACTATGGCGACTTATGGCAACTAAGTCTAATGGTGGAGGTGGGTGGCGCAATGAAAAAACTGGTAGAACTTCTTAGTCTTGATTTATTTCTGATAAGAATTACATTTAATCACTTACAATAATTATACTACGATGCTCACCCTAAGCTGGTCTCGATCAGAAAGAAAGACTATTCACCAGCAAAACACGAACACGCGAATTCGAATAAGAAAAAGTAATAATTTAAAATATTAACGGCCAGCACTTGATCATAAACCGTCCGAAGAGTAAACATGCCTATAGTAATGTGCTCGGACGTTACAATACCTACATAGCAAATTTCATATAGCATAGGTACCGTGACATTTGTTAACAAATCCATTTTTATAAAATAAACTTCCTTTCATACTTATTTATGTTTATTATTGTTAAAATTCCGATTTTTCTATTTACAAATTCCTACTCTACAAATTAAGAGTTATTTGGCTTTATACTCCATTTATTCAAACCGCTGATAACACTATCGAAGAAAATGAAAAAATAGGATGGTAGTTGTCTTATTTAACCTAGACCTACGCCATCCGCATTAGAATTAAAAACTGATTTTTCAATTTATTTGCAAAGTTGTAATGTGAATTTACCCCAGACAAAACTTTTCTAATATTTTTGATAAAATGTACTGGCAACTCTATATCCTTATATTAAAGTTTATTTCAAAATTTTATTATCAGTAGACCATAAATTAGTCTATCAGTTGATACGCAATATACAGTCTTCTTAGTGAAAAATGGTTAAAAAATTCCATCTCAGGGTACCTTTGGCTGGTGGAATTTTTAAGAATTTTTATTAGGAATGAATTTCATACTAATTTTAATATTGCTTTTAATAGCAATAAGCGAACTGTAGATTTGTCGGTTAAAATCGGTTCTTTTCCGGATACGGCCTAGGGTTATCCCAAAGAATGTTAGTAAATTTTATTTTTATAGTAGGAGAAAAAAACACAATATTGAAATTGTGAACTGGCAATTTTTCTCTGTATGCTATCATACAGGATTCCTCGGTTGTCCGCATACCGTGTAATGTCTATGATAGTATATATGTATAATATACAAAAAAAATTGCTCATAAACTCACAAAAATATATCTTGTTGATATTATACAAAGAGGTAAGATTTGATTGTTAATTTGTTTGCATTGAATAGGTCCCTAAAATGCTGGAACGATTTTAAAAACGTTTCGCCCACGGTAAGCTACGTCATATGCGGGTGACGTAGACTATAATTTACGCGGGCGAACTCACAGTGAAACATCTAGTGTATTATGGTGTAACTTACGAGTTCTTCATTGCAGCCTGTTATGATGTATTTCTTGAAACAGTTGGTACAGAAGTAGACTGTATTCTTATCGTCTATTTCGGCTTCCTGCTTCTATATAAACAGTTATTTTCTAATCAATACACTGTATATTTATATTAAAAAAAAAAAAACCCTGGTTGGCTGTATCATTGATACAGCCATATTTTATGCGTGGATACGTCTATGTATGAATGGATATATGAGTAATTGATAAAAAAAATAAATAAACAAATTGAAGACACTAAACACTAAATAAATAAATATTCGTTGCGTTCATTTGTTGAATGAAAAAAGTATTCACTAGCGCCAATAGATGGCGTTAGTGCATATACTCCTGCTGACAGAATGCCCCTCCCCCTGCAGAGCAAGCATAGTTCACTTATACGCCAATAGATGGCGTTAGTGCATATACTCCTGCTCACAGAATGACCCTCCTGTAGAACGAAAACATAGACGTATCCACGTCAAAAAACAATAAATACATAAAGTGTTTCAACCGTACGAAATGAGGATGAAATCGTGTGTATGTTCATGCATATGATTAATTACATGCTACTTATTTGGAATTATGTCTTAAAGAACAGTCAATAAGGAACCATTGTGATATTTCAAATAATATACTATACATAAAAAATGTTAAGTCTACGGACGTATACAGAAATTTTGATAATATATGCTAACAGAACTACTGTTACTTATAAACATAGACTATACTATATTGTTTATAGTTAGTGCACATACAAGGCGCTCCTGCTCGAACAATTGCTGTTTCTGGTGCTCTCTGTATTCCTCTATATTGTGGTGGATCTCTTGTTTTAACTATAGATCAAATATTCTGAATCTATTAAAATATCTAATTACATTGACATCTAAAGAATATATATTGCCGAAATGCCGAAGTTATATTTCCTCAGTCGCGACTGTAGAAATTAAATATAGCGGTACGAAAATAATAGTATACAGAATTGAACTCTAGTATATTAGTTTAAGGACATTTATGAAAATACGCTCATATCACTAGATAATTTGTATTATTAACCGTGAATATAGTTTTATTCAGGTGTCTCCAATTTAATTAAAACCCTAATGCGTTGATAAGAAAAGTAAGTTTACTGTTAATTATTTTGTTGTGCTGCTATTTATATATTCGACAACGTCAGATTACTAAAGGTCAAATTCCAATCCTATACCTAAAAGTATTGAGAATAAAGTTTAAAAACAATTGCAGAAACTTTTTATTTTGTAGTTATGTGACTTTGTGTAGTGTACACAAGACAGACTCACCATAGATACGCTGTAGCCGGGCACCATGGATGTGATGCCGGGCATGGTGTCCTCGAGGCGGCTGACTGCTCGCCGACACTCCTGACACCACCCCATACGGACATTCGACAGCCGAGACTCTTTGCCTCCTAGTGAGCTATCACTAAAATACAAAATAAACACCTGACCAAGGCATATATACACATCAAAACACGTATAAGGGGTGGTACAACAGAATTAGAGAAAGTACCATCTATATTTCTACGAAGGATTCTTTGAGAGGTATAGGCAGAGTAATAACAAAAATCGACATGTCTTATCGTGAAACTAAAACAAAATAATTTTCACGAAGCTTCGAAATCTCCGACTGTCAATTTATATAAAATTGTAGGGAAGTTACAAAATTTGTAAGTTAACCAAGCCTTCTTATATTTACATACCTACTTATTAAAAAAAAAAACAATCGTTACAAGTTAAATAATAGTGAATTTAATTGAAGGTAAACTTACCCAACAATTGAAGAATTTGACTCCATCAAGAGACTGATGCTATTCTTGAGCGTGTCACGAAGCGGACGGAGAGGGTTGGAGCCCTGGAAGTTGAGCTCTTCGCTCGTGCTCAGGTGCACGTTGGAGCCGAGACATGAACGTAACACGTCATCGTTTAGCAACGATGGCTCCGCTAGATTCGTGTTCGACGCTTTGGAAGAAGTATCTGATGTCTGTGAAGGCATCTCTTGGAGTTTCATGTCGCAAACCTACGAATAAATTGACATTGCTAGATTGTATCCGAATATTTGCTTTTGTAAAGTCAAAGTTGACGGCAGTAGGTAAAGAATTATACCTATCGGCGAAAACGAATTGGAAGTACTCGCTTATACGATAATGTATCAATGGTGAAGAAATATTATAAGTCGTCAAGCCAATCATAATAATTCATAATTTTTATATCATTGTAATAATAAACGGTATTTCAGATTCTTAGTTTTTTTTTAAGAAATCAATTACCGTAACGACGTATATACAGACCAGAAAACGTAATTAGTTACGCTATGCTTTATAGGCTTTAGATAAGACTTAACGTTACTAATAAAGTGATGCATTGATAAGCTCTTGGGGATTATGATGTGGATTTTGAAAATCATTTATTATGCTTCTACAAGCTAAGGAAATATATATTCATATAATAATATTATTGAAGTAACAACGCGCTGTAAAGCAGAAAATTATGATAAGCATGTTTTTTTTTGCCAGCAATATTTATGTAGTTATTAAAACTACATCTGTCACTAATAAGTGTTTGGTTATTCCGTGTACATTACAAGCCTACACAGTCTTGTAGTGAAAAATGTTCCATAAAATAACACTTAACCGAAAATATAGCTTTGAAATACTACTTTCACTTCTAAAAGTAATACGATAACGTTCAATTTAAATATCCTTTAAAAAGTACTAAATCTTTTAACGTTTATACGACTTATAGATGCAATGTCATGTACTTTTTTTAATGTAAAATTAGTATTTCTAATATGACTTCCATACGTACTTGATCAGCTAAATGTGCAGCCTCTCCGCTTAGGCTTTTGGCGCTTCCCTTCTTGTTGTCAACAACGGGAGGAGGCTTGATCGATGTGGACGACTTCGCTGATTTCTCGCGCTTGAAATTCGCATTCGAAGATTTTTTCTTCTTCGAATCTAGCAACTGTGTGAAACGTTTATTATATAATTTTCAATATACTAAGTATCAATTAACAATATTATATTTTAGCATCTGACGCTATAGTATTATGATAATTGATAATGATTTTCTTTACCTCTGCACTTTCACTTATATTCTGTATGCTGCGCGAAGTGAAACTTTTGCTGTCATCAAAATTGTCTTCTTTTTCGCATCCATAATGGTAATATCTGGTAACAAAATAAATCAACACATATTAGTGACAGATATATGGGAAAGTAGGTTCATAGAATATTTAATAGGTATGTAGAAATCAAATAGCCTAACATTTTTTAAAGCCGTTCATTTGTGGAGGGTTTACGAAGGGATGACTACTTTTCAAGAATTCTTTCAAGTCCGTCAGTCAGATAATAGAAAAATATTAGATACTTTTTTTTTTTACTTCAATTTTACAAGTATTAGCTTAGATAACAGACATTAAAGTCGATGAATGAGGCTCGCTACGTCACAGTTTTGTAAAAATGTACAAAAGCATGACGCCATGTGACATTTTAATACAACGTATCGCCGTAATTTAATGATTACAAAAAAAAGTGTCTAATATTTTTAGCACAAGGAATAAATAAACAGTTTACGTGAACTGGGTATTGTTTCTTTCTTCATCCACAAATTGTTTGAGAATCGCTATATTAGCCGACTGCATTCGTCGTACTTATTTATTATTAGCAGAGTTACATAGTGACTTTGCTAGTATATAATCAAAGCATAGTGTTTTTTATTATTGGCATCTCCCTCTACAAGTTGGGAAGATAGGGGAAGATACCCGACAAATGTCACGCTTTTTAAAAAGTAAAATTTAAAACCAAGTAGGTTTACAACACTACCAATGAATAAAAATATATTTAAATATTTTCCCAAAAGGATTTAGAAACTAAAATTAAATGCAATTTATTCTACAAATAAATGATGCATTCTTCAATTTATTCGGTATGTGTTTTCCACGTTTCCAGAGCATTACATTGAAATATTTATTTCAAGTAAAACCAAGTTATATTTCACGATTTAAAGTCGTGTTTCGTCTGTTCGCCTCGCACGCAATGCCATAGCTTCAGAGGTTTCATCATAGTTTGTTATTAGAGCTATTAAATTATTAAGTTATCGTCACGTGAAATTCTATTACGTATATCGATGTTTCAACAAAGGTTTGTGGTTTTGCGATTTTGCTCTATTTGAATTGCTTTACATTGTTTTTCTAATAAATTTATAAAATCACAGATCTTGCCTATGTTATACAGGTATTGAAAAGCTTCCTGTATTAAGAATCAGTGTCGTTATCATAACATTATCTATATGGAAATCTAAAAAAAAAACTAGTTTCATGGTCCGTAATCGACTTTCATATTTGTCAGCAGAGTATCGTTTCGGTAATAAAACTTTTAATTTGATGGTTTTGCCGATAATTCTTGATTGACGTTAGGTAATATGTAACATCCTATTGAGAAGAAGAAAAATATTCTTGTTCTCAATAGGATGTTACGTTCATAAGTTATTGCAATATAGTTCAAATAGCTGTACATCTTAACGCAATATGAACAATATTTATATAAAATCAATTTGGTATCTTTAGTATACCACCCTTGTTAATAAACATCTCCAAATCCTACCCTTTGGTAGAGATATATTGATGGCTATTTTCATACCAACAAGCTTGTGATGTATGTAGCTCGGTGGCGTAGTGGATAAGCGCCGCGGCCCGCGATCGTAATCGTTAAGCAACTTTCGCAAAGGTCGGTCACGGGATGGGTGACCAAAAATTATTATCTCGAGCTACTCCGTGCTTCGGAAGGCACGTTAAGCCGTTGGTCCCAGCTGCATTTGCAGTCGTTAATACCCTCCAATCCGCATTGGGCCAGCGTGGAGGGTCATGGCCCATCCTCCTTAACCATCCATAAGGAAGGCCTGAGCCCCTGCAGTGGGGACGTAAAAGGGCTGGTGATCTGAAGCTTGTGATCAAAACATTTGATTGAAAGATTGGATGGAAAGATTTGCTTGTTTGTTTGATTGCATCGAATAGGCTCGGAAAATACTGGAACTATTTTAATAATAATTTCACCAACGGGTAACTTCATTCGTTACGGGTTGACATAGGCTATAATTTGCGCGAGCAAAGTCGTTAGTAACAAGCTAGTATTATATAATAAGTTCCGAGTGGTTTGCGTGTCGGTATCAAGGCATCACCATATCTGAGGTCCCGGGTACGATTCCCAGTTGGGTCACTTTAGAAAATGAACTATGTATCTTAATTCGGGTCTGGGCGTTGTGGTACCTTCGTTGTCTCAGATACTCCATAACACGTGTGCTTTAGCTCCATCTTGATGTCTATGATTTGTAATATTAATTAATTCACCTTTTCCTTAGGTTGATATCGTATTATTGGTACTTAGTACGTAATAAGTTAGGGTATGAAGACGCCGAGCGGGAAGACCTAACCTAACCGTACGCCTGTCTCATTGTTATCAGGCAGCGCCGGCTCAATCAAACTTGGCGACCTAGGAAAAATACTGGAACTAGGCGTCCTAAGCATAACATTGGAACTTGGCACCCTAGGCAAAGTACTTACTTACGTAACAATGAAAAGATGTCCCTAAGAAATTACTTATCACAAAAAAAATAGAAGACTAATGTAGGTACACCGATAAATGCTTGTAATTTAGACAATGACAAAAGGCACCGGTCAGGCACTGTCAGTCTGAAAGTTTCCTACTTTTGATTACCGCGGACATAAACTCATCTTCAAAGAACAACAGTAATTTTTTTGAGGTAAACAGAATCTGTTTGCCATGCCATGCCGTCCCCCGCAATAGGCAGTTGGATACTTTGCCTATATTGATGGGTGCTACCAGGATATAATAGATACATACCTGATTAAAGCTCTGGAAGCGTACACAGTCGGATGGTACACCAGCGAGGGGTTAAGGTACACCCTGTTCAAGTTGACCCCCCTGGTGTCGGTCCGGTAGTGACCTCTGGCGACCCCGTCAGGATTCAAAAATGGTATCATTTTGAACACGTAAAGTTTGCGAAGTTGTACTGCTATAGGGTCGTTCCTATTCAGCAGCAGGTTCAGGAAACCATTGAAAACAAAACTGGAGGGGGTTTCGCCTGGGTGCACGCGTGCAGATATGAAAATGACCTGTACAATTTCAGAAAGCGTCGAGTTAATCTACTTATAGCATGTTACATGTTTAAGTCCAGATATAACAATTGTATCTAATTTATATTTTTAGGCATGAACCACAATAAATATATGTTTTTTTACATAAGTCAGTGGAGTTAAAAGTTCTTTATAACAAAGTTTCAAAAAAGAATCCATGTAAATTTTAAGTACAATTAATTCCACATGAAAATGCTACAATTATTCGCCAGATAATAAAGTAAAGATAAAAATAAATATTATGATAGAGTATTATAATTGGCAAATAATAGTCTGAAATTTTATACCCATTGTAGCCAATTTCACCACTTGTTCAGAAGCAACAATCTTACCATATACATGGCATATTACATACACAATTCATCGATTTATTTTAGCTTTTTGCTATACTAACCTTTTTGTTTTGAAATTTGAAAGGCCTTTCATGGTTTTCAGGAAAAAGATTTTTTAATCTTTCTTCTCTCTCATGTGTCATTCCATGGTGGGATGTTATTGTAAGCAAATCCACTCGTCGCCCTGTTTAACAAGTTGCGTATGATTTAAGTTTTTTCAAAAATGATTTACACTACACAATAATAATGTGTGGTTCAAAAATGATTTACACTACACAATAATAATAAAAAAATCTTACCTTCTAGTGAATAAATGAGACATTCTCTATAGTAGTAAATATCATCAGGTGATTGTGGGTGCGGTAGTGGTAACATTTTCATGTCAATGGAGTTTAACGCTATTTGAAGTTCCGCAAACGAAAAAGGATATGTGAAGGCAAAGAATGTTGTCGCTTTCAGATTGTCAGCTGTGCGGTACTTGAAACTCAATGTGAATGTATTGTCATCTGTCTGTAAATGATAATAAATATTAGACAACATCTAAGCTAAACTTAAGCTAAAGTATTGTGGAAATACCCAGGCAAGAGGACAAGTTCATTAATAAATTGGCCTCAGAACGGTAGTAAACGGTGTGTGAGCCGCAGAGGTAATAATTCACATTTAGAATGGTTTTAGTTGATATGAAAAATAACCAGCATGATAATAATGTGTTTACCGAATGTACAGGACGGTCTCTTATTCGTTCCCATTGAGGCTTCCCTGGCAGGGTCCGTGTAACCGGTGCCATGCCCTGGTTATACATTTTACCCTGTTTGTTCAGGTTTATTAAATTCAGTCGTACCTGTAAATACAAGGATATGATTTAATAACTATTACAATAAAAACTGTGCATCTTAAAGAACCTAAAGAAGCAGGGTTGGATAGTTTCGGCACAATTCTCATGACACTATAACTCTACCAAATTTAAAATGTTGCCTAATCCCTTCAAATGTTTCGGCAGTACAGTTTTTTAATTTTGTCAGACTATGATGTCTTAATAATTGTCAAAATACGTAATCTGGGATTGTCATCCATTGTGAATACTACAGCATTCCTTGTTGTTTTGCCGTTTTCCGTGATTAAGTTGTTATTGTTTTATTTTTGTTTATAGTTTTGTTTTCGTTGTTAAGTTTTGTTAAATATGTACGATGTCGGTGGAGGGCCGAGTGGCCTACAACAATTACGCTCTAAGCCCCCATACCTACCCTCAACCCTTAACATTTCAGGAAGTTTTTCCAATGTCTTCATCAATAGTCTAATCTAACTAATGTCTGAATAAATGTTATAAAAGTAATAAAAACAATTTAATTTTGTTTACTATTCTTTCTTGGGCATATAACTAAATTCTATTCTAATTATATACATTTTACAATTATAATTTATGAAAACAACAGATAGATAGTTTTAATTCCATGTTGGCTTGAGAGTAAAAGATGAATTAAGAAAATGCTGGCCTCATCTGAACCTTGAGGTATCGTAAAAAATTTAAAATTACCCAGCTCTTTCAGACTACCTAACGTTCAAAATTTCAACAAAGCTATAATATATTTTTTTTTAATTTATCTTGAAAATAAAATGTTCTGCACTGCTGCTTCTATGACCCTCTTTTTTCTAATGTTATAATGAATGGAGTATAGTACATATGGAACATACAGCTGGTAGCTCATATCACAAAGTAATATCAACCAAAATTTAAGATTATATTTCTTTTTATAGCAACCAAATATGTGAAATGAGGTTATCATCAATGATCTGACATTTTGAGATTTTTATATTGTGTTTTTTTTATTAACGCTCCCTACTATTCCTCTTACACTCTACATAAATGCATGCAGAGCTAAAAATAAATTTGAAAGTAATATGCATTCAGTTAACCAATCACTAGTGAACTTTCTATTCTTATAAGTTATGGTAAAACTAAGTATTTAATAAGTTATAGTTAAATGATTTCCAATTAGTTACATTAATACGAGTTATAGTAAAACTAAGTACTTAAATTCTCAGCTTACATACTTAACCGTTTTCAGACATTATATATTTTTCATATAAAGTTTTTTTACATATAAAGTAGTAAAATAATTAATGGCAGTTATAATGTCCTTGTTGAATTTGAATTAAATTATTCCAGTTTGAAAACTTGAAATGTTTATTATAATAGTGTTTGTATATGCAATTATTTTTTTATTATAAGCTTACCAATACATTAGGCTCACTGGCTTGCACTCCAAAATAGAACCAGGTGCGGTTTCCATTCTCAAACTCAGTGCCTGCACAGTCTGGTCTTGTCCACAAGTTAAACTCATAGTCAGGTGTTTCTGCAGTATTTGTTTTAGGGTTTATGCATGATGCTGCAACAAGGTTTTATAGGTATTTAATGGGTATTAAAAATAATGCAATTATAGTGTATGTGAAATACACAGCTATCAAGAGATTTCCGATAAGATTTTATTTGCTCATTATTAGTGTTTGATTGCTGCAGATATAATAAAAATAATTGCTGAAATTGTCATAGGTTAACATCAATGGTTACAGATGTGTTTTAATAAAGAGTGCCAGATCCATATCCAGAAACAGAATTTTGGCTACAATTAGTACAGATTATACGACAGAATATGAGTTATAAATATAAGTACCTATTCAATAATACAAAATAAAAGAATGTGCCGCTTGGCAAGATATTTTTATATCTAATAAGAATGCCTGTGCCTATATTGATTGTGAGGTGCTTCCTATATATTATTTTCAAGCCTATGATTTTTTTTTGTAACTATACTATCCAATAGGATAACAATTGGTAATTGTTGCATAAAGAGAAAGGGTGAGATAGGGACAAACTTCTCTATTTATAATGTATCTAATATAAACAAATCTTTTTTAGTGTACTATATGTAGCCAATATTGATGAAAAAGGACCATGAAAAGGGCCAGAGTAATTGGCAGCTCTGAATATGAGACAATGACATTGGACTTTGTTGTTGAATCAAATAAGACTTACCTATAAGCTCTGTAGGCACTCTTTCAACGTGACCGAGATTCCCAGAATCAAAATTGTGTATGAAATAAAATCCACCACACTCTATTAGATTGTTGTGATCCATAGTTATAAATTATTGTTGCCCTACATCATACAATAAGAAACAAAGTCACTATCTTTGCTACCTGTTTTAAGTACTTTTACTTTAATAATTTATAAATTTTAACTTATGATTGAAACTGCATGTTTGATAATTTCAAAATGACGCTCAAAAACGGAGACTACACTGTTTTTCTAAACAAAATTATGTAATTTTGTTGACATCGATTGACGGATAACAGCTGATTTGTTTTATTGGTGATCTTTTAAAAAATATATATTTTAAAACACAGTTTCATATAGATAATTTAAAACGAAAAATTAGGAGAAAAATTTTGGTAATTTTAATTTCAGATTTAGATGATATTTCTTACATTTACTTTTTATTTAGAAATTGTAAAGATACTATGCCACTATGAAATTTTATTCAAGATGGCTGTCGTCGCTAATACGATTCGCGTCACATAAAAACTGCCAGTGTTAAAATACAGCGTTCACTTCCAATAGTATTCGTTTATTCGGTATGAGTTAAAAGCCGTTCACACGGTTGTTAACAGTTTCGACCAAGGAGCTTTGATCGATACTTGGTTGGGGGTAGTGGTGGTTAAATTAGCGTCTAGCGTGTTAATTAACACGCTTTTCTGTCTTAACGATTAATACTGCTAAGTAGGTATACGTGAAGGCGCTAAGAATTTCACGCGCTAACACGGACGAAACGAACGAACGAAACGAGAACTCGGCCGGCCGCGCAGTTATTACGCGCGATCCTATCTCCTGTGTTTTAACAAAGCTTACTAAGTCGATATTTTAAATGCTTTAGAATAGAAGGTACTTTAGGTGAATATGTGTTATTCTGTGTATATTTATAGAAGTTTGTGTGTGTAAATAGATTGTAAACGGTTGTTTAAAACATAAATATTGTGAGTAAATAATGTGAATAAAATATATGATAACTAATGTAGATAGTAGATTCTTGTATATGGGTCATTTTCACAAAAAGTGTACAATATTAAAAATATGTTGATTTTTAAATTACTTGTGTTTTGGTAACGGAACGGAAGTATCGGAAGCATAAACTAAAAGACTTTTGTTTTATTTAATTGAAACAAACACATTAGACCTACAAGCTGCGCACTAAATTAAGTTCAGTAATTGATAATAATGATATCGAAATAATTTGAAAGAAATGGACTTGTAAACTTACTTTGAAATTGGTTGCGGCTTTGGAAAAACGAAACTGAACCGTTCGGAGGTGAGTGTTGCTCGCCCGCTCGTCGCCGTCAAATTGGCCGAATATCTTGTCGAAACAAGTGAAATAAAATTAATGAACTTTTAAATACGTCTGTAATTTATTTATAGACAGTCCTAAGCCGGAAAAGTATGTACGGGAGTTTATAGATTTTCTTCTAATTTAGTAAGTACTGCTTTAATTAATTCGCTATTAAACTATTTAGATTAAATAATGATAAGTTATTGTTTAATATAGCACGTAATCTGTTTAACATACAACATAAAATAATTAACGTGTTACTAGGTTTAGTGTGCTCTAAATTTAACGGGTCTTCACGCAATCTTCTGCTTCTTTGAATTAACGCGTTAATAAATTAGCGCCTTCATTAACACGTTAAAAAAATATCAAAAGTCTTTAGCGAGTTAATGATTTTTAGTCGTTTTGAACACCTCCTGGTTGGGGACGACGATGATCCATTCTGTTGCCAACTAGCATTCCGATTATTTGTCAGTTCAAACCGGTGAAGATGTACAGAGCATTCAAAAGACATACATATACAAGCTGAATTCTGCGCTCCGCTTTTTGTTCTTTATTCCAAACCTGAATTCGGATGAAAGTTACGAGCAACCAATAAGTTGGTCATCACTAACATCGTTCCTTTACATTGTCATCATTTGTACATCATTGACGTATAAACCGAACATCGTTCCTTTACACGTAACATAGTATAGAAAATAAAATAACTTAAACTTAGGATTCAAATAAATTATAATTAATTTGAAAGTTAGTTAAAGTAAAGTTAGGTATAAGAAACATGAAACGATGTCATATATATTTATCTTTGATACTCAATTTAATTTTATTACGTCAGAAACAAAATTTGATTTAAATATCATAGACAATATCCAAACATCGCGATTGACATCTACGATTGATAACAAGAACTAATTTTTATTTTTTAAATATTTCTTCATTGAATATTATAGAGCCGAAAAATATATGATTAGCCTGAGGACCATGAGGACCGATTTATTTCTATTTTTCTAAAATAAAGAATATAAGTATTTGTTTTGTTGGGAACTACTTAATTAACTAAAAAAACAAAGAAAAAACGGAAAATAGTTGAAAAGTACCGCCGCCTGGTATGACAGAAGTAACCTCAAAATCACTCACTTATTTTAGTTTAAATTCACACCACGTTACACAGTGAGACGCCAGCGGTGTTTTCGAATTATACAGAATACGAAATTTGTATTTCACAGTGGATTCAGTTTTGTGATGTTCAAAATATGTTTTCACGATCGCATGGCAGCACGCATAGCATGACAAACTCAAGAATTCGTCTACATCCAAATGTTACTTTTCTCGGGTGTGCCCATATAAAATATTACTCTCAACTGAATCAAAGAGGCATTTGGTGAAGACAAAGTGTTTCTAAAGTTTGTCATTCTACGTATGTAGATGGTTGACAACAAGCAAAGTTACTTTCGGTTGAAGCACTTGTTGGGAACCATGTGAGTGGTGTTTTATTCGTGCCAATAGTGGGGTGGCACTCTATGAACGTTCTCTATAGTAACTAGATTATAATACATAATGGCTGTAAGCTCACTTCGCCTTTCATTTAAGGTTTGGCTATATAGCTTAGTTCCTTCGCCCGTCCCATGGACGAAAGTACTACTACTTCTCTATGGTATGGTAATTCTGTAAAAACGGCGCGAAGGGCTGTATGGATACATATCATATACATATGGATATGGCGTAAAAAAATGGCGCGAATTGTTTAAGGCTGAGGAGGCTGATTGTTTAATATTTTTTGAGAGTATGAGCTATGTTATCTTATATAATAATAGTATTAGGAGCGTAGTTGGTAAATAAATACATATTTTTTTCTTGGATGTTTATGCGTATAAGCAGTCGTATATTACGACACACACACAGTGGCGTAACTATACCGTTTGAGGCCGTTGCCAATTTAATCGGATATTCAATTTTTTTACTAATTGCGTTATAATAAATATCAGGAGTCTTCTTAAAAAAATCTACCAGCCGCAGGTACTTTGAGATGGGACTCGAATCCACAACCTTTCGTAATCCGGACGATTGTTTTACCGCTGAGCCACTGAGCACTTTTGGGGGTTGCGTACATCGTTCAATTCACCAGAATATTCAGTGTCAACTTCGACTAGGATGGTTTGGATATAGGAAGTTAAACGCTTCTTAAGTATTCAACGAATTTTATAATTATCAAGACCACTGAAAATTCTTCTTCTTCTTCTTCTTTTATTAATGGCTTATCTGCGCATTTCACACAATTCTGCCAATGTCAAGTGAATAAATTTATTTCTACATGTAAAATGAAAATGAAACGAATGAAAGATGGCGATGATGAAAATTATCTTCTTGCGTTGCTACTCACTCGCAGAGATTATCTAATAATCATTGTACACCAGAGACATAAACAATATGAAAACTATAAAGAGTATAATTTCTAGGTACATAAATTTCGCTACACCACCCCCCCACGGAGTGGAAAAAACCTACAACAAAAAAAAACTATTTCACAAAGTCGTTAAATTTTTTGAAACGTACTTGTCTTCCCGATCGGGTAGTGTATGCAGGTTCTTTGGAGGAAGTGGTAGGGAGCTGAGCTGTGGACGGAGCTGGGAGACTACGAGCTGGAGGAACTGCAACAGTGGTTTGCAAACAAGTGTTGTCCCTAAAAGGGTCAGCTTCAACGTAAGCAGGCTTGACTCTGTCTAAGCTTACGGTGACCTGTCTTCCACCCAGATCTAGAGTGATCGTTTTCTCCTGCTGTTGTAGGATGCGATGGGGACCTGAGTATGGAGGCTGCAGCGATTTGCGAATTGCATCATCACGAAGAAACACATGAGTTGCCGATGCCATATCCTTAAATATGAAAGATTTTGGCTTGGCATGACACGACGCAGGAACTGGTCGAATTGTCTCCATTTCTTCTCGCAATTGATTAGCCAGATCAGATACCTCTGCAGAACTGCTAAAATCTGACACTGGTGCCAAAAACTCGCTGGGGAGGCGAAGTATTTCACCATAGACCACTTCAGCGGATGAAGCTTTTATATCTTCTTTAAAAGCAGTCCGCATGCCAAGAAGAACTAGTGGCAACGCTCTAGTCCACGTATCAACATGGCACATGAGTGCTGCCTTAAGTTGGCGATGGATTCGCTCCACCATGCCATTGGCACATGGATGGTAGCTAGTAGTGCGTATTCGCTTGGAACCACAGAAGTTCATCAGCCGCTGAAACAAGGAGGATTCAAATTGACGCCCCTGGTCGGTGGTGATTGAGCTGGGTACACCAAAACGAGCTACCCAACCAGATACTAATTTATCAGCGACTTCCTCGGCGGTCATTGAAACCATTGGCCAAGCCTCTGGCCACCGTGTGAAACGGTCGATAGCGGTTAAACAATATGTAAATCCGTTGGAGAATGGTAAGGGTCCAATGATATCAATGTGAATATGGCGAAATCTACCAGATGGGAGTTCAAACTGTCCTATGGGTGATTTATTATGTCTTGAAATTTTATTTCTTTGGCACTGTATGCAGAAACGTATCCATTCGCGACAATCTTTGTTTATATTTGGCCAAACATAGCGTTCTGACACCAGACGCGCGGAAGCCTGTGCACCGGGATGACTAAGTTGGTGACAGCGGTCAAATGCAGATCGACGGAACTGTGGCGTTAGATAAGGTCTTGGTCTGCCAGTGGAAGTGTCGCATAATAAGGTGATACTGGTGCCTGGAATTGGAATGGGCTCCAGTTTCAGAGACGAGGTTTTACGAATGTTCGCCAATTCTTCATCTGTTTGCTGTGCCTTGGCAAGAGCTTCGTAATCTTGTTCCAAGGTCACAGAATTAATACGCGACATTGCGTCAGCGACAACATTTTCTTCCCCTTTAATGTGATGTATGTCAGTCGTGAATTGACTAATAAAGGACAATTGGTTCAGTTGGGGGGGAGGAAGTTTCTCTCGGCGTTGTACGAAAGCGTACAACAATGGCTTATGGTCAGTGTAAATGGTACAATGTTGGACCTCTAAAATGTGTCTAAAATGTTGTACACTTTCGTACACTGCCAGAAGTTCCCTATAATATGCTGGCCACTGACTCTGACGAGGAGTTAATTTCTTGCTGAAGAAAGCAAGAGGTGCCCAGTGTCCGTTGGTTTTCTGCTGTAAACAGGAACCGATGTGAACGCTGGAAGCGTCAGTGAAAAGGCCAAGTTCTGCACCGTTTACGGGGTGTTGAAGAAGTGTCGCATTGCTAAGACTCTTCTTGCAATTCTCGAACTGTTCAAGGAGCTCAGGTGTCCATGGGAATGGTTTCACGCCCTTACCTTGAGTGGAAACAATGGCGTCAATTAATGAAGCTTGATATTGAGCAGCATGAGGAATAAATCGGCGATAAAAATTTATCATGCCGAGGAATCTACGCATGCCTTGCACTGTTTGAGGTGGAGGAAAAGTTAATAAATCCTGTACGCGAGTTTGCGGTGGACGCGTGCCTTCTGCGTTGACAAAATAGCCGAGAAACCTTACCTCTTTTGCACCAAAGGTACACTTAGAGACATTGATGATAACTCCATGTTCCTTGAAACGATTGAAAAGGATGCGGAGGTGTTCCTTGTGGCTGGTCTCATCGGGAGAAAAAACGAGAACGTCGTCAACGTAAGGAAAACAGAAATCAAGACCTCGCGTGACCCCATCGATAAAGCGTTGGAAGGTTTGTCCAGCATTTCTTAATCCAAAACTCATGTATGGAAATTCGAAGAGGCCAAACGGGGTGGTGATTGCTGTTTTGACAATATCCTCTTCTGCAACAGGAATTTGATGGTAAGCTTTTACCAGATCAAGCGTGCTAAAGATAGTTGCTCCACTAAGGCAGTTGGCAAAGTCGTGAATATGCCTCACTGGATAACGATCTGGAATAGTCCTGGCGTTCAAGGCACGGTAATCGCCACAAGGACGCCAAGTGTTATCCTTTTTTAAAGTCATATGGAGCGGAGATGACCATGGACTGTCAGATGGTCTTGCAATACCAGCGCGCACCATATCTTCAAATTCCTTTTTGGCAGAAATCAATTTCTGCGGGGCGAGACGGCGTGGCCGACAAGAGACAGGAGGACCATCTGTAGTCTTGATGTAATGGAGAGTGTTGTGCTTGACAACTCACGTCGGGGTCACCAATTTGGGGGTTGCGTACATCGTTCAATTCACCAGAATATTCAGTGTCAACTTCGACTAGGATGGTTTGGATATAGGAAGTTAAACGCTTCTTAAGTATTCAACGAATTTTATAATTATCAAGACCACTGAAAATTATCTTCTTGCGTTGCTACTCACTCGCAGAGATTATCTAATAATCATTGTACACCAGAGACATAAACAATATGAAAACTATAAAGAGTATAATTTCTAGGTACATAAATTTCGCTACACACTTATTTACTGACGCTCATCATTCTTTACACTACTAGTGAGCGTATTTTCATAAATGTTCAGGCAACCCATCCAAACAGAAGAAATAAATATTTTACAACTATTTTAAAGTTTCGATTAAGATGAAAATTTGTTGTAATTATTATATTTTTATAAATTTTGATTCGAAAATTCTTAATGAAAAATGCTTAAAAAATCTACCAGGTAGGTACTCTGAGATGGGACTGTTCAAACAACAATAACAATCCAAAATTGTGTGTGACCTCAACACAACCCAACTCAATAAGTGAAATCGTCAATCACTCAATTTACGTGCTATTATGGGCCCTCTCCATATCCTTTATCGGCGATGATGGCCATCACTGAGTTCCACCATGATTGTAACCATCATTGCGTCATTGTCCACATGATCGGCCATCGCACATTTGTTAATTGCCATCTGAACGACATGGACGCCGAACAAGAATTGTTTTAGTATTATTATATAAACATAAGTGGTTAATTTATAGGTAAAATTTCATAGTGTTCGACTACGACATTTTAGCATCGATTACAGGCAAATTAGTATGCATCCGCACTTCCGTTAGTTGAAATTAACATTACCCATACAAAATTGATATTTATCAGCAATTTGGATATCTGGAGTAAATCATATGGTCTAATAGTTAACCTAACTAAAGTCCATAAAATTGATGACTGAATGAAAAAACATAATCTTGAAATAGATTTTTCAAAAACTAAAATAATTACTTTCCGTCCATACCAAAAACCTCCGATAAACATTAATGTCACATACAATGAACACAAAATAGAAGCACTCAATGAAGTCACTTTATTCGGTATGGATTTACGTATAAATTGGAAGTACATATACAAAAACTAAAACGGAAATTTTCTGGCTTTGCATATGTTCTAAGAGAAGTAAAAAAACTACAGACATAAATACAGCTTTAACTACCTACTACGCGTATGCATATGCATGGCTCTGCTACGGTGTAATAATATGGGGAAACAGCGCAGACATTATATCTTTAGACATTTAATTTTACATTACAGAAAAAACTAATGCGCATAATCTTTAATCTACAAAATATAGACAGCTGCATCATCAAAATCATGTATTCTGGCATATATCTTCATATCATCTGCAAAGCAGAGAAGATTCGATATATGGAAACACGTAACAATGTCATTGATGAAAATAACGAATAGCAACGGTCCAAGCAACGAGCCCTGCGGAACGCCACTAAGAACTGAAACCTAGCTCGAGATGTAGTTATTCACAACTACAGCTTGACAGCGATTATCAACATACGAGGCAAACCATCGTAACAAATCACCGTGAATACCGATTAGCTGAAGCTTATATAGAAGGATATTATGCGAAATTCGCTCAAGAGCTTTACTATAGTCGGCATAAATTACGTCAACCTGGTACTTCCCATCCATAGCTTTTGTGAGAAAATCATTTAATATGATCATGTTGGAAACGGTAGACCGCCCTTTAAGAAAGCCGTGTTGTGTCTGACTAAAACTCTGAGTAACGAAAAAGTAGGAGCACTATATGTATACCTGCTTATAAACTATCCTCTCAAATACTTTAGCAATTACACACACCTTTAAAATCGCTCTATAGTTAGAAACCTCTGTTTTGGAACCCTTTTTATAAACAGGGGTTATAAAAGCACGTTTCCAGATAGCCGGGACATGACTCAGAGCAAGGGATTGATTAAATAAAATTGTTATAGGCTTAGATAGAGCCCGTGCATAGTTAATAAGAAATTGAGAAGGTAATTCATCAGGACCTACTGATTTATAGGGGTCAAGGCTTTTGAGCAGATTATACACATCGTCTTGTGATACAGATACAGAAGAAATGTCACCGATATTTTAAGTAAATGTATCAAGGCAACGCAGAGATACAGACGGAGTACTATTGCTATATAAGAGTTGAAAAATTCAGAAAAAGCATTACATATTGAAATCGAGGTCACGATATTTAAGATTACTAGGAATCTGCGATTTCTTACATTTAGTTTTAATATGGGCAAAACATATTTTTCCATTACCCTACATATATATTTTAGAAGTATGTAAGTTCGGATGAAAATACCCAGACTTCTATAAAAAACATGAAGAAACAACTATTTATAATTTACGCATCGGAATAAATTAACCATAGCAACCTCTCGCTTAAAATTACACTCTTCTGATCCGCAACAAAAATATACAATAATTTCCCAAACTTAATAAAGAAAAATATTACATAAAATAAATAAATATATTATAACTAAAAAGCTTTGTTATACCATACAAGAATACTTTAGTGAAAAACTTTATTTCTAATAAAAATAGTGTGTATAAAAATTGAGAAGCCCGTTCTTTTTTTAACTGCAAGTAAGGATAATTTTGGCGTCCACCCCTTGATTCGGGCTTAATGGGAATTGGTACCGAGGAGACTGCTCCTTTTGCTCTCAAGCATTAGTATTTTTATAATTAGGTAGGGATATCGTCCAATTAACACTGCGACAACGTGGGAGGTAATTATCTATCCTCTTTAAGACGGGGACGTAAAAGTGGTGACTGATGACGAAACAGATTTTTTATTTGAATAAATATAATTTAAATCAAACAAGTGTGTTATCTCAAATTTGTATTTTGATTTTCTTAAAACTATAACAGTATTAAATAAGCTTAAATCTAATTATGTATATAATTATTTACTATAGATTATTTTAGGCGTGGCACTTAACTATAGATTATAATAAATTACATTCCTTACAATTTCAAATACCTACTTGGCCAATAAATGCCTTCATCACAAAACTTATAAATTGATAATGTAATTCCTATATTTATAGTAGGTACCTTACGCATATTCTTAATAAACGTGAACTATAAACAACATTGCCTACTCTTCGCTTACTAGATTGTCTTTTCTGAGCTCAAAATAGAAAGTAAGTATTATGCAAATGAAATTTAAAACCAATGGATGTAATCAATACGATATTTTGGCAATTTCTTTTGGCTCGTCCATCAAACGATAAACAGGTGACAAATGAAGTTAGGATATTTTGAGTAGATATGAAATCCAGTGTATACAATCATAGAATTTAATAACTTTAGAGGATTCAGATGACTGAGGCCTAGCACTGATAAGCTAATGCTTATTTAAAACTATCAAAATTCTTGTATTTAAGGTAGAATACAAAATCAATCGAAGACAGGTATTTTTGTAAAGTATGTGTTACTTAGAACTTTTATATAATACGGATATAAAATGATAAAAACGTTAAGTATAGTCATGGAAGAAGATTTCAATTTTGCTCACGATATCTTTTCAATCCAATATATCTGCCCCCCAACAATTAGTCGCAAGTGGAACGCTAATGATATGTTAGGGGTTTATTAAAACTAGGGTAGGTATGTAATCTTTTTGCCCTGTTTATTTTTGCTTACATCAGATTTAAGTTAAATAGGCTAATGTGCCTCATTTGGATACGATTGTGGCGGGTGCGACATTATCTTGGACTGAATTTTGAATAACTACGAAATGAATATTGTACAAGTCAACAATGTTAAAATAAAGAAAAATATCACATCTCGGAACTATATCTAGAATACTCTAATGCAGTGTATCTTTTTTTTTTAAATCCATGGACCCCAAAAATTTTAGTTGATAAAAAAAAACAACTGAACAAACAAAATATTCTTAATGAAAAATGCTTAAAGAATCCACTTTGTCCCTAAATTGTAATAATTGAACCTAAATTATTCGAAGTGTGGGCCCATAATGGCATTTATTTATTACTGCTACACATAAACTTTCGTTTTGAATTACTGTATATTCACAAAAACGACATTAAAATATGTTGTGTAGGTTATTTTATACTATATATAAATAATTATTAGGTAATCCATGGATGAAATTCCCAGAGGGGTCCGCAGACAGGTCTAAGAAACACTGCTCTAATGCGTAATTAAAATACTTAACATAGAAATGATTGTAATGGACAATTTCTTAAAATAGATAGTATATTAATATAATGAGGAACGATTATCCTACTGAGCCAATATTATACTTTTCTACCACGCATAAACATGAGTTATAATAATAGATATCAAATTATCAATTTGCTATAGACCAAAACGACTAGAATGTATAATGCGCTTTACATTGACAAAATGAAAGTCCATGAAACAAAATGCTTTTCAAACAATAGTCACAGAATACGCTAATACATTTTTTTACTAAAATCTAACATTTCAACGATCACGCACACAATATTTGGTGCAATTTATTGCCAATATTTAAAAAAAAACGACGATATTCCTATCATAAATTTATTGCACCTTATATATAACTGAAGTCACGCTTCATGAAAATGAAAAGCAACATTTCATTAACTAAACTAACTAAATTCTACTTTTAATTTTGTCGGGTGTTCGAATAAGTGAGCGCCAGCGGAAGACGAATGTGATTGTTTGAGCAGATATTTAAAAAAATTTGAAGCGCCTTTTTATATGTGAATTAAGGTTTCGATTTATGTATAGTATTATTACATGACAGAAATATTCAACGTGTTCGATCACATTCTTCGGTTTTTTCACAAAACAGCGCAACGATCACTTTCTTTCAATATTATTCTTCTACATAGTCTTACATATCACTTATCGGCGAAATTAACCTTTTCCTTCGTCTGGTATTGTGATAGAAATTGTGTTCGGTGTCACTGGTGTCACTACTTGTTTATCTTGGACTTTGTGTACGTATGGTTCGGCATTGGACGTAATTCGAGATGTCTCGTCCGTACTAGTTATTTTACACTCTACCACTCTGTAATTGCAAGATGGTGTTCCGCAGTCGAAGTCTGGACGTGATATAGCGTTCGGGATGTTGTTTTCAGCGCATTTCGAATCTTCTTTGAATGGCGGACAGCTGAAATAAGCAAGAGATATATAGAAAATAAGATCTGTTGTCTTAAATATTTCCCTGATATTTCGGGTATAAAATATAGCTATACATATTTTATTATATGCCTTCTTTCGCGATTTAGTTAGTAGTAGTACCGGTATCGAACGTACGAGCTGTCGGAAGAAGGTAGAGGTTGATATCTACAAATAACATCCACTCGCAAGACTTCAGTTATTTCATGATCATACGGCTTGAAACAGTGTCATAATATTGGGGTCTTGCTTAATAAATGTAAAGTGCATGGTAGCAATCAATAATCATTATAAAAAATAAGATATTCAGATTAGTAGTAAAATGTAATAAAACCAATTATTTAGTTGTTATATTTACCTGAGCGGAGGCGGGGTCGGTGAACGTGATAGCGGGAAGCTCGCCACTTCCCTAGATATCGCTAGAGATTTAATGGATCCAAACGTTTGCTCTGGGCTAAGCGGTGCCCCCAGCACGGAAGCCATTCCTCTGTAACAAAATAAATAAGTTTATTCTTATTTGTAATATAATAACAAATAAATTATAATACTCTTCTTATTTAATATGTAAATATAGGTAACTTAAGTAACCGCGTAACTGAAACCATGATTGATCTGTCAAAATGAAGACTGACAGATCAACTATCAGCAGGCCAATCAGTCTGGTTTGGTCAATCCTAGATCAATCCTGATGGTGTTCTGAGAGTTCATCTGTCAGCCTGATAAAATATCTAGGGATTTATTTTAACAGAATCAATCAGTGCTTCAGTTACAAGCTTTATCTTGTATATACAACATACAAGTTAAATACTGCAATTGAATTCCGAAACAGTTTTTCGATTATCGATTCGAGCTATAATTTTGTATAACAATGCATAGTTATAAGTTATATAATTTATAATCTAACATAGCGGACGGTCCAACATGGCAGCTTAGTTATTTTTCCTATACACGATACTGTCATGGCTATCAAATGAAAGGGTTTCTAAGATAAGTACGAAAACAATCAAATCACTTCAATCCATAATGGCAAAACACATAATATAATTATGTTTTAAGCACTCTCTTAAATCTATAAAAAAATATTAGAAGTATAGAAATATTTAAAACAATGGATAAAAATATAGGCTGTTACTTTGAAAGTAAATCTAATCTACTAGTTTACTACATTAAAATATACACAATATACAATAGTTTGTTCTTTAAACTGCCCGAAATAAATCTCATTACTTAAGTTTCAAAAGTGGTTGCCATGAATGATAGAAAAGATAAGGCCGCTCTTTGTTCGATTATGGTATATGATCTATGGTATACAATAAATAGTACAGGTACTTACACAACGGAATCAGATGGCACTAGGAAGGGCAGCGGCGGCGGGCAAGGCGCGTCGGCGCGCGCGGGTGAGGCTGGCTCGGCGGAGCGCGGGCAGCGCGGCGCCTCGCCCTCCTCGGCCATGCCCAGCCAGCCCACTACCCAGCGCCACGCGCCTGACGGACTGCCTGATGTGTAACAACCGAATATTACAATCTTTGTTTGCAGACAACATTTTAATTCTGCGTTTATTATGTGGACAAGTGTTATTCAATACTAGCTATTTTCCCGCGTAAATTATGGTCATGTCATCCGCGTACGATGTAGCTTCCCGTAAGTAAAGTAACTTTTAGAATCGGTCATAAAATTTCAGAGCCTATTCGAAGCAAAGTAACGACTTTTGTCTTATTATTGAATAATATTTATGCATTTGTTAGCAAAATTAAAGATTGATAATGTTTTATATACATCAATTATGCAATCACCATGCTATACTGAAAAATTGATTGCGAAATTTGATTTTCTGGATTGTGAATGGTCGAGGGTTCGAAGCCCATCTCAGAGTACCAAATACAAAGTGGATTTTTAAGCATTTTGATCATGTTTTCCAAATCTAGAAAGGTAGTTATCGAAAGATAATATAATTTCTATAAAAATCTTGTTAGAAACTACAAAATAACCATTTAATTTAAAGTCTAGAATAACCGCGGCTCTATCGCATGACTTCAAATTTCCAAAGAAAGTCCTGTAATGAAGAGTCTGTCAGCAGATCGATCAGGATTGATCTAGGATTATAGAGACCAATCCTGATTGATCTGACGTTCCTGATTGATCTGTTAACCAGACAGTTCATTGAGGGCTTCAGTTACGCGGCAGAGCCGCCGATACCTACGTTAAAATTGTACTTACGAGAGTATTTTCTACTGTTCTGTGGACTGAGGGGATAGAAGTCACCGTGGATGGGGCAGTGGAAGGCGAGCCTGCGCTGCCGCCGCTGCGCAGCGCGCATGAGCATACATAACACAATGCCTGAAAAATTGAATTGAAGTTGACATTTATATATTCTATTTTATGTAAACTTGAAAAATATTGAGTGACTTTAAACTACAGTATTGTATTAGTATAATTATCATTTCCAAAGCACAGGTACGATTCACGGTAGAGTCAATGTGGGTCATTGTAAAATTCTTAGATAATAAGGTATAGGTATTCTTCTATTTTGTGTCGCTTTTGTAGCACACCTCTTATAAATTCTTCAATGAAAGAAAAAAAAAGAATAGTTTTATAGTAATCTTACTGATGTTCCGTATTTTAAAGTAAGACAGAATATGATAAAGATTACTTTATTATAAGTTGCTTATTTTGAAAGTATAATGGTATTGTATTTAGCGGTCGATAAATAGATTTTATTCTCATCGATTTGTACATTTCTAACTGTAATTTAAAAATAGTCTAAAACTGAACAAGATTGCGTAAGCGTCGACGTAAAGTAGTCTATATTTTATTAAGGTAGAATTTCTCTCGCGTGTTGCTTCTTCCATCTCATGCATTATGAATTTTCTATGTAAAACTATTTATAATTCCGCGCTTGTTTCCCGGGTGAAATTACAAGTGGCGATCATAAATAAAATTACCATAATCGTTATCCGGTGCTCCGGTCGCATTATACAATGTTATATTAATGAATAATATATTCTCTGGTCGTTGAACGAACGTTCAAGGCTTATAGTTGAATGGTATATGTTTATATATACCTATTTTTATATCACCTCGAACATATTGCTATTTCTGGGTGATAGGAAGGAAAGTATACCTATTTATGGAAATGTTAGTGGGCGTGTGAGTAGTTTTGTACCTCATTATAATAGTGATTGATTGACATTATTCAGAAAGGTATAACCTTAAGTGCAATATATCCTTCTGGATAACTGCTTTACTCTAGATTTGTCGCATGAAGCTAATAATAACTTTCGTTATGAGTATTTATACAATATTTAATTTAAAGATTTCACCCATCTAACAGATATTGTACCGACCTAAAAGACATATTCAGTGTCCAAGAATACCTTGGCATACGACTATAAGAAATAGCATGGAATGGCACCCAGAAACCACGCCTCGTTTAGCTTGCTCTGTGGTTTCAGTAAAACCCGCAGACTATTCAGATTGTTGAAGTTTTTAATAAAAGACTTGATAGTTCTACTATTCAAATTACGGAATACAAAGAGGCGAAGGTTCTTATATAAATTCCAAACGAAAACACAATCATTACTATTCACTTCATCGCTTATTTTTTGATATTGAATAGACTTAGAATAAGACCCGGGAGTTATAAGATGGCTGCACTATCAAACAAACGGGCACGCTTTTCAACTGCAGATACCGTCAAAAGGGCGGTCAAGAATTCGATTGAGCACAAATGCTAAATAAAACTTATTGCAAATTTTAAAACCCTTCACAGTGTATTAAAAATTGTCATACGTTTTGTTTATGAGTTCGATTCCCACTTGTTTACCAACTGAAACTTGTGCTTAGGGTACCAACTGAAAAATAAATCCTGGTTATAAATAATTTCTTGGGGCTGATTGCACCAATTTATTTTAACAATAACAAAAATGTTAAAGTACCGGTTAAGCAAATAATAATGAGTTATCATTTAGCAATGGTTGGATGCGTTATAACTTTAATAGTAAACTACGAGGGTCAAACTGAAAGTTCTTAGAACTGGCCACTTATAAACAATATAATAAAAAAATAATTTTAAAATTTGAAAATATAACTCTTTGCCAATATTACTGAGTATATATTTCATTCATTTGTCATTTGTTTTACGATTTGGCGGCAAATTGAAAATTGTCTGTGTCACGTCATCATGAATTTAACACGAGAAAATTTTCGTGCAATGATTTTTTATGACTTTCGATGTCATTTAAGTCAACAAGAAAGTTATGATAGACTACGATTGGCCTTTCACGATGAAGCCCCATCTCGTGCGACTGTTTACAACTGGTTTAATGAGTTTAAACGTGGTCGCACTAATCTCACTGATGATTTACGTGAGGGACGGCCTTCTACGGCGACGACTGAAGATAACATCTGTGTTGTGCGGCGTATGATAGAGACTGACAAAAGAGTGACCTATCAACAGATTCGGACAAGCTTAGGCATCGGTATGAGTCAAGTGCACAAAATCCTCCACGAACATTTAGCGGTCAGGAAGCTTTGCGCCCGGTGGATACCTCATAATTTGACTGAGGCTCAAAAACTCCATCGTGTGGATTGGTGTCGTAAAATGATTGAAAGATTTAACGGAGGTGACTCAAATGCTGTGTTCGACATACTAACAGGTGACGAAAGCTGGATTTACTGTTATGATCCTAAAACCAAAAGACAATCTGCTCAGTGGGTGTTTCCTTTCGAGGAGTTGCCAACTAAAGTGAAGAGAGATCGAAGTGCGGGAAAAAAAATGGTGGCCTCGTTCTTTGGAAGGATAGTTCATTTTGCAACAATTGTGTTAGAGGATCAAAAAACAGTTTCTGCAGAATGGTACATTACCAATTGTTTGCCACTTGTCTTGGAAAAAGTTCGAGAGAAACGACCTCGCAGTAGGATCCTCCTTCACCACGACAACGCCTCGTCGCACACCGCCAAGCGAACGATCGACTATTTGGCGACATCAAACGTTGAATTACTGGGTCACCCGCCGTATAGCCCCGACCTCGCGCCTTGTGATTTTTATTTATTTCCAAAAATTAAAGAAAAACTTAAAGGAAAGCGGTTTATGAATGCTGAAGAAGCGGTGGCTGCGTATCGCGATGCCATTGAAGAGACCCCTAAGGACGAGTGGGCAAAGTGCTTTTCCCAGTGGTTCCATCGCATGCAGCGGTGTATTGACGTGAATGGACAATATTTTGAAAAGATATAATAAAACTAATAACTGGCTAATGTAATCAGTTTTTGATTTTCTAAGAACTTTCAGTTTGACCCTCGTATAACCGCCTAAGTTTCGCAGGTTAAAGTTATTGTTTTACTATGCCAAGAAAGAAGACTGTGCAACGCATTCCACTGTCAATGTTAAAGTCGAAGATATTGTCAAAGATATAAACTTTAACTTCAATTAAAGGAACTGTGGATATTTTATATGTATACCTGCAAGGGTCATTAATGCGCCGGCAACGATGCAGACTGGTCCCAGCACGCGGGAGTTGCCAGTGAACGCGATGCGGGCCGCGTAATGATCCGGTTCTTCATTCTCACCGCAACCGCGATACGAGGCAGCTGTAAGTATATTGGGTTACATTTTACTACCAGCGGATATAGAATATAGCATGAGAAGTTCTTCGATTACAATATAAATAAGAAAGTCGTACCCACCATGGGTCCACAAGTTACATATGGAGATTGTGGTGTTAAATTTGATTTTCAGAACTAGCATTGGTTTCTATTTTCGAAAAAATATTTCATAGTTATTGGACAAACTTTATAACAGACTTCGATATCGGAAATTTGATATTTTGTGGAATGAATGTGTGATAGAAATTTGAAACTAGGACAATTATCAAACATAATTTAAACTTACCAGTTAGAACGCATCCGACGAGCATAAACAGGAATCCGAATATTGGTAGAATGATCTGGCAGTTGGCGGCGACCACCACGCCCGCCACGGCCAGTCCGCCCTCCACTTTCTCGACTCGTAACCGCGAGATCGCTGGTGGATATCGTGGTTTACCCACCGGGGCCCTTACTAACGGCTCGCCGGGAGGTGACGTCGTCCTGTATACAAGAAAGATCCAATGTTAGTTAAGTTAAAGATAAAATAAGAAAATCGGTCCAAGAATCAGAAAGTTTTTGAAAAAATTATAACTTTAATATATTTCTATAGAAATTACTTTAAAATGTGTTGTAATGGGTACAAAACAACGTTACCAGGAGTATTATTTTCTTATTTGATAGTTATTCAATAGTCGCGTTTAAGTTACGAACTTACTTTTATATATACTATTAATAATAATTAAAAAAATGACCTTTAATGACAAATCATGACAAAATGTACAATTTGTACACGCTACAAATGTCCACGGCTGACGTGAAACAAGAGTGAATGGGTATTGATACATTAAGTTTGAAGTGCCACTCAATGTAAGGTATTGATTACATGATGATTACAAGCAAAATGTAATATAATATCCTATATTTATGACATTACTAACAGGATCCTACTAATGATATTATATAGCAAACCATAACATATATCTACTTAGTTTATTCATAAAGTATTGAAAACAAAGAGAATATATTGAAAATAAATCTTTATTTAATTCCTGTCTCACATAAATAAATAAAATATTTCGTTTGAATTTTATTTCATTACATCCAAACTAACTAGCAGTAACAGCTTTATTCAGCGAAGTAAGTATTTTTGAATGAAATTTAAAAAATACGGCGATTTTTCTTAATAAAAATACTACAAAATCATGTAAAATTTTCACGAAAACAAAAATTCCTTTCAGTCTCTAATTAGGTACCTAACTAAATAAACAAAAATGCGATTAAGGTTTTCTTCAGTTCATAACTAAATTTATGAGGAGTCTATTTGCACTGGTAATTGCTGTAATGACACTGTTGGCTGGCTCGGAAAGTATCTAATAATATCTCTTGGCTCGGGTTTGAGGGTTCTTTCCAATTGGTCCGTAGTAGAGATAATTTTAGGTGTCATTATTAATTACCATCTAAGTATTACATCTTATTGTATTTAAAATAGTTAAAAGCGGTTCTAATTAAAATTAGGGCTTGAATTTGACGGCCATGCTCTTAAATGCCCGACTTGAAATCTATTTTTTATATAAAAAAAAGTATTAATTCGATATCGATAAAATTATTCGAGAATATAACATCCTTCCGATTGATTCTTAATATGCATGGGCCGATTCGGATGATTAAAAAGAATCAGCAGAATCGATCCGTTACCTATTGACGAAATATTTCAACACAAGAAATAATAAAGTTACGTTAAGGTTCTAAATTGTATATATAAATAATAAATTTATAAATACTTATTTCGTTAGTATAAGTTCTAATAAGTACAAATTAAATATGACAATAAAGAAATACCTACTGAAATAAACTGCTGTTACAGTAATTATAATTAACATTAAAATTGCTGTCCTTTTTACTGTCTCTAGAAATTTTCGTCATTATTACTTAATTTATTTATACTTCGTTCATAGATATTTATTTGCATCAATTCGTTAGTGAATAATAATAACAATTAGAGCAATTCCAACCATTAATTACAAATCTAACGGTCAGTCGAACCAAATTTGCGAAGTAAGGTGACAAGCGTCTCGTAAACAAATCAATGATGTACTGAAATGGCGTGAGAAAACTCGTTTATGACAAACATACCATTTATAACCATAGACTTAAAATAGCCGTATTTCCGTAACTTTGAAAATCGTTAGATTTTACAAAATTCTGATCGATAATGTAAAATAGAATAGACATTAAATAAATGTAATCGAAAATCAAAAGTTTTTAAAATTCGAAAACATAACAATAGGTGGTAAGATGTTACATGAAAACCTATTGGTTGAAGTGATAGTAATAGGTCCTATAACTTTTTGTATGGTACTGTATTTTGGCATTTAAGTAATAAAATAATAAATAAATATTTAGGTAAGCGTTTATGTAATTGCTGGGTACCTAAAGTGCTTAACTCCACACGGATGAAATAGCGGGCTAAGGTTAGCGAAATGTATCTGGTAATAATATATACATATAATCAGATCATCTGTGTAGTCGAAATGTCTCATAAGATTTAAACTGACTAACACGTGTGGAAGAACGTGCAATCGGCACGCGGCCGACTAATCAAATATTTCTCGAACATGTTACATATTTATATATCTTTATTCATGCAGAAATATTTTTAACTGACTTTATTGCTTTTTATACGTGATGCTATTTAGGCGTAATATATGTGGTTCTCCCACTTCGAGCACAGAAAAAAAAAATACTTTTGACTTTGCTTTATGAAAGTAGGACATGCAGTCAAATAAAATAACCATACGATTCTTTTGTATTCCTAATAAACCTAAGAAAATTTATAAAAGAATAATTCTGTATATTTGTTTAAAGAGTTGTTTCTACTAAGAAATAGAGTAATTTGTCAAAATAAAAGGGACAAAATGTTCATTATGAGGTTATAAGGTTCATTGTATTTTAAATATATGAAACAGTTAAATTATTTCGTTAACGATACGTTAACGTTAATGACTTAGGGGTTTGGTATCAGCTCATTAGACTCAAAATATAGATAATTATTATGATGGTGTTATAACGATGTGTTTACTCAATACACATTGCTGACATATGGGGGCCAATTCTACTAAATAAATTTTGTTTAAATCGAATCGAAAATGGATCGAAAACGGATCGAAACCGAACAAAACTACAGTTTTTAATGGTTTTTCTATTCTACTAAGTGACATACGATATAATTCCGGCTTAAATAGAATTGGAATTGTGTCGTATGTCACTTTGTAGAAAAGGAAAACCATTAAAAACTGTAGTTTCGTTCGGTTTTGATCCGTTTTCGATTCGATTTAAACAAAATTTATTTAGTAGAATTGGCCCCCTGGTTGGTATCGAAAGGAAGACGTTAAAAGTTAACTGCTTACGTCGCGCAATCATATTGAAATGTACAATTCGATTAGATATATATTCTGGAGAATGAGTATGCGCAATTGAGGTTTGGTTATATTATGCAGGTGCAGGCTACAAAAGTTGTAGCTTGATAATATAAGTATTTATTTAACACAGGGGTAAGATTAAGAAAAGTTGGAAAGGTTGAAAATATTATGCCAACTTCGTAATAAAATTATGATAGGTCAGTTAAAATAATGCTACAACAGCTGCATTTCTTTTAAGTTGAGATTAAATGGCGTTTTTTTAAATGAATGTATACCTAATTACGCACTAATACAATGGATGGATATTCCGAATTCAGTCGTCAACTTCGTGTTGACGTGGAAGGCACGGAAGTGACATACAATTACGAAAACTTCCTGCGCACCATTGTTCTCTAAATTCGGTTAGAACGGAGACAGTTATTACAGCCAGCCTCGGATGTAAGTTTATATTAAACTAGAATCTGTCCTATTTTTATAGAAAAAAGATATATATTACTATTAGTCCGGTATTGCGACAAATTACAACACTTTCAGTAGCATTTTAGGGGTAAACATAAGTAAAAGTTCAATGGATTGCACCGACGAGTCCTTATTGCTCGGTTGTTTTTATAATTTTGTTTAACGTATTTAAGCTTGTCAGATTACCCATAATTGAAGTGCTTCACAAAAAACTGTACAACTATCACTTACCTTGGAATTTGTATTCGTTATTAGGTTGAATAAAGGAAGATACAACTAGTTATAAAAAGTTTAATTAGCTTTTTTAGTTACGTTTTTTGTATTTTAAGTGTTACAAGTGTTAGTTTTGTTATTAGAAACACATGTAAGTTAATTTTAGATGGCAACATGTATACTTTTAACAATAATAATGTGCGCATGCGACCAAGCTTGAAGCTTGCTGAGCTACTTGCCGATATTTTGTGCTTATCTATATACACGCAATGTCAAAATAAGCTTAATCTGCCGGTTTTTAATGTTCGATTTATTAAGGCTCAAAATGCTTATATAATAAATCAAACTATCAAGATAAATGTAATAAGGGACCCAATAAGGATTTGATAATGGTAAATGATTACCTATTTCACATCAATTTTTAATCAAAACTGGGAACCCTTTCAAATCAGAGTGGGAAAATTTTGGTTCAACAATGAAATCGTTTTATAGATAATTTTGAAAGCAATTGTTGTGGTTAATCATAATAAAGGATCGTAACGGGTCGTTCCGCATCGCTGGCTGGTTGCTCGCAGTAACTACTAAAGCGCTTCCGATCGGATGACCTACTGTAAATTTGTTTGTTTGCGAATGTTGTTTGATAGGGTAAATCAACTAGTGGATCGGGTTGCTTTCTAAATTCTCGATTGGTTTTTGTCTTTTCATTTACGTTAATTTTTTTTCTATTTTCACATCTCATTCTTGATTCAAAGCTGTGTAATGGTGTATAGATGATACTTCTAAAATATATAAACTTTGAATTCTTTTTCTTTTCAGTAAAATATCATATAATTAAATAAAAAGTCTTTAAAAATATAATAGTCGATTACTGAGAATATATTTTGATTTTTTAAATAAATACGAGTATATTATTTTTTTTCTATTGTTTAAAACAAAAATATAAGTAGTGATAGGTTTATCAAAAATTATGAAGTAAGTAAGTAAGTAAGTATTTTTATTGACCTTCACATTACACTTTACAATTATAAACAAAAAATAAAATGAATAATAAAAAGTGATACAGAATATAGAAGACAGAAATACACATAATTCAATCCATCATGCACATGTGATGTGGTCAACCAGGACACTACCTCAGCTTGTGCTGTTGCAGTGAGAATCAGCTCACGCAACAGCGCTGATATTCTGGCAGAGCCTGTGGGTAGTGACATTTGATATAATTTTAAACAAAAAAATAATATATGTGCTTATAATACTAAGTGTCCGTTACATTCCTGAACGCGAATAACGAGTTGTCAGTATACAACACTTCACCCCGCGACCCAACCATCTGACAGAAAGTTTCGCCTTATTAGTCTGTGACCTAGAAAGTTTCGCCTTATTAGTCTGTGACCTTGAAAGTTCCACCAT